GTCACCTGGAAGATGGAACAAGTTTGTTTTCTGCTGCTCCAGAAGGGAGGACCTGAACCAAAGGATTCAAGTAACAAGAAAGAACGTTCTGATGGTAAGAACTGTTTGACAATGGAATGGACGCCCCCAGAAGGTGGTGGACTCTCCTTCACTGAAGGTTTCTAAACAGATTTTGGATGGCCATCTGTCAGGGATTCTTTAGTACAGTCGTACCTCGGGTTATAGATCCTTCAGGTTACAGACTCCACTAACCCAGAAATAGTACCTTGGGTTAAGAACTTTGCTTCAGGATGAGAACAGGAATCACATGGTGGCAGCGGGAGGCCCCATTAGCTAAAATGGTACCTCATATTAAGAACAGTTTCAGGTTAAGAACGGATCTCCAGAACGAATTAAGTTCTTAACCTGAGGTACGACTGTAATGATTTCTGCACTGCAGGGGGTTGGACTAGATGGCCCTGGAGTCCCTTCCAACTCTACAGTTTTATGATTCTGTGAACATCTGGAGGGGCACGGGTTCCCCATCCTTTTTCTTCAGGGCCAGGAGGAGCCTGTTGTTCATGTTTGAGTAGAAGCCGGATTTGCACAGTGCTGATTTGACTGAGACTGTATTCAGACACCACTTCATTCCATTTTCATGATGTTTCATTACCTCATAATTTCCATGTTTTATGGTCCATAGCACATAAAAGGAACATTAGAAACTGGGACAGAAATGCTACCATTATAATCAGGATAACTAATGCAATAGACCCCAAGTCTGAATGCAGAGCAGGGCTGTGCACAGCTCTGATTGGCTGGTCTGTGCAACAAACATGCTCCCCCATAAGCAGCAGATTTCAAAGTGTAAAAAGAAGTGAAAATGACAAACAAATAAAATTTGAGCAGATAAACATGCTGTTGCTTGGGGGTGGCGGGCAGAAGCAAAATGCCACCTTGCACAAGGTAGAGTTCATTGTTACTTCTCTTAACTTTCTCTTAGCTTAACTTAACCCAGATACAACCCAAGCCCACTTTTTTATTGTTGACATTCCTTGGGGGACGAACAACCAAGAAATCCATAAACACACCCTGAGTGAGAATTCTAGGCTGGAGGCTGCGGTGCAAGGGTTATGCTTGTTTTCTTTGTTCCGTTCATGCAAGATGAATGGCCAGGCATTGCTAGGAAAATGTTTTTCCTCATTTCCCCTTTCCCTGTTAGACACTCTGGAGATCAAGTTCATGAGAGTGATTCCTTCACAGTGTGTGCGAGAGTGCAGGTCAGAGGCATCCTCAGAAATAGCTGGAATTCGAACACGCAGGATTCGACCGGTAGCGTTGCCATGTTTCCATCCTCTCCCTGGAGTTACTCTTGTTAAGCTTGATATGAAGAAAGGGTCATATGCCCTTTGCTTTGGGAAGTATGTGTTTGTGAAAGGGAGGTGGGAGAGAGGGAAAGAGAAAATGAGTGAGATCTGATGTGCTCCTAGTACAGTAGACGCAGGGGTTTTCAAAACCTCATTTTTCAGCTTCTGAAATGCTTATAACAGAGAAGCCCCAGATACCTCTATCCCCCAAGAAACATTCCACGTATATACAATGTACACCATACAGTCAAACATTAGGCAGGTCCGAACAATAGTTTAGAGTTGATTATATCAGTTAAGTGTCTTCTACTCTCTGTCTTAACAGACTGTCTCAGAGTGAGCCACACTTAGCTGACGGTGAAGAGACAACATGGTAATTTCCAGTGTACTGAATAAACATGAACCATACTGTTTTGAAATTGTCTTTGGCCTTTGCGTTCCTTCATGAGGTGTTTCGTTAGTTTCTCCATAACAGCTTTGTTCTATAGTGCATCTCACCATACCTCTAGAGACAAGTTAGCAGCCGTTTTCCAATATTGTGTTTATATATTTCCAGCTGTACACATGAAATAGATCAATAGGTCCTTAAACAATCAGTACTTATGGCCATCTATAAACATATTAAATAACAACCGCCATGTTTGGCTCCACCCTCGACTCCTCCTGACGTCAAACGCCTGCAACGTTGCCCCCCACCCCATCGCCCTTGCAAGTGGGCACCTCTGGACAGGTGTAACCTGCAATGTATACTGATATTTTGTCAGTGACACCACTTTGTATACTCAATCTGACTCCTTCTATGCTGTTCTCCCTCTTTTTAATCCCCTTCTTCTAATCTTCTTTCCTCCCCGCTCTCTTCAGTCATATCCAGATCACTGAAGCATAATTTACAACACTGCTTCTTCCCTCACTCTCTAGTTGCTTGTCAAAATTACTGGGGATTAAGCAGAGACCTAACAGTTTAGTCCTTCTTTGCATTTCTGTTTTGGGCACCTGAAAATGACGCCCCTCATTCCCCAGCTCTTCCTGTCCTTTCCTGTGTTCCTGTTTGACTCTGCTGTGTCACTGTGTTCTCAGATGAGCCACAATTTTCCTCCAGGGGACTTGAAACCCAGACTGTTCAGTTTCATGAGGAGAGGTGCTCTTGCTGCTCCAAGGGAAAGATGGAAAAGTTCTCAGCTTGCTGATAGGAATGTAATAGGTACTCAGAGCAGCTTTTCCTTGGGCTGAATTGTTGTGGTGTTTTGGTTGTGCTAAGTAAGGGAAGAGACTGAGGCTGTGTCAACATCAATCACGAGGAGCCTGATGGGCAGGAGATGGGCAATACAACACCCCTCCCTGACCAGATTGGCTTTTGAATCTTATTTCAGCAGCAGGGATGGGACAGCATCTTCCACCACATCTGAGGAGAGTAGGCTGCTTAGGGCAGGGGTAGGCAACCTAAGGCCCGTGGGCCAAATGCAGCCCAATTGCCTTCTCAATCCGGTCCACGGATGGTCCAGGAATCAGTGTGTTTTTACATCAGTAGAATGTGTCCTTTTATTTAAAATGCATCTCTGGGTTATTTGTGGGGCCTGCCTGGTGTTTTTACATGAGTAGAATGTGTGCTTTTATTTAAAATGCATCTCTGGTTATTTGTGGGGTATAGGAATTTGTTCATATTTCCCCCCCAAAATATAGTCTGGCCCACCACATGGTCTGAGGGACGTTGGACTGGCCCACGGCTGAAAAAGGTTGCTGACCCCTGGCTTAGGGCATGGGAGAGGAACCTGGTCTGGCCTTATCTTCCCTACTCTCTGCAGGCCACCCACCTGTCAATGACCTGATGCCACAATGCTACCAGGCTTCACCATGCAGGGTATGGAAAGAGCCTGATCAGCAGCCTTGAAGTCTTGATCCAGCAGCTGATGGGTGGTGATTTCTAGCCTGTTTTCTGCATGGATTGGCTATGCAATTGAGTTTCCCACTCCTGACATCATGCCTTATCTTTAAAAACTTGTTGGCACACCTTCATCTCTTTTGAACTTCTCGCCTTTCCCCCAAATTCCTGGATTGTGACTCCCGAGCCTTGTGTCTACGGCTCAGCCTTGCCATTACTTGCTTGAACAAAACCCTCCTTCTTACTATAAGTAAGAGCCTTTGCTTGCATATTTTGGAGGAAGAGCCAAGACCTGCTTCTACATGGTCTAGTGGCAGCATACATGCAGAAGAACCACAAAGATGGTGTACAAACCCCTGCTATCTGATTGCTCTGAATGAGTCTGGATTTGGAGAAAAGCCTGTTAATAATGGTGGGGTGGGGGGGATTACTGTTCCTTAATGGTCAATGGCCAAGCTGTGCATGTTATGTCTTTGCTCAGGGGGATTTACATATAGTTCCTCTTACTAGTCCACCATCCAGGCAGTTGACAGTTTTTAGAGTTGCTTAGCTACTTCAACTTAGTAGAAGTAGGTGATGTACCTGCAGACCATTTTCTGGGTCCTCAGTCGGGAAGGGAGAAAATCTGCCCCCCATTTAAAGGCACTGTTTACCTAATTTGCGTTTTCTGAAACAATATGAGAACTGAAACACAGTCATCCTTCAAAATATGTGCTTCTCTGAATTATGCAGCCAAGTACTATGAAGAAAATGCATAATCTGGGGCACAGTGTCCATAAATATGCATTTATTATTGAAAAAAACGTACAAAATGTATTATTTAAGGCAGTGCTTTTTTCTAAAAAAATGTTTAGGGGTACTCTCATTTTCCTACTCATATTGAAATACTGCCCTGCAATGAGGCCAAACATAGATTCACAAAATGTTTAGGGGTAGCATACCCCTGCGTTCCCCCCCCCCCAAAAAAACCCACTGATTTTATGGGATTATGACTTTGCAGAGATGTGTCTATTGGGTGAAATTGCATAACATGTATATATTAGGAGAAATTCACACTAAAATGCTGGTGAATTTTCACAAGGACTCCCTTTTTAAAGAAATCACAAATTGATCTGAAAATGTGGAGGACTCAATTTGAGATTAGAAAAATGAGAAATTGTGATTGTAGCACTGAAAATAACCTTTACAGAACAGAAAAAAGGTTACTGCTATTGGGGAAAATATTATTTTGAAGTGCTTTATTTGATGTGGTAATTGCAGGGATTTTCACAGAGGAGACATTTCAGGCAAATGGCTCCCCATATGAAAATAAGGTGTGAAACACCTCATGTGTGAGTTTTACCACTTAAAAATAAATGTGTGAACCAGTCCTTTGCTCTAGTTCCCTCCTAGGGCAGATCCATCCATATGCCTTGGCTCACATCCCTTGTTTAGTTGCTAGTAGTATATGAAAGAACCAGTATTTATGGCCATTTTCTCCTCTAGGTGGTAAATTTTGCCGTCATAATGCAGTGTGCTTCCCAAGGTACCAGGTAATTATTTGAAATGGACCGATGTATAGGGGGCTTAGTGTCACTCTATCCCATTTGGAGCAAGCTAGATTGTTTCATTGGTTGTTTATAGGAGAGTTCTCAAAACTCTATCTTTTATTGCAGAGCATTACTCTCAGTCTTTTTAGGCTGTCACAATCTGCAATGCAATTTAGATGAATTGTTTCACCCCAATGAAAGACACTCTAGAAGAGAGGTGGTTGACCTTTGCTGGCCTTATACCAGGCATAGGCAAACTCCAGCCCTCCAGATGTTTGGGACTACAATTCCCATCAGCCCTAGCTAACAGGACCAGTGTTCAGGGATGATGGGAATTGTAGTCCCAAACAGCTGGAGGGCCGGAGTTTGCCTATGCCTGCCTTATACATATGCCTTTGGCCAACCTTCTAGGGCCTGCATACCTGTGGTGGGTGTGGCCAAAGTGGAGGGATGGGGAGAATGTTCCATTGCACAAGCAAAAATATTTGTAGTGATTTGTACAAGGTGCATTGTAGCATGTACCTTCATTCTACGTTGGACCTTAGGGGAGTCAAGAAGGTAGAAAGGAACCTGCCTTTTCGTTGGAACAAAGAGAGCTGCCTGACACAGAGTCAGACCATTGGTCCATGTGGCTCAGCATTGTCTGCAGTACCTGGTAGCATCTCTCCAGCATTTCAGATGGGGAGTCTTTCCCCGATGCTACTTGGAGCTGCCAGGGGTTGAACCTGGGACCTTCTGCATGCAAGGTGGAGGCTCTTGCACTGAGCTGTGATCATGCCCTTTTATTTTGCAGGGATGGCCTTACTGTTAGGCAGAATGAGGATGTTTCAGAGGCCGGATGCAGGAGTGGGGTGGCAGTGGCTTCCAAGTCTAGCTTGCACAGGCCCCCCCTAGCATACTGCCCTCATCTATCTCAGCACCAGTACTGAAGTAAAGGCTGGTTGCTGATCTGCGCAGCCTTTTTACGTGGAATAGAGGGAGGTTCTGGCGCCATCTTGTTCTCTGCCTCAGACAGCAAAAGGTCCTAGGCCAGCCCTGAGGAATCAACACAAAGGACCGTGTGTGCATATAACTGAAAACTGAGAATCTGGGAAGCTCTCATTATGCTTAGACCAGGATTAAGGTGCTCATGAAACTGATGCAAATGTGCTTTTGAAGATTTAGCAGCCTGGCAGCCTTTTAAGAAATAATGCATCAATGCCTCCAGAATATCAGCATGTGGCTTCAAGAGTCAGCCAGGCATGGTGGGAAGCGGGACTGGGAAGGCTTAAATCTCTGAAAGAACCAATGTGACTAGAGGGCTGGACTAGAGTAGACCCGTCACAATTAATGGCCCCAGCTTAGGACAGGATTCACCTAATGAACCCTGCCAATAGAAACCCTGAGCAAGGATTTCCGCTTGTGCCACAGCAATTTCCCCATGTCCTCCCTGCATGCTCCCCAAATGGACCCTGGGGGAGTCAGAAGAACCCCCAAAATGCCACACAGAGGGTATTGTTCCATTTGACAAGCTGAAAAGCTTGCACAGACAGAACATTCACCTTAGCACTATGATGAATTCCATCCATAGTCGAGTTCATTTCGGTGAGTGTCCCCTGTGTAAAAGTTAGTTGAATACCACCCTTGGTGTGGGGAGAGCAGGGGTCAAATCCCCATAGCCCCCAAACTGACTGGGTGATCTTGAGTCGGCCCCTGTCTCTCAGCTTACTCCTCACAGGGCTGTCATAAGGCTAAAAGGCAGGACATAATATGCTTTAGAGGAAATATTGGACACAAATCTAATAGACAAAACATCTTTATCCTCTCTGGCCCCACCACACACAACTCATTAAGAGCAACGTGGGAAACTGAACACCTTCCTCCGCTTCAGATATCTGAGTAATACGCACCTCCCAAGCCACCTTGGTAACGTCAGCATCCCCTGTGCTGTTTGCGTGTATTGGGGGAGGCAGGCTGCATTTCCATTCAGTACTGGGAGAGCTTGGCTGCCTTGTGTAGGTGGTCTGCTGCAGACAGCCCACCAGTTGATTGTTTAGAGCACTAATCAAAAGGGGATGTTTTCCCTTGCACAAAGATTTGTGTGAGGCAGCCTCTGACTCCCCTCTCCTCCCCACTTTTAAGGAGCTTAAAATCTTTAGTAGCTCATTGTTGTCATTCTCTGTATTAGAGTCCATTACTCATCAGGGCTCTTTTGTGCTGTTCCTGCAGATCTAGGTGAATTCCCCACTGGTTGTATCATCTGGTATTGCATTTCCTAACTCGCCGCCTAGATTTAATTACAGGCAGTGCTGCAGAGAGATGAAATGTCTGAAAGACAAAGCAGCGCTGAGAGACACTGGGGCATCCTGACAGGCTGGGCCTGAGCCTGCTGCTGCTGCTGCTGCTGCTTTGAGCCGACAGGAAACATGACAGTGTTCCTTGTGTCTTGAAAGCCAGAGATGGTGTAGCTAGGGAATATATACACAAATTGAGCAAATATATACACATCTCAGTGCTGATGATACCACTTTTGTGTGATCCTGTGTTTATGCTGGGCTGCTATACAGAGTGCCTCCAAGCACATCTATTTATTTGTTTATATATTGAATTTCTATTCCACTTTTTTCTCCAAGGAGCTCAAGGTGGCGTACATGGTTCTCCCTCTCCTGCATTTTATTCTCCCAACAACCCTGTGAGGTAGATTAGCCTGAGAGGCCATGGTGAGCATCATGGCCTAGTGGGGATTTGAACCCTGGTCTCCCAGGCCCTACTCTGGCATTCTAACCACTATACCACACTGGCTGTCATATTAGGCCAAAGCGGAATTGCTGTAGTTGTTAGAACATGGCTGACCAACACAGTGCCCTTCAGATATCTTTGAACCACAATTCCCATTATCCCTGATGGTTGACCATGCTGGGTGTTGGTCCAACAACATCTGGAGGGCAAAAAAAGCTAACCTGGGTTATGCTGTTAGACCAGGGCTAGGGACATCCAAGTTTAAATTCCCACTCAGCTGCAAAGCCCACAGCCAGTCCCATCTCACACAGCACAATCCTATGCATCTCTAGCTCAGTGGGGCTTACAACCAACGCAAGTGAGTATAGGATTGTGGCCTTAGCCTAATCTATGGTACAGGGTTGCTATGAAGATGGAACAGAGGTGGGGACATTTTGTCTGCAGTCCTGAGATCCTTGGAGGAAGGATGGGATCAAAATGGAATTAACAAGTAACAAGCTAATGGCATGGTTTGACCTTTGCCTTGTCCTGTAGGTAAACCTTGAGGGGGAAGTAGCTAAGCATTGTAGCATGCTCTGTTATTTATCAAACGAAGTGTGTGAAAACGTGGAATTTAACACTTCTCCCTGTTGCACTGAAATAGTAACACCTTCAGCAGGCACAAGCAAGTCTGCTAACACTGCTTTAAGGCATGCCTGATGAAGACTGAAGAAATCCACACTTAGTGGGTGAGATGCATCTAATGTACACAGGGAAGTTGGTGCCCAAATTAAAGTAAACAATTGTCTGGGTTTTCATTTAATTGGGGGTGTTGTTCTTTCAGCTTTGACCACAGATTACCAGGAACAACATTTACTTATTTTACTTACTGACAATGAAAAGGTGATTTGGCATATTTTATATCATCAATTATTTCTAAAGGTCTTTTGATGTGGAAATGGGTTTTGGAGGAATGCTCTCTTGGCAGGATATCAGCCAGCCTTCTTGCTCAAAGATCTTTCCTGCAACCTCCTACCCGCCCCACCTCCAAGTGTTATTGTTGGAGCAAAACAGTTTTTACATATGTTCCTCTGTGGGAATTACCGTATTTTTCACTCTATAACACGCACCCAACCATAACACGCACGTAGTTTTTAGAGGAGGAAAATCCGTAGGCATGCCACCCGTAGGCATTCCCTCCATAACACGCACAGGAGGAAAAGAGTGTTATGGTGCAAAAAATACGGTACTTTAAGGCACTCCACTGGAGCAACTGACCTGTGTTTTGTCAAAACACAAGGAACCCGAGCATAGCAAAGAGGTTACAAGTAGAAATCCAATGGCTTGCTCACCCAAATGGCAGAGGTAACTTGAGCAAGTATATGGCAAATAGGTGTCCTGCTTTCTCTTTACTTTTATTCCAAGTTTCTAAATGTCAGATGGGGGCTAACTTCCAGGATATCCTAGGTCCACTCTATTAATCTTCAGGTTTTGTGAGTCATGCTGCTCTCTTATGCCAAACACCTATTATTGTGCAGGAAAGCAGAGCTTTAAAGCATCTACAAGAGTGCAGCCTGCTGGATATTGTGGACTACAACTCTCATCTTCCCTGAACGTTGGCTATGCTGGCAGGGGTTGATGGGAGTTGTGGTCCCAAACTTCTGGTGGGTACCACATCAGCTGCTCCAGGAATATATATGCCATCTATATTTCAATAGTTTGGGAGATGAGAAGAACGCGGCTGTCTCAAGCACAACTTCTATTCTTTCATGCTAATATGAAGTAATTTGTTAGCAAGTGCCACAGGAGCAATAGCAGCTTGCGCTCTGACCCTGGATCACTTGTGGTCAAACTTAGTTGCAAGGTTTCTCTCACTGGCATCTCCTAAGCAGGACTACAAGCAGCTGACAGGGGCAGATATCACGGCCTAATAGACAGATAAAGTGTCAGGCTGAGGCAGCATTCATCAACTTGGTGCCCATCAGCCCTGACTTCATTCAACACCTTACCCGGCCATGTTACTCCTTAGGTGAAACTGAGCCACTCACACGCTCTCAGCTTAACTTACCTCACAGGGTAGTTATGAGGATAGTATGTTATGCATGCCACCCTGGGGGAAGGATTGAAGCCAGCTAAAACAAGAAGCTCGTTACAAGTTCATTAAGGTTATTGCCACTGTTTCACAGTAATAGCTATCTAATATGGTTTTCGCAATTAGCATACGTATCAAACCTCTCAATGATTATTATCTTTATTGTTCTCATAACATGCACATTTGGGAAAATTCTGCATAATGGCTGCTCAGCCTGTGCAGTCTGTACACACATGAAAGGTTTGACAATCTTTGAGTGGCCAATGGACCAAATCCTTTTTGACATGATTGAGGGGGCCTCCGAACTGTCCCTATTTTGTATGAGGGATTCAAGCACACACCAGTAGTCAACATGGTGCTCTCCAGATGTTTCAGACCATAGTTCCCATCATTTCTGGCTTTTGACCACACTGACTCGCACCCACCTGCAAAACTGATTATTTGGGGAGTAATCAATGTGATGCTCTCATTGTCATCTGATTAGACACTGTGAAAGTAGGATGCTGGACTAGGCGGGCCTTTGCAGACCCTCCAAGTGTCCCTATTTTCCAGGGATGTCCCTGATTTAGAGAAGCTGTCCAGGTTTCTTATTGGATCCCGGAATATCCCGCTTTTCCTTAGGACGTCCCTATTTACATTGGAGAAACGTTGGAGGGTATGGAGTTATCTGACCCCCAAGCTGTCTGAAGGCAATCCTGTATAGAGAAGGGTTGGAAGTTGCTCAGAGTGGCTGGGCCAACCCAGTAAGATGTGTAGGGTATAAATAGTAAAGTAATCATTATGGAATGAGACGTCCCTATTTTCATCAGAGAAATATTGGAGGGTATGCCTTTGGTCTGAATTTAATATAAGGACATGATCCTGCTAGATCAGACCAATAGTCCATCTTATTTTTGGTCTTTGTGGAAGCCACCCAGAGCGGCTTGGGAAACCCAGCCAGAGGGGTGGGGTACTAATAATAATAATAATAATAATAATAATAATAATTATCATTATCATTATCATTATCATTATCATTATCATTATCATCATCGTCATCATCATTATCTAGCATCCTCTTCTCATGGGAGCCAAACAGATCCTTGTGGGAAACCTGCACGCAAGAGAACTCTCCCCTTTTGTGGTTTCTAGAAACTTGGATTTGGGTAGGAGACAGCTGTTTTGGATTTTATGAAATGGGATAGACAATGTACTGGGAATAGCACCTCCTGCCTGTTTGCAAGCTTCTGCACCTCATAATTACATAAACGTTTCCAATGTTTACAACCTCAAAGTGATTCTTATTCTTTAGCCTGGATTTCCCACTGCTTGAGGAAGGGAAACCATCTTTAGAAAGTATATACCTCCCTAAAATGACTTGATGGGAAAGTAATATGGATAGTCAACAATACCACTATTCTATACCACTTTTCAATGTACAGAATGCTTTTCTTTTCTTATCTCACCACTCTGTTATGAATCTGTCACATGAACCTTGCAAACCACTTTGCTTGTCAATGAATAATTCAGCTTTGTCAGCCAAAAAGTGGGCATCCCTCCTAAAATAAACAATCTCAGCTGGTTTTCTTCCAATAATAATTCACAGCCTAATGCGTTGATTCAGATCTGTGATGGTGAAATGTGACATTATTATGCTACTGTACTGCAGTATGGAGCGCAGTGGTTCGATAGATCCACTTTATCTTTTGTCAAGTTAGACAGGAGATTCACTGTTGTCTAGGCTCTGTCTGTACTACATTTTTATGATGGATTAGTTATTACTTGAGGAAGGGCTGTCGCTCGGTGACAGAGTACATGCTTTGCATGCAGAAGGTCCCCAGTATCAGCAGGTATGACTAGGAAAGATTCCTGCCTGAAACCCTGCCATACAGTAGACAATATTGATCTAGATGGGCCAACTGTTGACGTGGCATGTGCTAAGATTAAGAAAGATCGTGCGAGGGCATATTATCTTTAGTTGCTGACCTTTCTCCAGGGCCGTCACAAAACTTAGTTTTCAAGTAATGCCATCTGTATATCTTGAAGGGAGTAAGCACTAGGAGCAAAAACCTTTTGGGATATAATCATATTGGGCATATAATTCACTATTTGCTATTCTGTCCCTTATGTGACCACAGCAATATGACAAGTATTTCTTGATTTCTATGTAGACTGACGTGATAATAACAGTACTATACAGATGTACCACTATGCATAAGGAGGAAATTTAGTGTCCTCCAATAATAATAATAATAATAATAATAATAATAATAATAATAATAATAATATTTCTCTTTCTCCTCTTGCCCTTTCCCTTTTTTGTTATTGCCTTCCTTCTGGGTCTGTCCTGGTTATCATATCCTTTCACCTAGTTTTCCTCTTGGTTGGAAGATTTCAGTTTCAGCTTTATATATATAGATGTGGTTTGCTTAGCCAGAGCTTAGCACAAATGAGCAGGTTCCTGGCCTGAAGATCACAGCTGCTGCACTTCTCCCCTGGTCCTGGGGCTGGTTTGGCTCTTAGTGTTACTTTCAAAGCTGGGCCAGTGGTTTGTCTCACTCCAGACAATCTGCAAGCCGCCATCAGTGTTTGTTCTTGGGTTATCACTTGTGCTTTGTCTGGGAGGACACAAACCATGAGTTTGGGTTCAGATGTAATGCTAAGCCAAACCATGGTTTAACCCTGGGTAGTGAGGCAGCAGCAGGACTGGGGGAGAAGTGCTAAGGGGAACCGGTTAAGGGGAGTGTTGGGGATGAAGAGTGGACATGGCAACATTGCAGCTCCTCTTATTTACAGCATTTCTGCACCACAGTGGAAAGTTCTGCTTAATTGTTTTTAATCAATAAAATGTTAATAATAGCAACAAAATCAAATATTTTCCCACAGTATTGGGTTAAAACATAACAATCAATTATTTGTAAATAACCAGGTTTATATTACCTATATGCTGCCAAGAAACTATGCATCCTTTTTAAAAATATGAATTCTGTTAATGGTTTTAACTGAATTGGCTTAATTGTGTGCTAAATATGTTGGACATGGCTTTTCTTTATAATAGATGTTTAACAAATATTGTAAATCTGCATTATATCTTGCTGTTTGCTAGTCGGTTGAGGTTTCGTCTTTGGTTAGATGCAATAAAGCACATATCAAAACTGACTCGGTCCAAGACAGTGACAACAGCCTCCTCGGTTTCATGTCTCCTAGCTTTTGGAGACTAACGTGTTAACTTGCGCTTCCTTGAAATTTTTCAAGAAATTTCTGTAGAAATGCTGTAGAAATTTTTCTTCATCCACCTCCCATGCTTTAAAAATTGTTCTGAACATTGGTTTTAGATTTCCCCCACCCACCTTGATTATGTTTTGTGCAGCTGCATTAATTAGACCCCAATTGTGAGCACCACGAGAGATTTAAATATAAAAGAAAAAGAAGCATGTGACAATACATTTTGCTGTGTAGCTGCATTCCCCCCTTCCATTTCTTTGTCTTAAATATATTCTGTGTTTAATTGGTTAAATATATTCTTTGTTTAATGCTTAATTTCCCAGATGTTGGGACTCAAGCCTCATTCGAAAACTGTGATCCCTTTTCTTTAATCCTAGATGAGAAAGGGTTGCCTATGATGATTCGGAGGGTGGAGGGAGGTGAATATGGCCTGCCCTTTCCCACAGTGTGTCCTGTCTGAACACAGGCACTGAAAACCAGTGAGCCCAGGAGGGACGGGTTATGACTCAGTGGCACATTTCCGGATAGGGCTGGAAGAGAACCCTGTCTGAAATCCTGGAGACCTGTTGCCAATCAATTTTATCTATTTATTTATTGCATTTATACCCCATATTTTTCTCTAAGGAGCTCAAGACCCGATTGTCTCCCTCCTCCTTTAATCCCTACGGCAACCCTGTGAAGTAGGTTTCGCTGCAAGGCACTGAGTAGTCCAAGGTCACCTGATGAGTTTCATGGCCGAGTGGGGATTTGAACCCTGGTCTCTCAGCTCCTAGTCGAACACTTTAACCACTGCACCACTCTGGTTCTCAATGTTAACAATGCTGAGCTAGATGGACCCAACAGTCCACCATATAGAGCAGCTTCTTGTGTTCCTATTTTCCTATCCCCTTTTGCTCCCAGCTCATTATGTACTTCAAGCTCAGCCTTTTATCGTAAGAAGAGAATACAGGCAGATTCCTCCCCTCCCTTCTAAATAGATGTCTCTCTCCCCCCCATCCTTTTCTTCTGAAGCTCAGGGAGCTCTACAGCCAGAGGAAAGAGCTCTGGTGGGTGGCTTGTGATGTGGGCCCAGTACGACTGTCAGTTGCGTTGCCAGGAGTTCTTTTCCTTCCTTGGCATGTACTGTTTAACCTGCCTCTGGATGGTAACAAGGGTCTCATCAGAAGCTCAAGAATGTGTGTAGTCATGGTAAACAATGAGCTCTCAGAGGGGACAGAGCTGGGAGAAGAATGGGCATTCTGTCACACTCCCTGCAATCTCTCAGCTCCTTGGAGACCAGGCGTAACCTGTGGAATGAAAGCACCTGAGAGGCTGGAGGTGGAGAGAGCAAAGGGAGGAGGCAGCTGGGGACTAAATTAACTGGTGCCTCGCAATATTAGGGGCACACAATAGGACATCTCCTACGACTTGAGTGTTAGAAACTAGAAACTCACACCCCCAGCCGCCATGGAACAAAACTGCTGGGGGCTCACGATTGAAGGCCTCACGAAAGCCTTATTATGTCAGAGACTCAGAGCACGTATATAATCTGTGAGATTTTTGATGTCCAGTTTTACGCACAGTTTTGCTATTTTATACCCCAGCCCTTCAAAAGGAGGCAGTGAAAGCTTGTGGATGCCCTAAACCTAAAGGCTGATAAATCACCCGGGCAGTTTTCAAAGCACAGGTACTTTAAGTTCATAGGGGTAGGCCAGCCGGATATTTCAAATTTACAGGGAGCTGCCTTATACCAAGATAGACCACTGGTCCATCTAACTTAGTACTGTCTACACTGGCTGGCAGCAGCTCTCCAGGATATCAGGCAGGAGTCCTTTCCAACCCTAACTGGAGATGCCATGGGTTGAACCTGTGGTCTTTATCAAGAAAAACATGTGCTCTGTCAAGTGAGATTGCCAGTGTGATGCAATTTTACTTTTCTTTTTTAGCAGACAGGAATTATAGCCAAATTCCCCTAAAGGGCATCTTCATTGCATCCTGAGAATAAAGCTTGGTAGCACGTCCTCCTCTGACAGCCAAAATAGTGGATAGCAAGCCATTAAAAAAGTAGGATTTCTATTTCTCCTAATTTTCATGCTGTTTTAGACAATAGAAAACAGTCCAGCCCAAAGGTCCATCTAGCTTAATTATAATCTTCTGTACTGAGAAGGTAACTGGGAAAACGGAGAAGAGCCTTTCTCTTCTCCGTCTTTCAGTTGCAGATGTATGTTAGGAAAAAGCAATGGAATAAATATGCAGAGAATGCTGCAGCTGAAACATTGCAAAAACATCATCTCCAAAGACAGATTTTATTCCATTCTTTTTTTGGACTATGCACTATTCTCCTCCTCAGACTAGCCAAGTTTTATTTAATGCTCCCACTTGAGATTTGATACGGATGTTTTGACTAGGGGATATACAAGATTTCTCTGGTTCACTCAAAAAATGCCTTGAGCTTTTGAAATGTTCAAGCTGAATGCCGGGGGGGGGGGGAGCCCCTGAGGTCTCTTCAAGCATTTAACTTTGAACACTTGAAAAGCCCAATATCCTGCTGCTCCGCCACCCATTCTGCCAGTCCTCCCACCCATGGGTGTCCATGGGTGTGGAGAGAAAACAAGGAGACAGTTGTTGCCCCCTCCCAGATCTCAGGACTCTTCCTCATCGACTGTAATGGGGAAATCAGCAAATACCTTTAACCTTTTTTCTTTCTTTTTTACAGAATTGGTCAACATTAGCAGGCATGGCAAGGCCTTTAGAGATCATCTTATGAGATCAAGTCTGTCAAATTCTACACAACTAGATACAAAGTTTGTTTGTGTGTGTGTGTGTCTGTGAGACACCTTGACAAAGTTTGAGGCTTTTTTAAAAAAGAGAGAATAAAAGAAATGACTGTAACTTTTTTAATGAATCAGATGAAATGGTTTCAGTAATGGAATAAACAACCTGGGTACAGAAAGTTTCAGTACATGACATTTTAGAACTGTGTATCATCATTCTTGCCACCATCCATTTTCTTCACTGCCACCACCAAGGGACTAAGGCTGCAGCCATATGCCAGCTTACCTAGGAACAAGCCTAGCTGAACTTAATGGGCCTTCCTTCTGAGTAGACATGTACTGTATAGGAATGTGCTATGAGGAGCAGCATTGGGATCCTGCAAGATCTGCATTTCATGTTTATCTTGCAAGTCTATTCAACTGAATCATGAAAAAGTTTTCAGGCAGACACCAGAATAGTGAAAGGTTGTCCTCAACTTAGATCTGTGAACTTCATGGAAAGTGGATTAGTGCCAGCTATTCACAGAGTTTAGTTCTGATGACATAAGCTAGGTACTTTCCATGCATTTTCTAGGAATAAGAGAATTTTTAAACAGGGCTAGTTTAGCCTAGCAATGAGTAGTCTTTCTAGACTTCACATCTCAATGTTACCAAAATCCCCTCTCCTCAAACAGGTTTCTTATTTCCATAGCTGAAGTTGTGGGGAAGACATTATGGACTCCCAGCCTTCCTTGCCTAACCTGATTCTTTGGGCACATTAATGGTATATTTTCCATTGTGGGACTTAATCTTCTTGGCCAGGCTGAAGTGGTGGCAGCATTTCCAGCTTTCACAGTGCAATGCAGTCTACATGTAAGTGCATAAGCTTTTCTTAGAGCACATTGGCTACAAGCATCAGTTAAAGGTGTATTGGTGGTTCAGTGGTAGAATTCTTGACTGCCATTCGGGAGGCCCAGGCTTCATTCTTGATCAATGCAACTCCCATTTGAGCGACCCTCAACTGGCACAGTGTGTCGGTGGATCTGGCTATTAACCAGACGTTTGGCAGTTTGAGCCCACCCAGGGACAGCTGTGGGCAGGGAGTTAGACTAGATGACCATTGAGGTCCCTTCCAATACTACAGTTCTTTGATTCTGTGCTCCTAAGATCACTGAAATAAATGGGCTTGGATGCACCTGATTGTATGTTGAACTGAGACGTCTAGGTCAACAGAGTTAATGGAGGAATTAAGTGTTGTGGCTGGTAGGAGTGGGAGGTTTGGAAGACACATTCTTAACTACATTCTCCTCCAGTTCTGAAGTTCCCCTGTGGGATATCTTAAAAGCTGTGTGCAAAAATAAAAAGTATGTGCCCAAGCAATCCAAATCTGCACCAAGAAAAACTGAATGTGTTTAGGGTGCAGTGGGCCCAAACCTGTGGACCTTCTTCCATGCAGGGAAGTTCCTTGCTGAACTTCAGACCCATGACTAAGACCTGCTTGTTCCAGCAGGCATGTTAATGTAGTGTTCAGTTTTATGAGAAGTTTGCATTATTCTATTATTTACCGTAATTCTCTGTATGTTCTATTTTTATGTACCGTGCTTAGAAATGTGAATGATTAAGTGGTATATAAACATCATAAATAAATACAATATCTTACCTTTCTGCCAAGGAATTCAAGGTGGCCTGCATGGTGTTCTTCCCCTTCTTGTTTTGTCATCACAACAACCCTGTGAGGCAGAACTAAAGAGATCAGGGTTCAAATGCCATGCTCCGTCCCACAGCCTAACCTACCTCACAGGTGTGCTGTCAGGATAAATGCTCTCTTTGAACTTTCTGTTTACTATTTTAAAGCACATTTTATACCATCCTTCCTCCAAGGACCTCATGGAATTGTTCTTTCCTAACCTTATTTCAGAGGGATGCAAGCGGCACTGTGGTCTAAACCACTGAGCCTCTTGGGCTCACGGATCAGAAGGTGAGCTCCCATTGCTCAGTCCCAGCTCCTGCCAACCTAGCTGTTCGAAAGCACGCGAAAAAGTGCAAGTAGATAAATAGGTACTGCTCCGGTGGGAAGGTGAACGGCGTTTCCATGCGCTGCTCTGGTTTTGGTGTTCCGTTGTGCCAGAAGTAGCTTAGTCATGCTAGCCACATGACCCAGAAAAACTGTCTGCAGACAAACGCCAGCTCCCTCGGCCTGTAAAGCGAGATGAGCGCCACAACCCCAGAGTCTTTCGTGACTGGACTTAACGGTCAGGGGTCCTTTACCTTTACCTTTTACCTACCCTTATTTCATCCTTACAACAATCCTGTTAGGTAGATGAGGTTGGGAGACAGTGACTGGTCCAAGGTCATCCAACGGACAATCCAGATGACAATCTAGCCACTACACCAGCCTTACGCAACCTAGTGCCTACCAGCTGTTTAGACGGGACTACAACTCCCATAACCCCAGGCCAGCATAGCCAATGGTCAGGGATGGTGGGAGTTGTAGTCCAACAACATCTGGAAGGCACTAGAGGTTGGGAGAGACTTCACTGCACCATACTAGCTCTTCGTTTTTCTTTTCTGCACTGGAAATAAGACAGTGTCGGAGGGTGCCAGAAGAACAGAATAACTTTACAATTCTGAGGGACTTGCCTGCACTTGGTCAATGGAAAACATAAATGTGTTCTCAATCATTGACAATACGCTGATCTAAGCTATTAAGGCATTTGTTATCAGTGGGGGGAAATTCTGGTAGCTGTTGGAGGCTAGCTCTGCTTCTTGGGTCCCATAATCCAGAAACCACATCCTCTTAAGATATATCTCCCCACAATGCCTCTACCCCCCAAAAAAAAGTTTTTTGTGATAAAGGAGCCACAGCAGAGGATCTTTGCAAGGCAGGAGTTTAAAAAGCACATTCAGTACCAGAAGATCTAGGCATCCAGTCAAATATTTCCTTTGTTTGCCCCTTGTCCAGCTGCCAGTAAAGCCCTTTTGGAAAAAAGAAACGCATCCACCAGCTTCAATGTTCTCAGGATGCTAAGCCAGGACTGAATGGATTTTGCAAGGTGCTTAGTCACAGCAAGGGGGAAAAAGCTCATAATAAAAGAGGGCTCTAAGGCATAGCGGAATATTGATGCTGTCACTTCAATGGTTGGGCGAGTGATAAAAGGCAGGGATAAGTGTCTGTATCTCATCCTTGAAAATCTCAAGGCGCTGCCTGTTTGGGGCAGGGAGAGGCTGTAGGGCAGGGAAACAGCTGTGACCAGACAGGGATGGGTGAGCCCTTTCTGCCATGCCTCCACAGAGGAGGAGAGGCCTTCCAAAACAGGGGAAGCTGGGGAGGGGTGGAGGGGAGCTTACACCCCAGGTTCTTGGCTGCAACAGCTTAGCAGGAGGGACATGACTAATACACATCCCACTGGGGGAGTTAGATCAAAGGCAGTGAAGTAGATACAAGAGGTTTCTGCTTCACAGGATCTGGTTAAATAGAGCCTTTGTTACCAGGGCCCTCCAGAGTCAGGAATGGAGAAATACCTGATCTCTCCCAGCCTCCCCCCACCCGGCCGCCTCCACCACCGCCAAGAGCCTTGATGCAGAATCAGTTCAAGTATGAAGCACAACAGTAGCTGCTTGGCTACTGCTGGAGGAACCTAGAGGGAGGGGAGAGGAGGGGGGAGATGACGGGAAGGGAGGGGTCCGGGGCTTCACACACACACACAAAATGAGTCAGGTTTAGTTGGGCACACAGCTCAGATTTCCGAAGCTGGAGTGGAAAGCAGCGTGCTCAGGGCTAGCCACCAGCTGGATTGCTTGGGTGCTTACAAGCGGGACAATCTTTTCCTGAGGCTTTGATGGGAGGTCTAGGAAGGACCAAGCCTGGCCTGGCTTCTTGTCACCAGCTTGAGGGCTTGATGCTGCTACCTGGTGCTGTCCTTAAGGCCTGCATACTTCCCACCTGCCTGCCTTGGCACCCTCTCCGCTGCCAGGGGGTTTTATCTGCTGAAGGTGAGATCATCTGCGTCTAGTGGTCAGACCAGAGACTTCAGAATAAGTCTCAGGTTCGGTCCTTTTAATTTGGAGAGGGGTGTGCATGTTGTACGTGCAGCGTGGCGACGAATGGTTTGGCAGCAGGGGGGAAGTGGAGGTGGTGGGGAAAGGTGTGAGCGCTTAGAGAGCACCAGGTTCGAGATCACTCTGGTTCGTTTATGCCTTGACCCGCTGTATCTACCCTTACTTGCAACTGCACAGCCAATACATGGGGGATGAAGTGTGGCAAAAGAGCTGGAGGGTTTGTCGGCTTTCTGTGTACGTTTAGGTGCAGAGCGTGCACCTATTCTTTTATTCTTTTTCACACAAAATATTTCTATACTGCCTTTCATTTGAAATCGCAAGGCGGTTTACAGTAAAAAGAATAAGAACAAATAAATATTAAAATTATGATACAAACTAAAACAGCGGCCGACAGACCAGGGAAGGAATAAAATTAAGAAATACAACCAACTGGTACAAATGACCAGCAAACATCCGAGAAATTAACTGAGTTTTTAGCAAGTGCGAAAAGGCCTTTAGAGGGGAGATGAGTCCATAGAGAAGACTAATCTGTGTTAGTGATTGAACATAGAGTTGTAGGTCATTTGAAGCTAATCTGGAATAAAAGGCTATGACTTTTGGTGCTTTCACAAATGATGCTAAGATGACTTTTTGTGCATTGAACAATCTGCATGTCCCACTAAATCCAGTGGTCTTTATTCACAGGTAAGTATGAATACTGTTTGTAGTTTAAGGTTTTGAACACTTACTTGGGACTAAGCTCCAATGAATTTAGCGGGACTTTCTTCTGAGCAAGCATATATGATTGTACTGTTAGCATGGGATGTCCTGTTGTGTTTAATGGTGCCAACGTGCCATATTTAATATATGAGCTCAGTCAAAGCAGGTTTTTAAATTTGGTTTATAGTGGGAAATCCAAAAATGTTCAAGCATCACTTGTGAAACTGGCCTTTATGTATGCATTGCTGAAATTCCCTTCAGGCTGTATCTATGCATGTACAATTGTTTGTCTGAAAGGGGGTACACTTGATGACTTGTACAGCCAACTGTTGAGTACACAGACTGCACACCCAATGAACATTATATTACATGAGAATAACTGTGAGCATACAGCTCAGCTATTTGTGTACACAGGTACACATATAGTAACCTTAATGAAGGTAATGCTTGAACACCCCTACTGAGAAGGCAGGAGGAGCAGAATGGGAGGCCTCCATTTTTTCTTTTCCCCTCTGTACAACCATAATGCAGAATACTGCCATCTTTGACTATGCAGGCCGTAAAAGTAAAGGAGTAAAGGAGCCATTTCCACTGCCATGCTTGCTCCTGATGGTTGCATGGCTGGTAGCAGTGATATCATCAGGATAGGTCTCTGGGGCAGAAGTCCAGGACACCATGAATCAGAATGAACAAGAGAAGAGGACCCAAAACACTGTGGGCTTAGCTACCCACATTTTATTTTATTTTATTTTTTAAGTAAGGGATATAACACACATCACCATTTAAAAGAGAGCAGTCCCCCTAAATACATAAAGTTCAGAGTCTAAAATTACCTAAATGCACTATGTGCTGGTAGAAGTGGGAAGTTTCCAGACAGCTTGCATGACTCCTCTGGAAAACAGGAGCTGTACTCTATGGTTCATTCCCATGACCTTTTAGTGGGGGGAAATATATCGTACATATAGCATATTATGCATGTCCTGAGGGCACCACATAAGGCCACTGCCCATACAAAAGCAGCTAGACATGTAGCTTTCCGGCCTGTGTAAAAGGAGAGAATAAAGTTAACAGATGTTGCAGCGAAATGGAAGGTGCATATATAAGACAGAGGTCCTCTTAGCAGCTGTTGGAATTATGATTGGACATATAGTTTGAAACACAGAGCGTGCACAGAGGATTACAGCTTTGTACTGACTGATTTATAGGACATTGTCCATGATACATGACCTTATAAAAGCATAAGGTGAGGGCACTCCCAGCTGTGTCTCCTGTGATCGACACAACCAAACCACCCTAATTTCTGCACTTAAATGAACCATGAACTAATCAAAGTTTTAAAAGAAAATTTTAAACAAGAAAGGGTATTTTGTGTTACGTTCGTTCATGATCAAGTCAGCTTTTTTTAGCACTATGGAGTGAGCTAGTAAGAAGCACCCACTGCAGCTGTGAAAGGTATGCATATTTATTTATTTCCCTATCCTCCACCAAAGAGATCAAGGCACTGTACATAGTTTTCACACACACACACACACACACACAGAGAGAGAGAGAGAGAGAGAGAGAGAGAGAGAGAGTTCTCACAGCAATCCTATAAGGTAGGTCAGACTGAGAGACAGTAACTGACCTAAAATCAACTTTGGCTGAGCTTGATGGCTGAATGGGGATTTGAATCCAGGTCTCTCCTCTTAAGCCAAACACTTCATCTACCACATCATACTGGCTGTCATGTATTTGTGATGGGTGTTTATGGATGATGGGGATCATTCATCTGAGCTTGCCTAGATTTGCAGCAGGTCATGCACTGGACATCTTCCCAGCACACACAGACACACAGACACACACACACACACACACACACACACACACAATGCTGCTTATTGCTCTCATAGAAGTAATGACTTTCCTATAAATACACATATATACATACTTTTTCTGGCTTTGGAAGGGAATAGTTAGGTCAGAATTGAGAGCCCATGTGCTTCGATAGCCAGTAATGTTAGGCAAAGTCATACCAGATGTTCCTCATTGTAGGATGCAAGGTTCACTGCCAAGACAGACAGACAGACAGACAGACAGACAGAGAGCGCGCTAGCTTTCTGAGGTTGCTTGAAAATAGCAGTTTCAGAAGTCTTGGGGAAAAAAGATGGATGTGGAAGTTCTTCCTCTACCAGCCATCCTCCTGTCTTGGTTAAGTTAGTAAATAAGCACTGTTGTTGAGCAAGCATGAGTCAGAGCAGTGTTTGTACAGAGAGAAAAGTAAAAGGCAGAGAGCCAAACCTTCAGCTGGCCAAACTCATGTAAGTTCATTGATTTCCACAGGCGCTCGGCAGATTTAGCCCACAAATCCCATCTTGAGCACAAGGTGCAGACACATTCATTAAAGAGCAGGAACTGTTCCCATCTGTAGGAAGGAGCACTGGGGAGATTTTGTTCTTCTCTAATTAAAGCATTTTCCTTATTCCAAGAGCCCTTCTTTCTTTTTGTAGTTTCCCCGGCCTCAGCACCGAGAGAGGTTCCTTTGAAAAGGCAGCTGAGGAGAGAGACCATCCACCTGAAACGCGGGAGGCGGAAATCGTACACTCAGTGCAACTCTCTTTATCCCTTTTGTCTGGGAACTACAAAGAGAGAGAGAGAGTCTTGTTTTGTACACCTTTCAGAGCTCCACAGGCTGGCATTCATTCATTTCGGGCCATTTTCATGAGTGATGCTTAAATCAGGTCTCACATTTCTTGTGTCTGTAAATGGAATTAAAACCTACATTGACTGGAAAATGTACATTTGGTTTAAAAAAAGTATTCCCCTCTCCCTTTCTGACTTGCATAACATTCACAGAGGACACATTTCAGGCTGAAAGGCAGCATTGCATATTTGTGCAAACACTCAAGTTGTGGGCTTGTATTCAAAGTTGCATTTTTCTTATATGCCTGCTGCCTGCCATGCCTACAAAGGGGCATTTGAAATGCATGCTTATGGGAAAATGCTGGAAAATAATTCACTGCTGAAAGAATAGCAAGTTCTCTTTCACTGATGTATTATCTTTCCGTATCTTACAGAAAATTGCCAGCAGTTGTGCGCCTCTGCATGAGCCTCTGAGCATCATACACATAAAACCTATAGTTGTGAGCATAGGGAGTGCATATCTGAAATTGGCCTTGCTTGCCTCACCGTGTCTTGTAGGAAAAATACAAATGCAGAACAGCTGGGCTACAGTAAATTTTCAAACTCAATTTGGCATATCCTGATTTCAGTGTGCAGCATGGTGCAATGTTACTCAAATGTAGCCAGCTGTGACTGGTTTGGGGGCTATTTGTCATATAATACTTTGAGAGCTGGCTTTTTCAGAGGCTTGGCAATTCCTCTTTCCTTTGTGTCATGGTTAGCAAACAGATCCCTTGCAGTGATGTTTCATGAAAGGGGCAACGATCAAGCAAATTATACATGTTTATACGTGCAAATGTTTTAAATGTAAGCTTTTGAATTCTTAAGAGAGATTTTTGAATTGAATTGGAGAATCTGAGGCGAATACAAAAAGATTTGAAGGTTGATTTCAAATTTAATTCATCCAGTGAAAATATCTGGGCTCAATCCTAGAGACTTGCACTATATGATCTTTGTCAAATCCATTTTACTCCTCTTCTTTCAGGACAGCTTGGAGTGCATCATTATTTTCAGAAGTTCTTCAAAGTACAGCCAGTTTCCCAAGTGTCTAGCAGTGTCAACATGCTCTGCTGATCCTTTAGCCAAATCCTAGCAGTGCTGGATACTTTTATATGGGCTGTGCTATCTGGCTCCACATGTGTCTGGGGGGCTTGCTGGAGCAATCAGGAACTTGTGGATTTCACTTTTGAATTTATTGAGACTCATTCTAAGATATCCCCTGCTCTGCAAAAGCAGGATGAGGCCACTAAAAGCTTATCTCAAGAGATGAGCACAAACAGACAAGGGAAATTTCATTAGGGCTGAGCTTAGAGTAGACTGGAAACTATCAAAGTGGATCAATTACTGAGGACATGACTAGCCAAGGTAGCATTTTCTGGAATGCCTCTGTAATGTGGAACACTGGAGACACAGTCAAGGTGGCCCCTTTTCTTCCCCGTCTTTTGTATTTTTCTAAAGTCGTTCCGCTTATCCTCCTTAAGCCCTCTGCTGTGGTCTATGGCTTTTTATTCCTATGTGATTGCTTTTCATAACTCATGTAGGGCTAAAAGCCATGGGCTACACAGAGGAATAATCCACTTTCTTGGGCACCTCAGCAAAGCTGTGTGAAATACAGATTCCTTAATGCTATCCCTCCTTCATTTAATAAAACCAAACATCCATATTTATTTTGTAACCAACGGTGAATGAAAAAGAGGCTAGGGTATAGCGAGACTTAGCTGGGTGAATGTGGAAAGGAATACATAGCAAATGAACGTACAGAGGTGAAGGGACTGGTCTCTATACTTCTGTGCTTCTTCTCTCCATCCAGAGGTCAGAACAGCCACTGCAGTGCTCAGGGTACAGCTCAGTTGTTGTGAGATGTTTCCTTTTTTAAGAAAAACACACACCAAACCTTTGCTTTCAAACCCAGGACCCAAAGATTCCATTGCCTCACAAAAAGCCCATCATAATAAATGCTCTGAGCAGAATGCAGAGCCATTTCAATGAAAGATACACCGAGTGATGGTAGTTAACTAGGCGTGCCGAGAGCAGCTACCAGGTAATTAGAGACACTTTCTCACAGTCAGGTTCCACAGGTGTCCCAGCCAACAGCTGAGGGAAGCTAAGAAATCGAAAAGTTTGACTTTTCAGCCCACAGCACAGTTACAATGGTTTTTAGACCAGCACTCCAGAAGACATGGATTTGCTGCCACTAGGGAATCTGCAAATGAAGACTGCTTCCTTTTAAAAGTGCATACCAGCCACATAAAAAGCCCTCCTCCTTAATATGTATGTGGTGCCAAACTCATGGGTACAAACATACATGTGGAGTTCTGATTTCTGATGACACTCTCACAGCACAGCTTAAGAAGGATTGTTGCTTTTAAGCATACTCTGCCAAAAAGGCAATCAGTTGAATTTTGATAGCATATTGTTGGAGAGAGCCACTTCACAGGCACATTTGGAGAGCCTGATATATCCAAATCTGGGCATTTTAGCATGGTCTTATCAGCTTCTCAACTGGCTTCCCTAGCTGTGCCTTTGGCAGCCATTGGGTGTCCAAACACCAGCAGGTGATAATATTTATCTACATGCTGTTATATATATATATAAAATCACCTGCTGATTTCTGCAGACAGGAGCAGCCGATAACACTTTCCTCCAGGCTATAAAAAGTTCCACCTGCTAATTTTTTCAGATCGAGCAGCTAATAAAAGCAAATGTGACAGACCAAGCCAGTTTGGGGTTTTCTGGTCAGTTGGCCATCCAGCTGTGGTTAGTGCCTCTGAGAAGCACATGTTGCTGTAGCAAGGAGCTACATTTCACTTGCTGTAAACAGCTGCCAGTTTTATCTCTGAATGACTGGGTAGCTGTGTATTTGTGTATGGATAGGTTATTTTGAAAAGTGGGTGGATGGAGGTCTTCCTCCACCTCCTACTCCTTTATATCTAGGCGTATGATATCTGAGACTTCTTTCTAACACGACCACCCTAGAAAATGCGCCTCTGCTCCTATGGCAGACACTCCCTTTGTGTGCTGCAGTGCCAACTGCAAAGGTCATACCACACACCTGCTTTTCTGATTGTATTTCTCGTAGCGGTGAATGAAGGGGACTTGGATGGCCAGTGCCTAATTAACTAGCAATAATAGGAAAAGGGATGGAGGGGGATAAAGAACCCATTTAACCAGCTTCTTTGTTGCAAACCAAAATGTTTTCTTGTGCTGGGAAAGTAATGAGCAAAATCCCCTTTGCCTTTAGCCGAGCCTGAATTGGAACAAAACCCCTATGGAATGTACAGGCCTGTTTTCGCTTTTTCCGCCCCCCAATTGTATCTCTTAATGATCAGGGCAGCTGCATCGGGGGCCCAGGAGCTTTTGAAGGCCAGACTTTTAAATGGTCAACATTACTGAAAAGGATTGAGGAGCAGCTCTTCTCAAACCCTCAACCTTCCCTGTGTGGTGCTTGTTCACTTCTGCTACTTTCTGATCCCCAAGTTAGTTCATCTGGAAGAGGTAGCCAGTACAGTCCATTAAAATGATGATGATGATGATAGAATCCATAGGGACAGTAATCCTTTTACGAGGATCAAAGGGGCACTTCCAGACTGAATCCCATCCCAAAATAATGACAACCACATACCAGCAAATTCAGGTTGTGTAATTAAAGCTGGTTTAGAGCTCTTGTGGAACAAACTTGCTTCCCCAAAAGACTCTGCAGTAAGGGAAGGGATGGGGAAATGCAGTGGAAAGTGTGTGGCAACTTTTGCTTTGTCGCAATGTCATCGAGCCTCTCCACAAACCAATCAGAATGAATGCTCAACAACTAGGTTATCTAGAAGCACCCTAGAACTCTGTACAGTATGTATTCTGGGGCTTGACAGCTGGCTAGGAAAATGCCCCACTTGGCCAACTCTTATGACTTTAAAGACAGCTAGCTGAGTAAAAATCAGTAGGTGAAGCTTTTCATGACCATCAGATATGTGTTATTGGTGTTTCATGTCTGCTGATGAAGGTGCTGTTAAATGCGCAGTGGCCAGTAAATAAGTAGCAATCCTGGCTGGAACAGAGAAGAAAGGAAGTTCTTCTCCTTGGGGTGGGAGTGGGGGAATATATTAGCTGAATCTGTGTCTAGCACTAAGCAGGACTCACAAAACCCTTGTAAAGCAGACAATGAACTAAACTGATAATCTGGTGATCTCTGTAACAGCAAAGCGAGATATTGATTTTAGAAACAACATGCTAAGCATACAGGACAATAGAATTGGAACTGAGCAGTGTTGCTGAGTGGTTGCAGGACTGCATATAGTTCCACCTTAGACAGCCCCGTCTCAGATGGCAGAAGGTCTGGACTGCGTATTCTAATTGCTTGTAATTGTAATGCTTCTCCTGCTAATCTAAAAGACAGGGATAATTTGTTTCTCTCTTTAATTAAATATTGAGCGCCCAACATCCTTTTTTATATTCCAGACACAGGAGACAGGCAATTGTTTGTAAGAGCAAATTTTTATATTCGTATATCAACAGATTCAAGAAACAGTAAGTGAGGTTGTCCACAATAAATATTCGTTTGTTTAGCAGAGAGGCTCTGAACAAATTTATCACCAAGTTTTTGTAATGTAGGTTAGATCTTTGTCCCTCACACTTTGTGTCGCTCTTCTTTATGCTATTGATTTTCCTTTTAGCAAAGCAGATACCAAAAGAAGCACTCTGTTCTCCCATCGGACAGCAAGGACGGCAAGAGAAAGCATTTCGTTTTGTGTAGGGCTTTATCAATAGGATGGATAAATTAGTGTGACAATGTCATCTAATGGTTGAAATTTTAGGGGGAAAGGGAGGGGGACCTTAATGGAATACGTGAGCCATTGCCCCGACTCTGCCAAATTGTACCCAAACCATAAGTATATAAAAAAGTCCTGCTGGATCAGATCCAGATACAATATAGTCCAGCATTCTCATAGCTGGCACATGGCTTTAGGGGCCCCTGCATGGTGTTGCTGGAGGGGCCTCTCATTCCCTCACAGCACAGTATTTTTCTGCAGTGGTAGCGCCACTGCTACCCGCCATCTTCCCCGCTGGGCGCTCAGATGGTGTTTTAGCAGTAAGTGGCAATGCCACTGTTGAAAGGGGGGGGTGAAGCTCAGCTGAGAAAAAGAGCTTAAAGCAGCAAAATGAGGCAGGGTGGGCTTAACTTAAGGTTACCAGACGTCCCCGTTTCCCAGGGACAGTCCCCGGATTTACAAATCAGTCCCCATACAAAATCCATTGAAGTTGAAAAGTGTCCCCGGATTCACTGAAAGAAATCTGGTAACCGTAGCTTAACTCCCTATTTGAAGGTGCTCTCATTGGTCTGTATATTGACCCTTCCACCAAGGTTGGACCTGGGCAGCTTGCTGCTTGAACCCCACCCCCCTTGCAGGCACAACATGCTGTTGCCTCCTTCTCTGTGGGTGCTCCACACCACCGCCTCTTCTGTATGTGTGTGGTGGCAAGCAGCATGTTCCTTGGGCCCAGATCTGCCACCTGAGGTGACCACCACCCTTCGCGTCATGGGAGGGCCAGTTGTGCCTCTCACTGGTGCCTTATAAGCCATATGAATGAGCACATGTATAATTAGCAAGTCTGCTTGGGCCTCTACGGAAGAGCTGGTCTAGTGAAGCTAAAAAATGAACCAGGGGAGTCCCCACATTTAGTGTCTCTTCCAATATGGGTCCTGTCTCACAACCTGTATACAGTGGTACCTCAGGTTAAGAACTTAATTTGTTCTGGAAGTCCGTTCTTAACCTGAAACTGTTCTTAAACTGAGGTACCACTTCTGCTAATGGAGCCTCCCGCTGCCGCCATGCGATTTCTGTTCTCATCCTGAGGTAAGGTTCTTAACCCGAGGTACTATTTCTGGGTTAGCGGAGTCTGTAATCTGAAGCGTCTGTAACCTGAAGCGCCTGTAACCCGAGGTACCACTGTATTGGACATTGCTCTCGAAATCTCTCAGGAAAGCAGGGCTAGAAGAAGAAGAAGAGTTTGGATTTGATATCCCGCCTTTCACTCCCTTTAAGGAGTCTCAAAGCGGCTAACATTCTCCTTTCCCTTTCTCCCCCACAACAAACACTCTGTGAGGTGAGTGGGGCTGAGAGACTTCAGAGAAGTGTGACTGGCCCAAGGTCACCCAGCAGCAGCATGTGGAGGAGCGGAGATGCGAACCCGGTTCCCCAGATTACGAGACTACCGCTCTTAACCACTACACCATACTGGCTCTCTCTCTAGGGAACCTTTATTTTCCGACAAGGGTTGCATTCCCTTGGGCAGGGGTGAGTGGCCACCCCAGCTGGAACAGAAGGACTCCACAACATAACATGGTGTTGCCGGGCCCACTTTGTTATTTATTACAGACCCCCCCCCCCCACAATTGACTTGTGCACGACAGCATAACATGCACAAACACCGGGGAATAATTAAATAATTCAATTCAAACCAGGAAATGGTGGGTGAGAGCTGGAGAGTCCCCGTGGCTCGTGAGGAGACCCTCCCCAGAGCCCAAAGAGGATATCAGTGAAGGCGGAGGAAGTCTTGAAGAGACTGGAGGTGCAGCGGACCTTTGTTTAAGCTGCTCAGCCTTCCCTCTAACAGCTGACATGCGGGGCAGCGTTGTCATCGTCAATTTCCCACACATCCTCCAGCCTCCTTCAATTCTAGTTGTGGATATTTTTGGATATGGCATTTTTGGTATGGATGGAAGAGAGAGTGGCAGAGAGGGCATTTGGAAAGTACTTCTTACTTTACATGATTTCACTTATGCTCGCAGAGGCCCCAAAACGTAACTCCTGCATAAGTATTAAAGATACAGGAGCCCTGCTCCTACAGGAAACCTAATCACAATAGTGATGTACTTTGCTGCTTAACACGGAAGCAGATGTCTGTTGTTTGAAAATGTAGCTAGTAGATACACTACATTAACCAACTTCCTTATGCTCAGCAATATCTCAAGCATGTCAGGCTTTTATTTTTACCTCCTTGGAGCTGACAGTTAACAACTGTGCTGTCCCTAGTTGTAACTAATGATACACTGGATTTTTTTTCTTGTGTGTGTGTGTGTGTGTGTGTTTTTAAGCGATCTGGCCAAATTGTTGCAGGTGGCTGTGTACATTGGCCTGTTGGCTAACATACAATCTGGATTGCCCTGCCTCGTTCTTACGCAACTGGGGCAAGCAGGTGTGTCCAAATGGAGATTGTTCTCTGCAAATGATTTACTCAGCTCTGTCTCTTTTTGGCAAGTGAGACGAGAGAATTCTGGTTGTGTTGAACCATAGCTGGGTGGGTCGAACCCTCCCCACCCTCCCTTTCAGTTAGTTAGAAAATGGGTTATTAAGTAACAGGCTACCCCACTGGTGCTGACTCAGGCTGAAACTAATGAACACCCTGGCTGGCCATTTGAAATTTATTGCACCTATTAATTACAACCATTAGCTGCAGCCAGTGAAATTTTTATAATGAGGACCCTTGCGACTTTGCTTTCCTAGCAGCAAATTAACTGTGTGTATATGAAGGCTGAGGGGGGTTGGGGTTGGGATTGGAATCAATGGGATCAGCATACTTTACAGAAGCAATGTTTTAATTAGTGGTTCTCTGCAAACACTGCAACCTGAAACGCCAGCTGTATAGGCACCATTATTTCCTTTTAAAGAGCCAGTGCTTCCCTTTGCTAATTGAGTTTATTTCTTTTTAAGGCTTTTTTTAAAAATGCAAGAGGTGGGTGGTATGTCCTTTTGTGATGTGTGTGTGTATTTCTTAGGCTGGTGGTTAATACAAGAAGGCCAGGAAAAGAATGGGAAATAGAAATTAAGAATAGGAGGGTCGGGGAAGGGGGAAAAATGTTAGCACTGTAGCCTTCCTTGAAGGAGCTCAGAGCAGCATATGTAGGAGTTATCTCATGTTATCATCGCAATGATCCAGAGAGGCAGAATTAGACTGAGAGGGTCTCCCCCATTGATCTAACCCACAAACCACTATCCCTGCAAGCGTGCCCAGACACAAAAGGAAGCCAGGCTCCTGTACCTTGAAGACTTGTTGAGAAGAGGGGATTTCAACAGGTGTAGCTTTTATTGCTACACCTGTTGAATTTCCCTCTTCTACACACATGTTTATAGTGCAGGAGCCTGGCTTCCTTTTGTGGTTGGGCCCACTCGCCCTGACTCGGATAGTACATTGTTCTATCCTCTGCTCCTTATTTCAGACTGAATAGAATCAAGGTGGTTTGGTTGTGAGAGCTTTTGTTAGTGGATACCTGAGAGGCTGGTTCTCCTGCGTCACAAATATTTGTTTATTATCTGCCCTTCACCAAAAGGTCCTAGGGTGAGTTACATGGCAATCAAACAATAAAATGTGATACATAAATAACCAGCAGACTAAAATAGCAACTAATAAAACTGCTCCTATTATTGCACCGAATAGGGAATTTATTTTTCTTTACTGCTTTTCCATTTAAATGTACTCAAAACAGCTCACATCAGGGGTGGGGTAGGGAAAGCAAATCAGTACAATTTCATCTCAGGCAAGTTGCAGCTGGCAATAATAATGATGATGATGATGAGGATAATAAATTGCATGTAGGTACCTTAACTTGGTATAGGGATGCGGGTGGCGCTGTGGGTTAAACCACAGAGTCTAGGAGCTGCCAATCAGAAGGTCGGCGGTTCGAATCCCTACGATGGGGTGAGCTCCCATTGCTCAGTCCCTGCTCTTGCCAACCTAGCAGTTCAAAAGCACGTCAAAGTGCAAGTAGATAAATAGGTACCGCTCCGGCGGGAAGGTAAACGGCGTTTCCGTGCACTGCCCTGGTTCACCAGAAGCGACTTAGTCATGCTGGCCACATGACCCGGATGCTGTACGCCGGCTCCCTTGGCCAATAAAGGGAGATGAGCGCTGCAACCCCAGACTGGACCTAATGGTCAGGGGTCCCTTTACCTTTACCTTAACTTTGTGTACTTTTTATTATGAGTAGCCATCTAAGGGAGCACATGCTCTTTCTTGCAGTAGAATCTACCACAGTTCTAGAGGTGCCTAACATCTCACTATCACTTGACTTTCTTGGTTAATATTTGACAACTGAGTCCTGGAGGAGGTGCTGTATCTCAGTGGCAGACCACGTATTTTTCATGCCCAAAGTCCCGAGTTTCTGTTTCCTCCAGGTAAGGCTGGGGGAAATTCCTGATGGAAATCCTGGAGAATCAGTATAGACAATGCCTTTCAGAATAGACAAGGCTGAGCTAGACAGACCCAATAGTCTGACTCAGTGTAAGACAGTACTGTACCTATTTTGTCTGCAATTTTCTTGGTCAAATGTTGATACAGCTAAAGTTTATTTTGTGTTTCCTTTATTGCTTGGCAGTTCAAACATGCAGGTTTATAGACCCAGTTCACATGCCACGTTAAACCATGCAAGTGAGGAAACAAGCCCATGGGCCTATGTAGGCTTATCATTTCCTTCTCTCCAAACAAACCCTCAGCCCAGGTTTGCACATTGTGACAATCCTGACTCTGGCTTGTGAAGAGCAGGACAGGAACAAAAGTGTATGTGCTCATTAAATTATTCTTTATTTTAAATGGTGGTATAATGTTATGTACCAACAACCTCATATTCCTGGATTTTTTAAATGGCATCCAGGCATAGAGATGCACCCTTAAATTATACAGGCCTGTAATCACCTGATACAAAACAATCATTTCTGTGGTTGAAGATTTGATGGCTGGCTAGTCTAATCCTTGCAGGGTAGATCTTAGAGAGATTGATGCACTCCTGTGATCAGGACTACATATGTGGTCATGACATCATCCTCTGCCTGTATGACTGTTACCCATGATTTGGTCAAAGCAGGCTCCTTTGAAGGAGTCCATTTATATTCTAATGTTTGCTCCTGCACTTTTCCTGGACACATATTAGATATGCCCTAAGAAGGCATACTCCAAGAGAAGAATAGTTCCCTTACCAATATACATTTTTTGTGTCGGTGGTCGAAACGGGAATTAAAAATCAGTCAATTTCCTTGCTCTTTCCATGGGACAATTTACCTCTAATTCCTTGTGTAGGGCTTTAACAAACTGGATCTCCTCCTTTCCTCGTGGCTGGGAGAATGTGTGAAAATGGATAAAGATTTCCAATTTCAGCAGCAGGCCCTAACTGTTAAGAAGAGCAAAAACCTGGTGAAATCGGTAATTGTTGGTCTAAGGAATTGGTTCTGTCCAGCTGGTTCAGAAAGACATTTATTAGAGCTCAGGGAAAGTGACATTATTAAAGTGAGCATGCTGATTTCAGACAGCTCCCAATTCATCACTCTGACAGTGACAAACACAGTCTGAGGTTAAGCAAATGACTAAAGAGAATTCTTTGGCTTTACATTTTTAATGCTCACCACATTTTTTTGGCTGCAGAGGGTTCTATTCAAAGGATCCTCACCCTTGAATAGAAAGGGCAGAACAGGGCCATGAAACATGCTTGGATTTTGCAAATCAAGTAGGGCATCTGTCACTCCACTAGCGCTAGTTCATTTATTTTTTAATTATTCCTCACTCCTTAAAAGATCCCTTTTCTCCATTTTCAAGAAGAACAGGAGCATTTGACTCAGCTGTGCTGCCTCTGTTCTTCCAGGCTCGTTCATCATTGTCTGCCCCCTGAATGGAAAGTGGAGGGTCAGTTTTAAAAGGCTCCATGCTACAAGCTTTCCTAAATACATCAATAGCTCCCTAATGGAATTGGGGCTCTTGTCATTCAGACCACCCAGGTCTTCCAGCAAGCAAATGTACCTCAGGTACTTTGGTATACTCCATCCCATTAGCAGGCAATCTCATGTAAGCAGATTATTGTCTTTGCCACGGCTTCCCTTTCGACAGTAGCATGATGTTGGACTACTGTAAGGAGCTCTACATGGGGCTGATCTTGAAGACATTTCCAAAACTTCAATTGGTCCAGAAAGTTGCCACTAGGATGTTAGCAGGGATTGGAAGATTGGTGCATATAACTTGGGTGGGATGCTTTTAATGTATTTCTCTTTCCTTATGGCTTTGGGTTGCCTTCGACAACATAAACGACTAATCATATATATATATATATATATATATATATATTTGTGTATCAACTACACTTCTTACCAATTCAAGGTGCAGCCTAGGAACTTTAAAGCCTTAAATCACCTGATGCGAGTATCTTCAGATTTGCCACTTCTTGTGAGAACTTTCCCAAGAATTCCATTGCACTGTAGCGTAGCAGGTGGACACAAAAGAGAGGTCCATCAGGTGTGGTGCTCAGGTTGAGGAGCAGCTTACTTACAAAGGTTCACCTGAGCAATCCATTGGCCCCAATGAGTGGCAATGAAGACAATTCATCTAAGTACATTTAATTACCTTGACCTCTCATATGTACGTTTCTAATCTTATGATATTTATAGTTTGATTTTTTTATTGATTACTTTTTTAGTGAGTTGCCTTGAGTAGAGAGTGACAAATTTGTCCATTTTGTGTTGTTCAGTTTTTCATTTTTCTCATTTTTAGTCCAGTTCATCACATTTCCACATTAGGCTATGTACAATCCTTTTGATCTTAATCTATTTTTTTTTTAAAAGAACCATGGCAATATATTTTTTTTTAAAAAAATAATTATTGTCTATATGTCATAGAGTTGAAAGGGACCAGAAGGTGATCCAGTCCACCCACCTGCTCCAAAACAGGAGCTGTAAGTTTTTTTAATTGTTTTTTTAATTGTTTCTAATGCTGTAACACACCCTGGAGGGAGGGAGGGAGGGAGGGAGGGAGGGAGGGAGGGAATAAATAAAATAAGTCTCTTCATCCAACCTACTCTCTCACACCAGATCACAGTGTTCTACTAGCACTATTTAATGAGCCTACGAAGAAAATAGTTTTAGATGCTCAGGTAAAAGTGGAAAGCCACATTAAGCTGGGAAAAGCAAATGCATAAAATAAAAATACTTTTCCTCTTTCAAATCCAAAAGCAGCAGGGCATCTATCCTGAATACTTAGTTGAAAAATATATTAACTTTGGAAACCAAAGCTTCCGAAATTATTTAGCAGGACACGTTAGCATTGAGCCCAGTGGAAGCAATTTGTTTGCATCATTTACGTGCCAGCCAGTTCTGATGAGTTGTGCTCTCTTATGACACTTGATACACATGTACTTTAAATTATATATTTATTAACAGCAGGTGCGTATTGTAGGCCATGGACAACTTGAAATCCACCACAGCCCTTCAGACTGTCAAATAAGGAGATGAAGACCAGATGGAGAGTGCCTGATATTGCAGGTGCAAACATGACATTTTCAAGTATTTTTACTTTTGTTTTAAAAAATTAAGATCTTATGCCCTCTTTTAAACAGCGTTATGATTTGCAGACATTTATGGTAAAAGAAGTTTTGAAACCATTTCAGAGCACAATAAAAAACAGTATGTGACACACTTTCTTCCTGAGTGTACACATGGTATTTAAATATACTTTTCCTTATGCTATGTATTCAAAATATGCAATAAAAAACTTAAGAAAATAAAGAAAATGGCTTAAAAACTGTGATTTTTCTGGTGATTTGTGATGTTTGGCATTCATTTTATTCCTCTACTTTGCTTTTAGCAATTGTTTTTGTTTTTAACATGAAAACCTGAGGGCGGGGGGAAATATAAACACAGAAGCTGAAAATTTAAGGATGTCCATAGAAAGTGGGTTTCCTTTTTCCTGTTTCCTTTGCCTTCCTTTAATGGAATCTGGTGTCGACTAAGGTATTCTAACACTTTCTGACAATGCCATTTACCTAGAGAGGATTGACAGCAAAATTGCAGGCTGAAAGCAAAGAATGAGTTCACTTTTGTGGCTGCAACAGCTTCATTTGGTAGAACTGGCTCTCTCCTGGCCATTACCTCCGAAAACTCTTTTGCACGCATGCAATATAAGCAGCTGAGAGAGGCACAGAGCTGGCGGTCTGCTCACAAACCTTGCAGACAGGAAGACTCATTAAGGAGTCTCTGGTCATTGCTTTGTGAGTCTCAGAGGAAGTATCAGGGGCCTTATTTAAACTAGGTGTCTGGCAGACAGGTATACCAAAACCTGTCAAATGAAACTGGGGGTGGGGGTGGTGAGCGTGCAGCTGAATAAGTGAGTTCAATGGGAGGTGTGCATTTGTCTTGCTTATCTGCACAGGGACTGCTTTGTGCTGAAGGCAGGGCCTGTCACTGCAAAGACAAGGTCAGGCTGAAACAGAAAGGATAAAGCGAGCCTCCTCTGGTTCCCAGGTTACAGGATGGGAGGGATGCAATTTTTATTGCCATGTGGAACTGACTGTTCTGAGGTGCTGAAGGGTTATTTAATGAATGCCAAGCGGCTGTGTTTGAAGTTAGAAGGTCAGTCAAATATTCCCTGTAACCTTGGAGGGCTTAATCATGCCCTGAGTGCTAGCCGAGCTATTGAAGAGCAACCATCGCAAACCGGGGGATTTTGGCTTTCGCCTTTTCTTTTTCATCTGGCTGAGGTAATTCGCAGATTGGAATGCTGTGATTCGGTGGGGGCAGGAGTGCGAATGGTGGCAGGGGGGTGGCGGGAGAAGAAAAAAGTCATTTGGACTCCGTATGTTTGATTTTACTTCACAAGCTTTGTGCAAAGAAAAGAATTGTTAGGGCTTTGCTGGAGTCTCTGTGATCCCCAACGAGAAGTTCAGGCCCTAGACATCTTTTCATCTTAAGATGAAACCTCATTTTAAAAACAACATCGCAGAGATGGAGTGAGGGAAATGGCCCACATTGCTTCACATTGCTCTGCAATAAGGCCAACCTCAAAAGCTGTCGCTTAGTTCATATTCTTCGTGGTTAAGTTGGCCTCCAAGTCGTTGCTTAACGTTGATTCATGATCATGCCTTTTGCTTGCCTGGATGGAGGATTGAGAGTTGGGAGTGGAGGGAATGCTGTGTTATTTTTCTAGAAAAAGAGGTGTCAGAACTGACTCCCTTGTTCTCTTATAATGGCAATGGTACCCACCTGAGAGATGCCAGGACTGAGTTCCACCAAGTTCCGGCTGAAAAATAGCCCAGGGGGATGTACGTGTATGTCGAATTTAGCCTCCTTTACAAAGGTAACCTTTACACTCATTGCTCCACCTATCTTTTGAGGTGATGTTATTGTATTATTAACTGGTTTCATTGCATCTTTTATTTGAGTGTGACCTGCCTTGAGATAGTTTGCGAGAAAGGCTGGGATATAAAACGTGTGAATGAAGGGATGAATGAGTCAATACGTACCAAATTCATGATAGCAATTCTTCATGCCCAATGTGGGGCTCAAACCTACAGTGATGAAGCTGTACTCTGCCGCCTCAGCTAGCCACGCTGGTGTAGGAAAGGTGAACGATTAGAACATCCATACATTACTGATGCCAAATGGAAGCCAGAAGTGGATGAGTGGCTTTGCAGCAACAACCATACCACAAAGATAACATGTGAGTCACTGGACCATAGTCAGAAACAATGAGGCGGAATGATGGAGATGAGGGGCAGCCACCCAGTGCTTAATTTCTAATGTGAGAGATGCGAGGCGACCCATACCTAAACTGTGTATTCATGAAAGGCATATGTGGTTTCAGGTGTGCATGGAGGGGGGGTGCCTCTGGCAAACCCAGCTACAGTGTGCATTTCATACTGAAGTGTTTGAAAAAGAAATCCTTTCCACATAATATTGTTTACAGAAACAGCTTTTTCAAAGATGAGTTTCTGGTGGCCTTTGTTGGGAACAAAACAACAAAAAAGTGGGGAGTGTCAAAACTATAATTTGTGGGGAGGAATCGTGGATTGAATCCAGGGGTAGATCTACTATGAAACTAATGAAGCTTAAGCTTCAGGGCCCCTAATCCCAGAGAAGCCCCAGAAGCCACCTTAGTCCACATGGCTTTAAAAATTTGCTTTAAAAAGTGCATCATGCATATATGTAACATTTCCCTAATTTTCATCCCCTCCCTCCAACAACTCAAACTATAAGACATAGGACATTTTTGTTCACACCAGTGACTTTGACATGAGATAATCCAGTACAGCAATTTTAATGAAAAACTGAGATGTAGTAGTTAATTTTTAAAAAAACGTGGTGATGTGTTGTAGAATAACCCAATTAAGAAGATAGCAGTGGTTACCCAGACCTCATTGCTGGTTGCAAAGGGCTCTCCCATAACAGTTTAAACTTCAGGGCCCCCCAAATGTAGGTCCACCACTGACTGAATCTGATTGTGGATGGCAGTAGCTATCCATGTTCAAGGAACATAGGGTGCTGCCTTCCACCAACCAGGTGAAGCCTTGCCCATCTGGTGCAGGACGATATTCTCTGATTGTTTGCAGGGTCTCAGGGAAAGATGTTTAACTGGAGATGCTAAGGATTGAACCCTTGGACCTTTTGCTTGCAAAGCATATGCCTCACCACTGAGCTTGGTCCCCGGTCCCTGGTCCGTCCCCCCCAATATGAGGAGGTTTTAGGTGGGGGAGCCAAGATTCATTCTAGGTGGAAAACCTGCCGTTCTCTAATGCACTGAGCATTTGGAACGCTGCTCTAAAGTGAAAGTAAGAGATGTTCTGTTGGAAAGCAGGGAAAGAAACCCAAGCTTTTCTTTTCTCTCACCTTACTTTGTATAGATTTCCTTGGATGCTCCTGTCCTTTGCCTGTCCCAGGGGATGCCCCAGTTCACCTTTGCTTGCTTCTGTGGGCTCCATGGCTTCTGCAAGATGAAGAGGAAGAAGGAAGAGCCCAGCGCTGAGCAAGAGACCGCGGTGTGACCTTTCCTTTGTGCATCATCTTACTTCTCTCTGTTGAGTTGGAGGAGCACAGCAACTGTGGTATGATGCTGTTACCCTTGTAGGCTACCTCCTGCCCACTCTCATGGCTCTGCCCTGGAGGGAGGGGACTGAGGAGTGCAGCACCCCCCAGCACAGGGCTGCAGGTGGCCTCCAGACAAATTTTCTAGAGCCCTTAAGTCAATTTCAAAAAAGCCCTCTGCAAGGTATTAGTTTAGACCTCTGGGAAGAGAAAGCTTTCCCTCCACCAACAGCCTGCTGTGCAGGGAGACAGGACAGAGAGAGCAGATGTCAGAAAGTGAGTGAGAGAGAAAGGGGTGCCAGAAAAAAAGAGAGAAAAGGGGTGACCCCACTCATTTTTTTGGTCTGGCCTGTTCTGGCCCTACCCACAATGATCATGTGCCCCTGACAGAATGTGGCCCTCAACAGGAGAAAGGGTTGCCCGCTCCCACACTAGCATCTCTGCATCATCATAATTATTTTTAACATCACCACAGATTTGTGGAGGTGTCAACGGAGAGGTTGGAGCAAACCAAAGGAATGGTGTTTCTGGTGGAGGCTTAGTGGGGAGAACCTAGCTCCATGTCCCCCATGGAGATGCTGCCCCTCTCCTTTCGGCTCTTCCATGGAGCTTGATGGATTAGCTCAGGAAGGGATACTGGCAGGAAGAGATGAACCCATTATGTGAATGATAGCCTCTCTCATCAGTGCCAGCAGTGGGAAGAGAAGAATGTGGAAGACGTTAATCTGCTTTATTACATTTGTTTCTCTCTCCTTGTTTTTCTCCCCTAGAGACTTTGCAGGCTTGGGGGGCGGGGGGGAAACCTCGCTCTGTGCAGATAGGAATGTAACTGAGGATCCAGAAGCCAAGCTGGGCAAAATGGCAATTCTACACGGTGTCCTATTTGGAATTACCCTGAGCCTTAGAGACGGTGGGTATCATGACTTAAAAGATTCTGTTAGCTTCTTAAGATACGACTTTATGGGGTTTTTTTCATCTATTGTGTAAGAAAGCTGCCTGCAAAATCCTCCGGATATAATCAAAATGAATTTGAAAGTTCATTTAGAAACAAAGCACTAATGTGCTTATATTGGATTATCTTAATGAACATTCTGTCATACACTTTCATATAAAATCTAGTAGATGCCCCCCTTTCTACTGAAGCATTGCCACTTGCACACTGAAAAAGAAGAAGAAATTCATAACAAACAAACAAAAAGAGATGTAGTAAGTACAGCTATTTAGAGATGCTATTTACAGAAAGACTGTGACCAGGTGACCTTATGTGCCTGCTCAGTTTGCTGTCCCAGGTCCTCACAGTTGAGGGGCAAGCTGAAGACCTTGCAGCTCCTCCTCCTTATGGTTTTAAACTCAACTTGGACTGGATAGTCCTCCCAAGAGAGGACGTCCTCAAACAGAAGATTGTCCTATGTAAAGTAGGACACATGGCCACTCTATTAATTGCTGAGCCCATTTCAATTATTCAATAAAACCAAAAAAGGCATGAGAGAGAAGGGAGCCTTTTAGCTATATAAATATACTTGTTTTAACTGATTTTAATATTGTATTTTTCCATTGTTGTAACCCAGCTTGGGACCTTATAATTAGGTGTAGGATACGAGACCTAATTAATAATAATGAATGAACAAATACTACCACTATTACTACTACTGCAGGCCGCCTGACCCTTGACAGTGTAAAATTTCCTGAGCTGGAACTATCATTCTAATGCATGGTGTTCCAGTGTGTTTATATTAGGATTGAGGAACTAGATCTGGCTAAAGAATCAGATGCATAGCGGCCAATCCTCCATGGGCCACTTGGGCAGATGAGAAGGGATGCCTACCTGTCAGTCACCTGACATCAGCTGACTGAAACTGCAAAGGAAGATTGTTCCTTCATTTGTGATCCCAAATTGAATCAGATACTTTAAAAATTTAAGCTATGGCTGCAAAGGAAGACTCGAGAATGCACCCCTGATGCTTTCTTTGTAGCCTTGGCTTGAATTCTGCCCTTTTTGAATATAACTAACACCTTTTTCTGTCATCAGGCACAGGAAAAGTGGGCATGGTTCACCCAAGACAGCCTGGGGGGCCGACTTCTGAGACCATTACTGCTTTTTATCATGAGGGCATAATTTGATGCATGTCACGCCACATATCTTTATTCTATGGGGCACAGGAGATTAATACAGAATAAATCTAGCCCTGGAAGTATCCGATGAGCTGACTGTGGATGGCATGCAAGTTTATCTTATGATAAACTCTCTTAACCTTTCCAAGCTTCTCATCTCTGCCAAGAGACCAGATTTGCACCATAGTAGCAAAGCTGTACATGCTGGTGACTTGAGCTCTTTTTAGGAGGACTTACAAGTCTGGCTGATTGCCAACAAGCACACAGCAATTGTTCTATTTTCTTAGCCCATAATGGGAATGTAAAATTTGTGTCCAGTAAAGATGACCAACTATGAGCTAAATATGATGTCATTCCAGGGAAGGGGTCCTCCCCCCCCTTTTTGTAAAGAAAAAAAATAGAAACTAAATAGGTTTTAATCAATCTTTGTCAAGTTCTAGGGAATGATGTTGCTGTAGGAGATGGCTGAAATGTTCCAAACCTGTAATTCTAAAGAGCAGTAAAATAATGGGCATGAAGCCACAATGAGGATTCATCTCCTCACAGAATCAGTTTTAAAAGTTCACAGGAGTCCTTTTCTCCTTCTCATTGCCATGGAGCTGAATGAAGACACTCATACAAGACTTTGGCTAGTTCAACTATACACAAAAACAAGGCTAGGAAAGCAGCCTAACTCATCTAACAATGGAAGCCACCCTGGTACAATTTGGCCATCGCAACAAAGCGTGCTCTCTGGATACCACCACCTTATACATTGTTACTTTGGACCAAGTCCCACTGAACTCAGTGGAAGCCTATTTCTGATGTAGGATCAATATATTTTAGATTCATTGTCTTCTCAAAGAGCATTCAAAATGCATTCTAACCACATTTTAGCCACAAAAAGTGTGCAAGTCTCATCTCCATAAAATAAGTGTCAAGATTACCTTACCTTACCGCCGCTTTAAGATGTTGAACTATCTATGCCACCTTGTACAAATCTGGGGATGCTAGCCAATAGGCATCCACCAGAGCTGAAATTTCTGCAGTTTAGATTGAACCATGATGAAAACTGCATAACTAGGATTTTTTTCTCCAAAGCTTGCACTAGGACAAACATACACATTTACTTGGAACTACCAAACCATCTCCCATCGTGCTTAATAAGTCCTGCCCCCCTCATATACATAACTATATAGCCCTTGATGTTTTCCAGATGAACTGCTCACTACCATTTTCAAGATAAGTTCTTCCCCTCTAAGGAAGCCATTTCCAACAAAACTTATTTAATATGTTCATCCCTATAGAAGGTAATAATGTAAACAGAGTGCACTATCCCCAGTTTCCACATACACGTACATTCAGACAAGGCTGTATCAGAACTAATCAAGCAGTGACATTGTTTTTGCCCTCATCCTTGTCTCTAAAATTACATTGGCAGACTTCAGTGTTGACTCTAAATCATATGGCTCAGAGTTGTTTAACCTGCTAGTTTATATTTTCCAAGTATCAATACAGTGTAACCTCAGGTTACAGACACTTCAGGTTACAGACTTCACTATCCCAGAAATAGTACTTCAGGTTAAGAACTTTGCTTCAGGATGAGAACAGAAATCGTGCAGCGGCAGTGGGAGGCCCCGTTAGCTAAAATGGCACCTCAGGTTAAGAACAGTTTCAGGTTAAAAACGGACCTCCAGAATGAATTAAGTTCTTAACCAGAGGTACCACTGTACTGCAATGTATGGATGCAAATGACTCATTTTTGGTTGGAATCATGTGCATCCAAAAGAAACATAATAATATTTGCAGTTTTTCAACTTTGAGAAAGATGTTTAAAAATGAATGAGCATCAACAGTCAATATAGGTGAGTGGGAAGTTAGTCGGTGTGTGTGTGTGTCAAGATTTTTACCATTAACACTAATTGCCTGCAACTTTGCTTCAGGGTATCTTTCAAGATAGATAATATATTGTCTGTCTGGATAAATATTAGTCTTGCTCGGAGCCAGAATGTCTCTCAAATGTTTAATGGTAGGGTAGGAAACAAAACTGTGTGTGTGATGAAGCTGTCTTCAAAGTTGTGCTTTGTTTTGATCTTTTGACAGAGGTGATGCTGCCAAGACAACTTTCATTGCACCCGTTTAAGGTAAATGACAAGTTTTTGTGACCAGCTGGATGGGTGCAGGACATGCACAAATTGCAGGAATGAAGCCAAGGAAGGGAGAATGAGTCAAATACCTTGTTGTACAGCTTCCCAAGAAGAAACTGTGCTAAATTATAAACATGAACATCTTTCCCAGCCTAAACCACTCTGCTATGTACACTTGCACTACTAATCCTAGAATCTTAAACTGTGAAATAGGAATAAATCCAATAATTGTGTTATTTCTGACTGGCATTTAAAGGTATTACAAAAATAGAAGTATCAGGTTAATTTCAGGTTGTACAGTTACTGCATTCCAATATTACCTAAAGTAGAAAGGATACTTTTAAAAAATCATAATACAGTTGTATGGTGGGTTTTTGCACTGAGGCTGATATGGCTATAAGAAGCACTTTATTTCTACAGGGTCAGTAGATATATGTTTTGGGATGAGGTTAGACCAGCATCTAAACGTTCATGGCTTTGTTGCTTGCAAGGATACAGTCCCTCAGGAGATAGAAACAAAGAAAACCAAACATCTACTCAGTATCTCTTACCTTCTACTTATAGCTTATTGCTATAACCATCTGATGTGTTCTCTGAATTTCAAAGCTGAATGCCTGGGTGGTCAGTGAATTTATGAATTTTTCAGAGGGTGGCTGAAAATGTTTTATATTATTTTGTCTGGCCATAGAAAATACTGCAGTGACCAAATCTTGTCATAATTATCATTGTAAGCAATAGGCACTATATTGAAATTGAATGAAATCCTGTGCATATTTAGGTATGCAGTATACAAAACTGTGGGCTGGATTGATTCTGCATCTCTGATTAATGGAAAGAATTGTTATCTACCCCATCTATTTATTGAATGTACCTGCAGTCAATTCGCACAGTCACATTTATGAGTGACCACACGTGTATATAGACCACTAATGATTCAAGTAAAGTCTATATAGATTTATAGATTTATCTATATACAAATATAGTCTAAGTTTACTCTTAATTATGCTGGAGCCTAGCTAGTGCACAGCAATTTATTTTTATTTCAAAATGTACTACGTTCTCTGAAATACATATGTGTAGAGATGGGCATTGGTCAAACCCAGCAACTTTGAGATCCTTGGATGTACACACCTTGAACCTACCAGAAACATTACAAGGCAATCATATATCTTTGTGAAATAAATTAGAAACTCAAATGTTTCTTTAGTTAGGTTCGTGAAAGCTGTTTTTTCCACAGGGCAGAGAACTTGCCGAGAAGTTACAAAGACAACAGATAACTCTTTCTGTCTTTGCTATATGACTCCAACAAGTTCCTCTTCTGGGAACAATGACACTGATTGTGTCATTGGATATAACAGTAATATTGTATGTATTCAGGGTCAAAGGTGCTATACAAAAGCTAAGTGTTAGCGATAAAGCACAAGCTTCAGTCCATTCCTTTTGACAAACTACTTAAACACCTACTTATATCTAGCTGTAGGCTTTGAGAATCACAGCTACCTTGGAAGTTAGTTCCTTTGAACAACTTGAGCACAGAGTCATTGAAAAGGGATGGAATTAAGTGTGCCTCCAAACACTTGCTAGGCCAGACCTAATGATAGTGGTCCATATTCACCGTTACTGTAATTCCTGTGACCTCCATGGATGTTCAAAACTCTCCACATTTAATGGTACTGATGTGTCCTTATCAGCCATCCAAACCTCCTTTGAGCAGTGCACGAGATTCCAGGGGTCTTGGCACTTAACCAAGGTTTGTGTTCCATTTGGAAAATTAAGGCACATATGCAGTGTATTGAAGTCCTGAACAGGATAAGCGTTATAGCCTGTATTTTTACACTGTTCTTTCTATCTTCCCTTAATACTCCAAATATGAGCTACATGATAATATTTACTAATTTAAGAGTTTAGGGGGATCTGCCTGACAAACCCATAACAATATGTTTACTGCCATTAACCGACAACCTGGGTATTGAGACTCACTATATAGTCATTTTCAAGCCATCTATATTGATTTAAAACACTGGGGAATCTAACTCATCCAGAATGCATGTATCATCCATGGGGAATATGCCAGCAGAAGCCCCTGCAGTTCCTAGATGTAAATCTATGTCATGGGCATCAGAAATGGTAGCGATTGTGGTATTGGAATGTCTGAGGAAACAGATAAAGGCATTGCCTGTAACAAGAGGAGCAAATAAGAGTAATTGAGGGCACGGGCAGAAATACAACTTGGCATAGACCTTGATGCCTTTCCAAGGCACTCCAGTGTGGTGTAGTGGTTAAGAGCGGTAGGCTCGTAATCTGGTGAACCGGGTTCACGTCTCCGCTCCTCCACATGCAGCTGCTGGGCTTGGGCTAGTCACACTTCTCAGCCCCACTCACCTCACAGAGTGTTTGTTGTGGGGGAGGAAAGGAAAGGAGAATGTTAGCCGCTTTGAGACTCCTTCGGGTAGTGATAAAGCGGGATATCAAATCCAAACTCCTCCTCTTCTTCATCTGAAAAAGTCTGATGCTTCCAAGTTCATTATAAAGGATGTCACGTTTAGGGAGCTTTCTTCTGTCATAATTATGGGTCATGCCCCATATTAAACCTCCACCTGCCCCCATCAGTGGTAGCTGTTACCTGTTACACATGCTCTGTTCATCTGCGATACTTTGGCCAACTTTTAGAGCTGGCAAGACCAAACTGTGTAGTAGTTAACAAGAGACAGTCAGTTGGGTCATGTCAGGACATATCTCTGCAGCAGGGACAAACGAGTCTTAAATGTTCCTAGCATAGCCCCACAGTCCATCCCCCTTTGCTGCGGACGATTTGTTCAGATCTCACTGCATGGAAAATCTTGAGCCTATCTTGAATGCCTTCTGTGTCTTGTTTTGTTTGCTCACATTGCATTTCCCCCCCTAAAACTCTGAAATGTCTATTCAGGCTTCTTTGTGGGAAACCCCCTGGACATAAGGGTAGATGAAAATAGATGCTGTTATATTAACTATTTTTAGATCTCATTGTAATTGTGCCTATCGTGCAGAAAGTTCTTGCCTTGCTATGCCATACTGGTTGGTCTGACCTGGATCTCCAGCTCTTGTCAGTAAAAAGGAGTCTTACTTGAACTGAGGACAGGGAAACACGAAGGCAGAAAATGTCCCCGAAGCTGGCTACATTTGTTTCTGCTCCCCTTTTTGCTCTCTGGATTCCATCATATAGGAACCTAAATAGAAATATTCCTCAGTAGTCTTCCAGCCTCAGTAGCCATAGAAACCAGCTATTTTTATCTATTTTGCATGATATCAATAAATGACTTTTTCTACACTGGATAGACAGGTCAACTCAGCTTCCTGCTAACTGGATGTCCTTAATAAGCCATGCATATCTCTTGTATAATATTGTACACTGAGAATAGAAAACAGGATTGTTTGTAAGTGCACAAAGGATCCTGCTATGTAGATAATTCACATTCTATTACGTACCCTTTCAGAGAGAGAAAATATTTACGAGAATTTTTAGAATACACCCTTTGTAGTATTTATTTATTTTAAAAAATGTATTGAGAACCAGGTGGTGGTTGTCATTTATCCTTGATACACAAGCATTCGCTTTTAACAAAGATGACAGCTTTTTTAAAAAAAAGACACACCACAGTGTCTCCTTCAGATTAAATTAATGACTGTGAGAATATCATTGTAACACTAAAGAAAGCCAGCCAAAAATAGTGTAATTGTTTTATGGAATCCAGTCTGTATTTGCTAAAAGAGGCTTTTATAAAGCAGGATAAATAATCAAATTTGTATGCTCAATAATCAAGTGCACTTCACAAAAGAACATAATTGCAATTTGTAATGCAGGATGCTTCTCCTAGGATTTCCGGTCCCACAATTGGATGATTATGGTAGTCTGCCATATCTCTTTGGAGTCCTAAATGTTTATCCATTTATTTACATTGCAGAGATGAAGGCATTGCAATACATGTAAAATGTTTATTTGAAACCTATACAGTAGAGTCTCCATTGTCAAAACCTTAATTGAAAACTTGTTATCCGAATTCACTGTGTACTTCAGAACTTCTGTATCCCTCTGAAAATAATATTTCCATTTATGTGGCCCACTGAGTATCTGAATGCTTTGGATGACTCCAAGGCCATTTCAACACACATATCTGTACAGAATTGCTGTATGTGCCCTTAAAATCCTATGAGCCTTTTGGTTGGGGAATTTTTTCTGGTGAAAAAAAATGGTGCTAAAAATACATATTCATGGATTGTATGTGATATATATGATATATATTGATACAAAGTAAGGCTCATTGACAACTTGCTAGATGTTACTGAGATTACCTTGCTAAAATGAAAGAGATCGTTCTACATGCCCCAAAACCTTAGCTATGATAAAATCAGAGAAGCCCAACTGACTTTATTACTGATGCAATCCTGCTGAGCATGTTATATATACTTTCCAGTGCTTCTCAACACTGACACAGCAGGACCCTCTTCCAATTGGATCAGTAAACCCCTCACGGCACAGCTGATTTTCTTTTAGCCCTTAACAGATATATTTTGGGTTGTAACAACATAAAGCCCAAAGACTTCTGCTCTAACAAGGTGGTTTACAAGGTTGTATTATAAATTATAGATGCCTATCATGTCTGTATCTTTCACTGAAATACTTGCCGATCGATTGGCCTTCTGGCTGATTAATTCCCTTTTCTTCCCAATGCCCGTTTTCGAACCAGCTTGCTTGACTTCAGTTCCTTCCTTTGTATTTTCTTTCTGTAAACTATGCACTTGAAGTAAGCACTTTTTTGCTCTAACTGTGAAAGCATGCTTAGGAGAGCAGATATGTTAATTGCTGTAATAAACAGACTTTATTATTACGTCTCTGTGCAGTCTATAAATTACATCTGCTGTTGCTTGATGCTTTCTTTATTGTTACTACGGATGAACTGAAATACATCCCTAACCTGAACCACTGGTTACTTAAACAAGTGAAAGGAGCACAAAGGTAGAAACACTTGCTGACTATGATCAGGAATAGAAAGCAAAAGGGTGGCTGAAAGAGAAGGCAAATGAGGCCGCTTTGCTGGAAAATGAGCTGTCCACCCTCCTTTTTATTATTCAGTATGATGAAAACAACACAGAAATAGCACAGCCATTACAATGTTTTCAGTTAACAAGTTTTTAGATCTATATACACTACCCTGGCAGCCTAGAATATTCTAGATGTTTGGGCCACTGGGCCAGGAAATCCAAAAGGTGCCCTCCAAAGTGGCACATGCCTAACATCTTGCTGTTCTTTAAAGCCATCTCCAAATCTGATGCTTAATGGTAGGATGAACTCTGCATGACAATGTGTAAAGGAAATAGAATGAGTGGGAAGGTCCTCTTAAATCCCTGCTGATGTATCTAGGCATATCCACCCTGGCACCTCCAGGCAGGGATGAAGAAAAACCTGTAGTTAGTGTAGACCAGTGAAGGCCAAACTTGGCCCTCCAGCTGTTTTGGGACTATAATTCCCATCATCTCTGACCACTGGTCCTGTTAGCTAGGGATGATGGAAGTTGTAGTCCCAAAACAGCTGGAGGGCCAAGTTTGGTGTAGACTGGTGTAGACCAAGGATGAGGAATCACAGGCCTGGAGGCCAATGTAAAAGCCTCTTTCAAGCCCTCATGACTCTCCCTTGGCCATACATGCTTTCCAGGCCACAGCCCTCACCAGCCCTGCTTTGTACTCTCCTAGGGTGTAGTTGCCTGGCTGGAATATGTATGCAAACTCGGGTTAGGATTGCCTGGATGGAAGACTGAGGGAGAAACTAGTCTACCATAAAGGTAAAGGGACCCCTGACCATTAGGTCCAGTTGCAGACGACTCTGGGATTGCGGCACTCATCTCACTTTATTGGCTGAGGGAGCCGGCATGACTAAGCCGCTTCTGGCAAACCAGAGCAGCGCATGGAAACGCTGTTTACCTTTCTGCTGGAGCGGTACCTATTTATCTACTTGCACTTTGATGTGCTTTCAAAATGCTAGGTTGGCAGGAGCAGGGACCGAGCAACTGGAGCTCACCCCGTCATGGTGATTCGAACTGCCAACCTTCTGATTGGCAAGCCCTAGGCTCTGTGGTTTAACCCACAGCACCACCCGCATCCATACAAACATAATAAATTCACATTTGCTGATGTGCCCACTCTTGTCTCTGGTCTGTTCCATTGGCAATGCTTTTTACTAGAACCAACTAATATGTCACCAAATCATGACAAGCTTTCCACTTCTACAGAAGTCTATCAGGCAAGATGCTACACAAAGTATGGGGGAGGGGAGGGGGAAGTACAAAAACTAGCCTGAGTGTTGTAACCAGGTCAGTTTACAGATTCAGTTCCAAGATGGAGATTGCAGAGTGACTGGCCTCTCCCAGGTGTCAGAGCCATGAGGATCCCCCTTATCCATTCTCCTCGTATGTTGTGTAAGATATTTGAGTTCTGGGGAACTCACAAATTTGTTAGAATTTTGTGACATTTTGGTTGGTCCTAAGACAGCTATTGCTCAGGGAGATCTTGAGATGAAGACTGAAACCAAAGAAGCATCCAAAAGACGAAAATGTTGTAGTTACAGATAACCTTGGCCAGTGGCGTAGCGTGGGTTGTCAGTACCTGGGGCAAGGCAAGTAATTTGCGCCCCCTAACCCGTGGATTTGCGCCCCCTAACCCTAACCCCCAGATGTTGCGCCCCGCCCCCCCTGCACCCCCCACACTACGCCACTGACCTTGGCTACCCTCACAGGTCTAATTCCAGCATTTAATCTACTGGATAAATGGTTCTTTAGTAAGATGGGTGTGTTCCCTAATACCTTTTATTGCCTTAGATATTCCAGGTTCTAAAAATAAAACTGCAAAAGTTGTCACCAGTTTTAAATAGACTTGAAGGATTTATTTAAACATGATGGTTTGTGATTTTATATATATATGTATAACTTTATTTTCAAGGTCTAGGCCTTCATAAGACATACCTGAATGTATTAAAACAATACAAATACAATAAAAAATCAACAGAAAGATAACCAACATAAATCAGATTAAAGCAGCAAAAAGAATACAGAGAGCCTCCTTTTTTAAAAAAAAAAAAAAACCCAATCCAAATAAAAAGAAACCAGCCTTTTATAATATTTCAAGATCACTTGTCTTTTTTGTTATTTCCCAAAGAGAGCAACCCTAGTATGAGAAAAGGACATATGAAACACTATCATCTATATGTAGCCTATATCCAAAATCCAGGAAGGTCACTTGAAACTCTGTAAGAGATCAATAAACCTCAGATTTAAGCCTTATTTGATGTGGAGAGCTCCAAATCTAGTAATCTAATCCAAAATGAAAAATAAATGTGTGAACCACCCTAAAGATGAAGTGTAAAAGAACCACAAAGCCTTTTACACTCAAATCCCTTTCTCTGCTTTAATGGTAAAATATATTCCTGTGAATTATTAGATTATTAGAATTATTAGATTCCTTAGGTAAGATATAAAGAACAAAGTAGCAGCAGTCTGTATCAAAACAAGTACATGCTTCACAAAGCTTTTTGCTGGGATATAAAATGTCAAGACAAACTTTATTATCTATTGCAGTGGTGGGCAGACTTCAAACATGCTTTTCCCCTAGAACTCAAGAGCTGGAGTGAAGTGCAAAATATTGGCTTAGAAAGAGGAACAGACATATGCTTAGAACTAACAAAGAGGGCTCCTCTAGGAATAACCCATCCCAGAATATTTTTCAGTGTTGGAACTGAAATAAAAGTCCTTTCACACAAAAATCCATTCTTGGTTTCCCCCCCATCTATGCTTTTTTTTTGGTTTTTTGTTTTTTTGTTTCAGTAGCCTAATTTCAGGAGGAAAGCTGAAGTTATGGGAGTCAGATATCTTTGCTAAGGACCTGGTAGATATGGATCAACTTTTTGCCTACCCCTGACTATTGTATGTGTGTCATTAAAAGTTGAATAAATTATACCGGAAACTTCAACAAACATGTTAAAAAACCCCATTTATTATAAGATACAAGGCATTTAGAGATATCCTAAGGTAAAACTTCAATAGGGGCTCTTCCAGAAATCAGCTTCCATAGGGACAGCAGCTGCTGATCTGAAAGTACATTTTAACCAAAAAAAAGTGCTGGTAAAAGTGCTAAAGAAGTATTTAAAAAGCAAACAATTCAGAGAATGGGCACATAATAGCGTTAAGAAGATGAGGTCCGCATGGGGCAACTGAGATTAGGGCCCTGAGCAGACTCTTTCAGAGGTCCTGACAGGTTCAGGCCGCTTCCAGCTGTTGAGGATGCTAGTGATAAGAACAATAAAAGAGATGACATGTGAAAACAATTAGACACAAAAAACTGGTTTTGCTTATATAAACAGCAGATTTCAGAAGACATGTTCATCAAGGTCCAATTTTGTGCCATCAGAACCGATGTATTTTTACGAATATTTGTGATCATTTTAAACTCTTTAACAGGACAAAATCTGTATCAGTTAACAACAACAAAATTACATTTAATTTGCTTAAATTTGCAGCCCTAATTGGACAGAGTGGGCCACTTTTTGGGGGGATGTCTGATGCACATAAATACAAGTTGTGAAACTTATCTAATGCCAAAAAACAAACAACTGTGTGAGGTCTCCACCCTAAATCAATAAGTGTCTAAATTTAATGCCTTGGCAAAATGGCCTTCCTGGGTCCCCCTCTGCTTGGCCTTTGCCCTGAGTGCACAAAAAAAAACATGGCTCTGGCACCTGTCTTTTACTTCACAAAACAGTTAGAAAGAAGTGATTGATGCCAAAGCTTGATAAATAGCAGGTTAGATAAGAAAAAAATTAACCTGAAATGGAGTCAGTGAAAGCTATTATTTCAATGGCATTTCCATGTAAGCATTTGTTGGTTTGTACCTTTATTATAGGTATTTAGGGATGCGGGTGGCGCTGTGGTCTAAACCACTGAGGCTTAGGCTTGCCGATCAGAAGGTCGGCGGTTCAAATCCCTGCAACAGGGTGAGCGCCCGTTGCTCGGTCCCAGCTCCTGCCAATCTAGCAGTTTAAAAGCACGTCCAGTGCAAGTAGATAAATAGGTACCCATAACCCCAGTCAAGCTTGCAAAAATCTACCATTTGCCTGATAATAAATGTTGGAAATGTAAAGAAACTGAAGGTACATTTTTTCACCTTTGGTGGACGTGCCCAAAGATTAAGGCTTTCTGGGAGATGATATATAATGAATTAAAAAAGGTATTTAAATATACCTTCTTGAAGAAACCAGAGGCCTTTCTCCTGGGCATAGTCGGCCAATCGGTGTTAAAAAAGGATAGAACTTTCTTTATGTATGCTACAACAGCAGCAAGAATACTCATCGCAAAGTATTGGAAGACACGAGAGTTACCCACACTGGAGGAATGGCAGATGAAAATGATGGACTACATGGAATTGGCGGAAATGACTGGCAGAATCCGTGACCAGGGAGAAGAGTTGGTGGAAGAAGATTGGAAGAAATTCAAAGATTATTTACAGAAATATTGCAAAATTAATGAATGTTAGAGTGATGTTGGATTGAAGTTAAGTGGCTTCTAGCTGTACAGGCTTTAAAGTTATAAATATATCAAGATTAAGGATTAGGATTAAAAAGGTTAAAAGAAATGGAAAAATTGGTTTTTAATAGGTAAAAATTTAATGTTATAATATATTAAGATTAAGGATTGGGATTAAAAAGGAGGGAAAGAAATTGCTGGACTAACAAACTGAATTGGAATACAAAAGAGGGAGGTATGAGGAAGTCCGGGAAACAAGTAAATGTAAAATAAGTTATGAAAAGACGGAATTGTTTTTAACTGTTTTTTTTCCTCTTTTTATTTTTTCGTATTTTGTATTTTGTATTTTTCTTTTTTCTTTTTAAGTTTCTCTTGTCTATTAATGTGACTTTATTTTTTCTGAAATTTTAATAAATATTAATTAAAAAAAAAAAAAAAGATAAATAGGTACCACTCCGGGGGGAAGGGAAAGGGTGTTTCCGTGAACTGTTCTCGTTCGCCAGAAGCGGCTTAATCATGCTGGCCACATGACCCAGAAGCTGTCTGCGGACAAACACCGGCTCCCTCAGCCAGTAAAATGAGATGAGCGCCGCAACCTGAGTCATCCGCAACTTAATTGGTCAGGGGTCCCTTTGCCTTTATTATTTAACCCAGGCCCACTTCACATATAGGTTAGTTTTCATATATCTTTTCCCCAAAACACCAATGTCTCTTTGGTCAGAGGTCTGCACATTTAATTTTATGGCAGCCAGCAGCAGCAGGCTGCCCTCAGTTTAAAAATAACTATTTTGACAGTTTTGATGCAGCTATGTGAACTACATGATTTTTGCATTCTGTACTGCCTGGAGCTATATGAGCTGAGAATAAGGCAGTAAGGAAAAAGATCAGACAGTGCCATCTGCAGGGCTTTCCCTCAGCTTTTTTCCCCACAGAACACAGCAGCTAGCAAAGCAGCACTTTGGAAACTTAATTCCTTCCACGAGGGCACTTCGCCACAGCAGGAGTCTAAGATCCACAGTAGGCTGAAGATAGGCCAGGTTTTTTGGATATAAGTGAAAGCAATGAATGGTGTCATAAACATCATTTACAGAGATCCCTGATGAGGAAGAAAGGATAGAAGGGAAAATTGTCACTTAACCCTTGGGTTGCAACCTTATTGATGAAGCTGTTAAATTAACCTTTTAAAACTAATTGCACAAGCATCCCTGTTTACTCAGACAACATCTGGAGAAAAGTTAATGATTTTGGAGATTTTCAGTGCAAAAAAATTAAGTATAAATTTCATACAGAACCATCTTAGAAGTATTCTCCTTACTAAAGATCCACCGTCTTCAAATGGGCTGTATGGGGTGTTAGGACAGGAGTAGTACCTCTACTGTTGGGGGACATGTTGTGCTCCTTCTGGGGTAGTTTCTCCATCTTTGGTCCCCACCCTGCACTCAGCTCTCATCTGTGGCTCCTGGAAGCTGTCACCATTTGACAGCAGCCACACCCCAGGAACAGCTTCAACTGGCCAGCTAAACCAGGTGAGAGTAGCTGATGGGTCTCAAACCATCAGTGAGTTAGGGATTTTCACAGCATGTGAAGACAGGTTCTGGCAGACTGATGGATGAGACCAATAGTAAGTCCAATGGTCAAGACGGTGGTTTCTGCATGTGCTGTAGAAGGGAGGGGCAGATGGGGCTCATCAACCTGGAAAGGGAGTCCATCTAGGAGAAGGAAAACTCTGATCCTAGATCTCTGCTGCCTTGCAGGATACCTTGGGGGGGAGGCAAAGGAGTAAACCCTACAAAAATCCAGAGTGGAGTCCCTAAGACGGTTTGATGGTGCCTTGTAGGTCTTCTTCTGGCAACTCCAGCAGCCAACCTGGTGCCAAACATATTGCTCTGCTTTCATCAGTGAAGCTGAGAGGAGGGTCTTGTCATCTGGGCAGCCCAGGACCTCCATACACACTGTGCAGGCTTATGGCCTGGAGAGGTCACTTTGGTGCTACTACTGCAGCAATTTGACTTCACCCCTGGAGGCACACTCCATTGTGTCTTGAGGCAGAGGGATGCCAACAGCCATCTTGAAATAGTGCCTGATGAGAAGTATGCAAATGGCTTTAAAAACAAACTAAAACACTATTCCCCCCCTTTCAGAACCATTGCCTCATGCAAACTGATACAGATTTAGTCAATCTGATCAATTATTTTATCAAGTAGCAACCTGATCCTGTTAGGTGAGCTAAAAAGCACATTGATTTGGATGGGTTGGAGTGTGCTATCACTGCCTAGAATGCAGTTTCACATATGCACAGGATTTCTGTGGTGACAATCCTGTGCACACTTACTTGGTAGTGGTGATGAAGCAGACTCAGTACTGTACACAAAAAGCTTGTACCATACTAAATTTGGAGTCAGTCTTCAAGGAATTACAGCACTGTAGCTTTTACTTGGGAGTAAGTCCCATTGAACTAATTATTTCCTTTTGAGTTCTAGTTAAATGTGCTTAGACTGCAAACAGTCTATACCGCTATTTATACGCTATTTATATTTCTATTTATACGACTATTACATTTCTAGGAAAGCAGTAATTTGGTGAAATGCTGGCTCTCCTACAGGCATGCACATGCATGGTTTCGGCTGGACTTTAGTTGGCAGGTGGCAGCTGTAAGATTTATTGGCGTGGGTTACGTGGACTCAAGTCTTCCGTGGCATCAATGTTATCGACCTGTTGTGTGTGAAAGTGTACGCGGTTTACATCTTCATTAAATTACAGAGGTGAAGTCAATATGGAGACGACAACAAAATAAGAGAGTCTTGTTGTGCATTAAAGACTTTAACCATTCATGAGAGAGGTAAGAAGTGTTGGTCTGCCAACTGAGGACTTCTCATGCCTCAGAAGACTCGGTCCACAAAATAGCTACACCTTTTTAAAGTGACACAAGGCTCTTTGTTGTATTTTCCTATCAACAGCGACAGCTCGCTCTGCAAGCACCGCGTTCCCTGCCCACTTCGAACCTTACCACTTATTGCTCCCCCCCCCCCGCCCGCAGGACCTTTAGTGGACCTGTCCAGTAAAAGTATGTTCCCCACAAGGTGGTAGCTTCCGGCGTAACTGCCTTCTCAGGGTCTCAGTTTCCCCCGTAGGTTCCGCCCATAAAGAGGCGTGGTCTGCCTGGTGGTTGGCTGGGTAAACACATAGGGGCTGTCCTTCAAAACGGCGGTTTCAAAACAGCCCGGGAGGGCGCGAAGCTGTTGCTCCTCCTACTAGCTGCCTTGACATCTCTTTCTGCGGGGGGCTTAGAGTAGGGTTTTGAAGTGAAAATAAGTAAGGCTATGTAATTTCTTTACTTCCTTTAGCAAAGGGTAGCCAGTCTAGGAATGCAGAAAAAGCAAGGTCCCCCACCTCGGTGAGTGTGTATTTAAAAAAAAACCCCAAACAGAGCAGAGCGCATGCGCAAAGAGGAAGCGGGGGGAGGGGGGAAAGCAAGCCGAAGAGCGGCGGCAGACTCTTCAAGCTGAGCTTTCCAAGAGCTTCCTAAGACCTCGTGGCGCAACGGTAGCGCGTCTGACTCCAGATCAGAAGGCTGCGTGTTCGAATCACGTCGGGGTCACGGGTCCCCGGGAGGGGATTTATTTTACCCCTTCGATGAAGTTGTAAGCAAGCGGAGTCGAAGGTTTAAAAATACCTTATGTTTAGAAACACGCCGGCCGTTTAAGAGCAGGGGGGGCGCCCCCTCGGGGTTTGCAGTGCAGGGCGAGGAACCCAGACGGGGGTGAAAACGGGCGTAAAAGGCGCGGGGGTGGGAGGGGCGTCGCGTTCCGCGTGGAATGTGGCGAATGGAGCGCGACAGCTTCGTGAGAGCGAGGAGACTGAATCGTGAGGCGGGAAAGCGAAAGGGCGAGGCCCAGTTTGCTACCGTCCAGGACGAGTTAATAGGACCGAGGGGCCATCCAGATTCATTTGCCTTTTCTTTTCCAAAGGAGGGAGGAGGCAAGTTTGAAAAGTAATAGCCGTTTAGGGAAACTACCTCACAGAGCACTGTGAATTTTTATAGGGCGTTATTAAAGCCCCTCAATGAGGTAAATATAGAGCAAAACAAGGTTCAGGAGATGCTTTTGGGGAGGCCCTACGGAGTGCTTTTTTTCCTTAAAAAATGTTTAGGGGTACTCTCATTTTGACTCAAGAAAATCGATTTATAGTTCAAATCGGGGGAAATAAATACAGTAAATAGTGCAAAGTAAAAGTACAGTGCAAATACAGTAAAAGTACAAAGATTCACAAAATGTTTAGTGGTATGTGTACCCCCAGAAAAAACACACCGGCCCTACCCCTTTTTACACTGCATTCTGTTACTTGCTGTTTGTTCACAATATTGAAAACGTGGCCATTTTCATTTTTAAAACCCAGATGTCCTATTTTCTATATCCCTCAGAAAAAGAGAAGGGTGAATCTGAAATTTTATCCTCTTTCCAGCCCCTCACTTTCACATACATTTTAAAGAACATGGCATTCAGATTTTTTTTGAAATGGAAAATTAGGGACTGACAGGGTCGGCTCCAGATTTGAGAAACTCCAGGGCAAAAGTGCTTTGGTGGAGCTGGCAGGAGGCTTACCTAGCTGTTTGTATCAGCTGGTTGGGATCCAGCCTCCCTTTTAATTTTTCACAACATCTGATCTAGCATTACTCTGGGGGAATTGTGGGGAATTAAAAGTGTGTCCCGATGAAGCTGTACGGACAAGATGTACTGACACTGCTGCATGTGGGACACCCTGACCCCCATTGCTCAGGACCTCCTCAGACTTGGAGCTGGTCCTATCATTCCCCCAATTTTTCATCCCATAAAATGTGTTCCTAGCCGCCGCAACCCAAAAAAAGGCATGGGGACCTGGTGTGTGTGCGTGTGTAATCTGCTGGCTTCCGAAGGGTTCCGAACGCTCGTGCCAGTTCTTGGGGTGATTTAATTGGAAACACCTAAAAGATGTGAAGATGCTCACCTCAAGGGTATTCCTTCTGGGTGCCTCCTGACTTGCTGTTTTGCAGAAATAATTCTGGAAATACTGGTTTCTGCAGTTAAAATTGTTCCATTGTGCTAGTGCAACAAATCCACTTTCTTTTTATAACCTGGACTTCTTATGGTTAGGAAAGTATTCAGAGTGTGGCAAGAATGAATGATTGACAGGAAGATGCGTAAACATTCCACAAACAAATAACAAATGGTCAATTAATTATATATATATATACACACACACACACACACATACTGCCGTTTCACAGAAAATATTTCACAAAAAATATAACAAGGTAATATATGACATAAAAGCAGAATACTGCAGTAACAACAGTAAAAATCGGTGAAAGCCAATTGGTAAAAATATAAAAAGCAATAAAGACCAGAAATAGTCTGCTCTCCCTTTAAACTTTGTACAAGTAAATCGGGAGGAATGCTCAATAAACAGGTTGTCTGGAGGAGCCCTTGGTATGATTTATATATGGGGATAATAAGAGTTTTGAGGACAAAATGTATTCTGAGAGCGGATTTTAGAATATATACTGATAGATCTTATACAATAAAAACTCGTGCCTTTAATCATTTACTGTATTTTCAATTGGGTTACAATAGAAATAAGGTCATAAAACAAGCTGGAACAGCACACTGATGCATCTGATAATATTGGCTTGAGAGCAGGAAAATATGTATATGTAAATCTGAAAAGCAGTTTTGTTCTTTGCCATGCTGTACTGCAGTTAGTGGTTGGAATCTCTTTTTTCTACTTAGCTGTGTTGTTACTAATCGGATCATACTGCTATGGGGGGATGATGTAATTCTAAACACCAGTTTACTTAAGAGTTTTCAAGGGCATGCAGTGTGCCTTCGTCTCCAATAGGAGGTGCACCGCCTCTTTTGGCTCTCTCTTTTGCAGAGAGTGCCAGGAAGACAATGAGTTTTTTGCACTGTGCCATTTCTGCCCACCTTCTCTTTGCACAAACAGTTTATCTTGCATAACTGCAGTCCTGTTGAAAGAAACGTTTCTTTGCTTCTATAGGGCAGGCTACAATTATAGCATGTTACTTGGTGAGCTTCACAAGATGTGGAGGGGAGTATTAGACATGGGACAGTAATCCCTCCTCTGCTGAAAAGTCTAGTTTTGCCCAAAATATATCCAATCATTCTGGCAGTCACTTTTATTGGTTCATCATGATTCCTGACACTCTTTCTAGTTATATATACTTTCATTTTTGGAGCACTTAAACTGAAATTTTGGCAGAATCATTTTTGTTGGTGTTGTCAGTGAGATATGTCACTTTATACTTAATTTGGTTTCTACATGTTTATGAATATGCATATAAACATTGCAATACTGTTCATCTCATCATTCTTTTAAGACCATAAGAAATCATTCCAAAGCTGGCACAAATCCAGATGCAGCACTTAAGCTAATTCAAGTTTACTTGTCTGATTCAAAAGTGATTAATGGGGGGAAATACTGCAATAAAGAGAGTATTCTTAACCAGTGTTGTGTTTTTTCCATAGACCCTACCATTAGGAGATATGGAGAAGGTTACTGTTGATGTGCACATAGAAAACAAGGGAAAAGATTCTCCAGAACAAGGCTCTGTGGAACAAGACTCCAAAGATGAAATTGATGTTACAGCTCTGAGTGACACTGAGCTATGGGAGCTTCTCTGTGCATATGGAATCACCCCTGGACCAATATTACGTATGCTTCAGAAGAGTGATCACTAAAACAGTGATATAAAGGGCAGTTGAGTCTAATGTAGTGAGGAGTTGAATTTGTAGTAACAGATGAGTGATTTCCAGATTAAGGCAAATAGTTGTCAATCCCAGCTAGAGGCAAGCCAGTTCTGGGCAGGGAGAGTGTATGTAATTGATTTGAGGTTCTTTTTTTGGGGGACAGAATGAATGTTTGGTTGCTGCAGGTCAGCATGGGCACATGGCTCCACCGCTATGCCCATGGTGCCTTGTCCTTGCAACCACTCCCTTGGTAATTGACAGCAGCCTCTTTGTTGGGAAACTAGGTGAGCAATGCCTCTGCCCTGCCAACAGCTACTGCATAGGAGAGGGCAAAGATACTGGATAGTCCTCTGTTGGGAATCCCCCAGTTCTAGATTTCCTGCATTGGTTAAAGCTCCATCCAGCTGTAACTATGATTATCAACCATTCTGAGTATGTAAAATTTCCCGTTCAATGCAAACAATTTAATAACACTTTGAAATGCAGCAAGCTATTGCTAAAAACATTTGTGCTCTGGCCTGTTTCTTTTAGCTTCTACAAGGACCATTTATGAGAACAAGCTCCTGCAGTTGATGAAGCAATGCCCAGGAACAGCAGCTGAGTTGAACAGTGAGGTTAATTCTGAAAATGATGGAGAAGGTAGTACATAGTAATCATTCCCTAAATGAAATGCTTTGAGCCCCCACCCCCAATATATAGTACAGTCCTAATGGCTAACATAGATTTGTTGTAAATTCAAATGATGACATTCATAATTAAAGTAAGCATGTTGTGGGGATCTCATTCTGGAGCAATCTCATGAAGAGTTGGCGTGTGTTTGAACCATTCTCGGGATTCAGTTGTGTGTGTGCTTTTCAGGTTTCACCAATGCACATTATTTGCATACATAGTTCCCCATCATGTTAGGGATGCATGTGCAGAAGACTACTTTCATGAGCATATGGCTGGCACAAGGTGCCTGGATTCTGTAAATTCAGAAAATAGGATTGCTGAAAGTACAATGGCTTGGGAAACGAATGCTTTACCTATTTGAATAGTAGAGTGTGGGGAAGGATGTTCTAGAAATCTACCTGAGAATGCTTCAGGAAAGCATATCACTTTCGTAAAATCCCATATCCTAGCATTCTGCACAGTAAATTCAGCTACTTCTGAGCTCTTGAGTTTGGAACTCCATTTTTGAAAGTATTGTGTTGTATAATGTGGCATAGATGAATCAGTGACAGTTACTAAAAAAAAAAAATATTCTCACCTAGGAAAAACCACAGAAGTAGTCATCCAAACAAATGGCCTCACAGTGACAACTGAACATACCTCTGGGTCTGAAAATGTAAGTAACCCAAGGCATGAATATTTTATGGCTATAGCTAAATTGTGAGCTAATATAAACTGATGTACTTTGTGTCAGACTCCTGACAAGTGAAGCAATTACTCCAATCACATAATTAGAATGTTCTTCTGTGGCTTCTGTTGATGCACTAGAGCCCTAGGAAATCTGATGCAAAATAGATTTCACAGATAGTTAAGAATATTCAACTTTATTTACAGACAGAAAATACACATCAGAGGAATTATAACTGGGAATGTAGATGAATTTCGGGTATATTTAAACGGGACAGAACAGCATTCATATCCATGCAGTGAATTGTTCCATGATAGATCTTCTAATAATCAAATTGGCTACTTTTGATTGTTAGCCTAATGAAGATAAATTTTGGAGAAGCAATCATGGCAGAAATTGATTTTCTGGCAACCCACCAAACCCCCTAGGGATGCCAACCTTGCACTTAAGCACTGGTCAGGTCCAACAATGTGTGTGTGTGGGGGGGGGGGAATTGCTAGATACAAGTCACACCTCAGACATGCTTATCTAACCTGTTATTCTATCACAAAGAGTTTACAAACTCAAGAGTAACCTGTTACAATGCCCAGCCATACTTCACTCCCTCACTTGATTTCTCCTGAGGTCAGCTGCTGGGTTGTCTGCAGGAGCAGCACTTGAAACACAAACCTTTAAGTCTCTTTTGGAAGAGTTTATTGGCCAAAGGGGGCAACCCCAATATTCTGTGATGTTTATGATGCTATTAAAAAAAACAAAAAAGGCTGCTTGCTAACTCAGGAGTTACCCAGATATCCCATGCTAGTAATTTATGGGTAGGAAAACATCTCTTTAAAATTATGCATTAATTTTATTTAATCCTACTATTGTATAGAGTAGTTGGCTCTTTGTGGTCTCTGTGCAAGCACATCTTTTGGTTTTTCACCTGTCCAAAATACTGCTGAGAACTCTCTAAAGTAAAAGTCTATAAACTGATACCTCCTCTCAAGGGGGAAAGTCCTCCCACTACACTTATCTCATAGGGCAAAACACACACTATCATTCTTGGGGTTTTTTTTTTGTCCACTGAAGCAGCATTGTGGAAATGTTTATTTCTTAGTGAATTTTGTTAGCCATTTTTCATAGTTATGGGCTCATTTGTTTTCAGTTTCCTTTCAGTTACAGTCTCTGGCCTGTTAATTTTTATCAGGATTTGTATTTTACTTTTTATTTGCTTTTCCTCCTGCCCTGGTCACTTATTGTGCATCAGACTTCATTTAAGAATTGTCATGGTAGAAAATGTCAAGTCAACAAAGAATACAATAACTACCACCACTGTTTAGGTGAAGAACACAAAACTGATTCCTGCCTCTTATTCAAAAAACTTACTAAGCATTCTGATCTCAGAACTCTGTAGAGCAGCCAACTGGTTGCATAGTTTCATGTTTATAAAGCAGTATGCCCATCCTCACCCACACATAATATCATATGACCTTCTCTATCTTCCGTTTCAGTCATAGTTTTTATGTTTTGTTTTTTTTTTACTTCAGAAATCACCTGCAGATGTGGCAGAACGTCAGAAAAAACTCTTGTCATCTGATGTTGAACACAGTTTAGCTAAAATAGTGGCAGAAGTAAGTAGCTACTGTTGCAGCCCTTTGATTTAGTCAGGCTGATGCAACTTTCATTGTCTGGGTCATTTATCTTAGTTCTTCAAACTTGGGTCCCTAGATGATGTTGGACTACAGCTCAGATCATCCCTGACCATTGACTGAGGATTATGGGAATTGTAGTCCAACAATATCTGGAGACTTAAGATAGAAGAACATTGATTTAAATAATAATCCTGCGATACTCTTTGTTGTAGTACTTACTTTCCATGGATGCTAATTCTGAAGGATTGCTACTTTGACTTAACTATTTTATTTCCAAATTAGTTTTTGTTATCCTCTGTGGGGGTGGGAAACTGATTCTCTTATTTTCCTAAAGAAAAAAATAATTTTCAAATTTTGGCCAGACTTGTCATATGTTTAAGTTGGCTGCAATTAATGATAAAGCTGGAGTTGCAATGTCTCTTTTACATCAACAGTTTCTCCATTTTTAAAACTCTCAGAGTGAAAGTGTGGAGTGACTGCTGCTAAAGGAATTGTAGCAAGCAGACATTTTTTTTTTAGCAGACTTGCAATTTACAAATGAATGATACTGTTCATGTAACATGCCTGAACTTTTGCCAAAGACGATACATCATCTTTGCAATGAATGCTTCCAGCTTTCATCCTTTTCTTCTTGCCCACACATCTTTAATTAATGTCATCTTGTGTATTAACAGCTGCAGGAAATATTGCCAGAGGGTAAAGTGGCACTGCATCGGTCACAAGGACCAAGGAAGAAAGCTGGCAGTCCTGAAAGGAATTACAGACAAAAGGTATTTTTGCAGCGATGGTACAACACACTCAAATGTTAAACCTGGCACTAAATATGCCATTCTTGAAAGCAGAGTTCTGGAAGCAAAGACATAAAATATCACTTGTGAACAGCACACCACTCTATAAGTCTGAAATTATATATACATATATATATACATATATATATATATATATATATATATATATATATTCATTCTCTTGTTCTTTGCCCAGATACTGAAACTTGATATATATTTGCTAGACCAAAGTTGTCAAATGTTAGATATCTGTTCTTGCTGTAGATGCTAGCTAACCATGATTGCATTGCTTATTTGTGGATAAACTAGAATTTGACTTGCGTTTTTAAAGTCAGAACCTTTTTTTGAACATGTATTTAACCTTCAAGGGTGACATTTCTGAGAAGCTATTATAAACTGTTAGGACATTCAGTTTATGTGTAAGACAGAGTAAACAACAGGCAACCAGCGTTTTTATTTGAACTCCTGGGTTGCCATAAATGTTTCACAGGTTTTCATCTGACTTCTTTACTTCCTTTTCACTTTATTGGCACATAAGCGTTTTGATCACAATGTGTCAGATGGCCTTCTAAAAAAGTATGAAAAGGATTGTTTTTCTTAAGATGTTGCCTGTTGTTAAACAGATTTTTAAAAATGTATTTTACTTCTAGTTAAGGCTGGGCAGGTTGAAAAGTTTTGTAGAGGGGCAGCAGGAAGCACACAAGCTCTGCTAGTTTTACAGTAATGTCAGTCTACGTCCCCAGAGTAGAACTAAGCAGATCGTGTCAGTTGCTCCTCCAGATTTCCCTTAGCAAGTAACATGCCCTCTGACAGCTTTCAAGGTAGGAATAATTTAGGTTGTGGAGGACTTAAAACCAAGAACTGGCCATAGTTGTATTTATAACCTCAGAAAAGTAATTCCTGTGTCTGATCTTCATGTCAGATATGTCTGAGCATTTTAGGTCCGGTAAAGAGAATATGTAACTGGCCTACATGGACGTAGGCAGGGGAGGGCTGGTGCCCCCCCAATCAAGTAAAACAATAGAAATAACTAACTGACAAATCACATCAGTTCTGCCTTCCCAAGTCCTGCCCTTTCCCCCCCAATGAAAATCCTGGCTACACCCATGCTGGCCTATATGCTTACCATTTCATACTTGCTTAGAAGCAAGCAGTTTCATTAATCAAAAGTGATGCACATATGTGGGACAATGAATTTGGAAACCTGGACACTCTGGAAATTGCCTCTGGTTCAACACATCAAACCAAGAAAGCCAAATGTTTCACCTTCCGCATATAGAACTCAGGGAAAGTTGTGTCCAGACAATCCATGATGAACAAACACATTTGAGTTTGTCTCTAAGAAGATTATAATTAATAAGAAAGGAACACAATTGGGTTTTTTTTTAAAGGGCTTATGCCAGGAACCATTGGGAACAAGAGAGAGAGGTGATATATTTGGCTATGTTTAGAGAATCAGATTGATAAAAGCACAAACCTTATAGTGGGGAACTTTCACATAATATGATCTAAAATAGAATATTATCCCTACATGACAGTACCATTCAACTACAAGCTTTCACCATAACCACAAAAGGAGGTAACTGCTAGGATGCCTATGAAACAAACCTTTTTCCTTTTTGCAGACAAGTGATCTACCACACCAAGACTTTGGCTATCCTGATGTTAACGTTACTGTAGGACAAAGGTAACGCTCTTCAAAAACTGCCTGACAAAGGATCTCTCTCTCTCTCTCTCTCTCTCTCTCTCTCTCTCACACACACACACACACACGGAGATATCAACAGTTCCTTAGAATTCCTAGTCTTGGAAGTAAACTGAAGAAGTTCTGTTATGGCTTTCCATATGTTGTGGAAAAGAAACTCATTGAACATACTGAGTTTGTGAATATTTACAGCACAGCAGAGGTAGAGAACTGGATCAAGCCGTTGGACCAGGTCTTTACCTTCACAAACCCCTGTGGGCCAAGTTAGACTGGTGGACAGAACCCGCCACCTATTAATTATTTGATGTTACTATGATGTCAGATGACCTGTTTTTTTCCAGGAGAGAAAGGTATATGTCCCTTCCCGGGCATCAACAATCAGCTGATTGTTGGCACTTGAGAAGCATCTGTTCAAGGCCTGTGCTTGGCAGTTGAGATTATAGGGGTTTGGGAAGCACTTAGCACAGGACCTGCAAAGCCCTCCTACACAGCACTCTTCAAGTACCAATAACCAGCTGATTATCATCACTTTGGAAGCATTGCACTGGGGGCCTTGGTTGATCGTGGATGCAAAGCCCCTTTCATCAAGCCCTGCCTTTACCTTCCTCATGCCTGCTATCATATATGATGGGAAGTGTAGAGTAGATGGATGTGGCTTGGCCAAAACAGCCTCGTGAACCAAATGAGGATTCCTGGAATACCTGATGAGGCCCATGGGCTGGAAGTTCCTCACCTGATTTAGAGCTTACTGGGTTGCATAGGTCAATAATCTTACTCTGCAGATATAAAACAATTGTGTGTTATATTAGTTTCAAGGGAGGTCAGTAGCTTAACACTCTGATCCATGGCTTAGCATAAATGAGCAAACATGGATTCCCAGAGTGAAGATGGGGACTGCCGCACTTTCCCCCTGGTCTTGCTGCTGCTAAGCCATGATTTGGCTTAGCATTATACCCAAACCCTAGCTTGTGGTTTCTCTCTCCCAGACAAGCCTCAAGTGGTAAACCAAGAACAAACCTTGGTTCTAACACCTAAACTAGACAATTATTCCAGCTTTTCTTCACAATTAGTTTATTTGTGGTGCAAGCAGGTGGTAATACTTTCTGCTTTTCAGAGCACTTAATTTTAATGATAGAGGGCAGAATTCATCTAACCAGCCCTGTCAGTCAAAACCTTGCATAAGGACTTGCTTGCATTATGGGGCTTCCCTCCCCTCCAAAAAAAGAGGCTTTTGGAGGGATTGGGAGAACTCACAGGAGAGTTGGGAATCATTTCATCTGACAAGGTGAAATGTTTGTGTAGAATTGGAAGAGTGCAATACTTAAATAGGTTAGTCTGAGGTAGGGAACAATTGATTGCTGGGAAGGGGAAAACAAGCAACAATGGACTAAGCCTTTGGAAGATATATCTTTGTTGGGATGGGACTTTACTAGTAGTTCATCAATTGGCCTAACAAATGTGCTGCTAGAAAGCTTGAATGGTTTCCAGAAAAGTTAGGACAGAGAATTTTCAACAGCATTAAGCTGTCCAGCCCCTGCCATTCAGAATACAAAGTTCCCACCCAGTACCACTCCTGCACCTGTTCTATACAAAAATGTTATTCTGAATTATAGTGCTGCAGTTTAGTAATCTTCTAGTTTCCTGTTTTTCTAGGCTAGGATGCTGATCTAGTGTGAGACTACATGTCTTAATTTGAAAAGTGTTAGGCAATGTTTCTCTTTTTAAAAGTATGATCAGCAATATTGCTTCTTGTGTTTCTAGTGCTAGAAGAAGAAGAAACGCAATAAAGGAGAATCCTCCCTCTGTGAAACAAGATCCTGAAACCAAATGCCATGCAGTACCTGGGAGATCAAGAGAAGGACGTATACCAATACGTGTAAAGATTGCTGCTTTTGCCATCTTCATGTTCCTTCTCTTTGTGTATGTAACTATGGAAACTAATTTTCATAATCCATTCACAAGCTTTGCCAAGGGCAAATGAGTGTATTCTGTCTTTTAGAAATGGAGTTGTTAGACCAGACAGGGTGGTTCTGTCTAGCTGCTTATGAATTAAGTATTTGGGGGTAGCTGATTAAAACACAAAAAGAATTATCCTGTGTGTGTGTTTTCTTCCTTTAGAGTTTGTATTAAACCAGTTTCTCTTGACTTCAACATCTGGTAGCATCACCTTTCTTTATAATACCACTTTTCATTGTTGAGTTCATATATGGACATTTCTTTAGAAGGTTGAATTAAAATTGCTCACTTTGGCATGTTGTGCCATTTTAGGGGGGGAAATCATAGAAAGTTGCGTTATCTCTTTAGCAGTCAATTTTCCATTCTAGTTACTAGACCATCTGCCCAGAAAATATTGTTTAAGCAGTAAGAGATAGGAACCCAGAAAAGCAATATGCCAGCAGTCTTGCTCCCCCAGTATGTGTTCATGCCTATAAATTTTGTTGCAGAGTGGTTCTCTGTAGGTGCTGAGCAGGACGTGTGTCCCCGTCCATACTGATGAGCTGAGGTCATGTCTGCATGTTACAGCACAGCCAGGCACTTTACCTCAAGCAGAAGCCCTTATTACTTCATATAGGACAGGCTTGCAGACTTCTCCCAGGAGGAGCTGGACCACACAGAGAGCCTGAGAAGGAGCAAGCTACTAAATGGTCCAGGGCAAAGGACAGGAGAGCTCCTGCTTGTGGGAAGGTGTCCATCTGTAATGAAATGTGGGTATGCAGCTGTAGCTCACTCAGCTCAGAATAGACTGGTTTTATTGCATCTTTCCTTCTGATTGGCATTCTGACATCTGAGTATTGAGAGTTTAATTACACCAGATTCTTTTTGTTTGTTTACACAAATTAGACCAAAGCTTTTCTTACTCATTTAAGGCTTTGTTTTGTGAAGCATGAAAGTGATTACATTATCAATTTCAACTCCCCTTGTTATAGGTTGAATACTAAGAAACTAGATTACTGGGTTATGGAGTCACAGCTTTTGTAGTCATGGTTTTTAAAAAGCATAAAGTATCTCACAAATGGTGAAAGCTCAAAAGTTGCTTTAAGACAAATTTTAACTTTTTAGCAAATGCCAAGTTACCTGTGTAATTTCTACAATCTTTGTTAAAGTGCTTTATTACATTTCTATCATCCTAAATTGTACACCTTATGATTTTATTCTATGGTAACAAAGGGGCACAAGCAGCAATCAGGTTGTCATTCCTCTCATTCAATGAATGTTTCCTGTGATTACTTCCTGACATATGATTTAGTAAGATTGAGAGATGCTTTGGTTTGATATCTTCTAACGTATCCATGAAAATGATATTGTACAATTACCTAGAATAATGTGCAGGAAGCCCAGGGTAAGGAAAGTTGGCTACTGAAGCTCAAAATCTTGTGGGGGTTTTTTTGGGCAGGGGGTATGAGACATCTTTTTATTGTACATTCGTGATGATTTTATGCTTGGTATCTTGTTGGTTATGTGTGATCCCACTTTTAATGCTATTTGCACCTGATAAACTTTCAGGTTAATACAGCTTCATTTCCAATCCTGTAACATTTAATACCAGAAATGTGGGTGGGGTGGGGGTTGTTCTGCTTTAGCTGTGCTATAGTGCAAGAGTACCATTGACATAAGTAGATGGAGTTGGATTTTGGGGTACCTGAATTATTTTCTTTTTTTAAAAAAAGTTCCTATGTGCTGTAGTTCAAAAGACATAAGACAAAATGTGAGCTCTCCACCCCCACAATTTCTGTAAAATGCTGGCTGGTAGTCCCTGCTTGAGGGACGTGGGTGGCGCTGTGGGTTAAACCACAGAGCCTAGGACTTGCCAATCAGAAGGTCGGCGGTTCGAATCCCCATGACAGGGTGAGCACCCGTTGCTCGGTCTCTACTCCTGCCCAACCTAGCAGTTCGAAAGCATGTCAAAGTGCAAGTAGATAAATAGGTACCACTCCGGCGGGAAGGTAAACGGTGTTTCCATGTGCTGCTTTGGTTCGCCAGAAGCGGCTTAGTCATGCTGGCCACATGACCCGGAAGCTGTACACCGGCTCCCTCGGCCAATAAAGCGAGATGAGCGCCGCAACCCCAGAGTCGGTCACGACTGGACCTAATGGTCAGGGGTCCCTTTACCTTTACCTTTAGTCCCTGCTTACAGGGTTTCACCCAGTGAGTGAAGTCAAAGCTGGAATTGGTGAGTGACCTTTTTGGACAACAAGAGCTAGGCATTACTAAGTAGTTGCCATTTCTGAATTTATCTCATTGCTGCCCATCTCAGGCATTGCATATTGGGCAAATCATTTCTAGAATGTCTTCTTAATTTCAGGACAGCCTTCAAGTTTGAGGTGGTCCTGGGCAGTGTGTTAGCTTTCATTCATGTATCTCAACAGCCTCAGTTCACAATATCTATACTCAATATAGAGTGTAGCGCTGTTCTCTTTTTCTTTGACTACAAAATTTTTCAACCTATTTTGTAAATATTATAACAGTGAGGCCCAGATTGCCCCCATGTTCTTGAAAGGGACTGGTTGCCTAAGGCAATTTATTTACTTTGTTAAATTTGGTATCACAGCTTTCCACCAATGCTCAAGGTGGCCAAGAGCAATAAAATACAAATACAATAAGACAACACAAGTTCAAAGCCAATGTGAGATTTAAACAGATTGTGTCTTCTGGCTCCATACCTCATCTTAGCCACAACACTGTAGAGGTCTAAACTTCTGTATGGCTAGCCAAATTATTTTATTCTAGTTTCTTTATGAAGCAATGCCAATATCTAAGTTAGAGTTTCACCAGCCAGAAAAAGAAGACTTCCTTTTAATATGGGAATGGATGGATCACATATAGTTTCCCTTTGATGTTCATGTAAATGATCAAGGTGAATTCTTGGCTTCCTGAATGTCTAATGAACAGACTTGTCAACTGCCTGGCTTATTTCTCTCTGCTTCTGTTGGTCTGGAAAAATACATGTGAAGCAAGAAGGAATTAGGGGTTTCTTTTTGAGATCAAGCAGCTTATCCTGGTTGTTAATAAAGACATGTGGCTTCTTTTTCATTCCATTAATACCTGCTAGTTTGAATACAGCTTTAAGCTCTTCTGTGTCTAAACACCCAAATTACTGCTGCTAAGGAGTGTGGGCATGCGTGGGCCGGCCTGTGCATTTTATTTTCTTTTTCCCAGGCCTTGTCTTTTCACAGCAGCTGTCTTTTCTGAAATGATGCCTCTCCGTGTTTTGTCAAATGGTCAGGCACAGCTGGTGAACTTCTTCCCTTGGGTTATGTACCAGTCAGAAACTCAGCTCGATCTACATCTTCAGATGTTGACCTGACTCAATGTGGCAATAACTGTCAGAGCACATGGTAGAATTCCATTTATGAAGTCTTTTTAAAATCAATTGTGCCACAGGACTAGGCTAAACCAGCAATTATCAAGCCTTCTAGACTAACAGAATGCTGTGCCAAATCTCTGTGGTATCACTATCACGAGAACATGCTCTGTATTCAAATCCCAGCTAACTTTGAATTTGAAACCGAGACACTAAAACCAGATTGTTCAGAGACCAGTACAATATAGCAGGCAATCTCATTTCACAAAACAGCCATGGACAAGATTCAGAGATGGATCAACTGCCATTGCCTCCTTTTTAAAATAATAGACTTTCCCATTGCATTAACAAAAAAACAAACCAAAGATGTGAGATCCTATCCTGGAATTTCTGGTTTGCATCTTGGCGCTTAAGCTGAACACTGGAGATCACAATAGAACTTGCAAAAATTGGGTTGAATTCAGAGCAAGGAATTTTGACACATTTGGGTACCTCAAAAGCCATATTTGTTGTTTTATTCTGACTGGAGATTCTTGACTTTATATATATCCCACTCTGTTCCGTGGGCTCAGAATAGCTTTTACAGTAGCTTTCCCTGAATATAAATCCTTAACTGTCCTGTCCTCATGGGGCTTGTAATCTATTATACAAAGAAACTTTATACATTCAAAGAGGAAACAGCTTGCCACCCCTTCCCGGTGCCAGTAGCTTCTGCAGCCTGAAAACCATTTTGCACCTCACATGGTCTAAGTCTGCGGGTGAGGAACCTGCAGCCCTCCCAATGCTGTTGGACTCCAACTCCCATCAGCGATTGTGTTGTCAGCGATGATGGGATTTGTAGTTCGACAGCACCTGGCGGGCCACAGATTCAACTTTCCTGCTAATTCCAGCTAATTATTGCCACGTAACTGTCCTACATTCCATCTTAAGACGTTTACAAGCAGCAGGGGGTGGAACTTTTTGATCATAACCCGAAACATCTCTCTGCCTCTAGCACCACATTCTGTACCACTTCTGTCCTGAAGCACAGCAGCATTTACAGTTCCTGTCTCATTTCAGATGCATGGCTCCAGAATGAGAAAGCTCATGTGGTGTAGCTATTAAGAGTGATGGACTAGGATTGCGGAGACACATGTTCAACTCTTCACCCAGCTTTGAAGCTCACTGGTGAACTTGGACCAGCCTAGTGTACCTCACAGGATTGTTATGAGACAGCAAAGCAAGACATATTGCTTTCCTTCGCTTCATTTCCATCCCAGCTACTCAACGTAACCTGCCTCACAGCAGCCCTGTGGGGTAGGCCAGCCTGAGCTCCTCGGAGGATGCTTGGGGTGGAAATCTAATGCAATCTGTCTTGTTTCACTTAAAATATAGACCTACCCACAAGATGGTTATAAATAGCTTTCATATAGTGCATTTCAAATGTTTACATCATGTCACATATATTATTCAATAGTCCTTACAACAATCCTGCAAGGTGTGGTAAGCTAACTGCTTTTGGCAGAAGTGGCAGATACATGTGTGTGCGTTTAACATAGTGGCAACTGGGAGGAGAAATGGACATTCTCTGTTAATGGCACACATTCTACTCCAGAAGCCAGCTGTACCATCAAATGCAGCATATTCTGCGGGGAAAGGAATATGCAGCATGCAGCGTTCAAGCCATGTTTAATTTACAAGTCCCAAGAACCTTTCCGCTCTTGTTCCCATGGAAACAGATGCCTGTAAAAAAAAAAATCCTTACAGCTGTGTGCTTTGCCTTTACACCACAGCTGCTTAAATTTATCTGTCATTTTTATCTGAATATTCAGAAATCCATAGATTTTTGCCCACGGCCTGTTTTACAAGGGCTAGCTGTGGTGATTGCCGCACCCCTTTTTGTGCAACGGGAGCATCTTGCAACACATTTAGCTCTGCCTCAGTGTCACGAGGAAGCAAAGCCCATCTGCAAGACTCCAAGCAGCAGCTGGAGTCCAGAAGGCCTGCCCTTTTAGCTGTGCACAGCTCTCTCGATTATATTTCAGCTTTATAAGCTGCTGCACAAACCTCTCTCTGCCACAAACATCTTGTCCCCACCCCCCTTCAACAGTCTGCAACGGTCTGACTCCCTAAATCTCTTTGATGGGGTTGTTTCCATGGCATTAACTGCATCTCTCTTTGTACACAAAGCAGCATTCCCCCTCCTCCTCCAGCCGTCAAGGTAGAGGAAGCTCTGGAGACTGTCGTTTGGCTGTGTGTGTGTGTGTGGCCTTTTCAAACGGACCAGCTAGACAAAGCCAACTTCTGCCCCCACCTCCTTTTTTTGTATTGAGAGCTTCGTATTATATAAGTATGGCTCTGAAGCGTCAATTCGTATCCAGCTTGTCAGCTCTGAGCTGAGCGCCAGGGAAATCATTAACCGTGCACACACTGTACACCTTGGATTTTGTATTGTGACAGAGATTATCGTCTTCCTCTGCTATTCAGTCCTTCATCCAGAACCTCCCTACCCTTGATATGTCCCTTCTTTTGTATTTTCCAGTTGATAGTCTGGGGTCCTGCCTTCTCAGTGGTAAGGTAAGCCCATTTAAACGAATCTTCTCAGAAACTGTTGCCCTTGACGCAAATGGCTGTAAGATTTAATTATCTGTTTTTCAGTGAGGTGAACTCGCTGCTTAGGAAGGCAAGGGATATAAATTCACTTTAGCATCTGCTCAAATTAGACCCTGCTAACAAGTTTACTCACATGTGTGGCCTATAGTTTGAGATGCTGGGGAACTGGGCAGACCTTTTTTGTATGAGCTGCAGGGAAGATTTCTGGTCCTACTGGCAGCTTAACAATGATAGGGTTTTGAGGATGCCATTGGTATGTGTTTACACCAACCTCTCTCTATTTTCCATTTGTGCCAGGTTTTCAACTGCATGTATAGCTAAAGGTAAGGATAGGTCATCCGTCCATTGCAAATAATGGAGCAGCATTTTTATTGCACAGTATGTTTATTTCCTGCCTTGCAGGGGGTTGGACTGGATGGCCCTTGGGGTCCCTTCCAATTCTATGATGCTAGGGATAACAATGACCACAGCTTCTTATAGAGTCTATGATATAACCTGAGCAGTTGATTGTGGCAATGGCCTATTTCATCAGATGCATAAAGTGGACTGAGAAAGTGTGGGAGCATATGCCTATATGCTTATAGGGTAAGATGCAATTCTTTGTGAAGGATACCTCCATACCCATGGAGCAGAACACATTAACCCAGTGCGTGTTAAATAAAATGGGTATGCAAAAACCACATCCTGGTGGTTGGTAGGCTGCGTGGGATGGTGGTGGTAAGACATTAAGTCCTACATTTCATTTTGGGGAAAATTCTGTTATGTTTAATCTTCTTATGGGTGTTTTGTCCACCTTCTAAAATCTTAATCTGGTGCTTACAATGTGCTGTTCTTGTTTATTTTTATTTTTAATCCAATTTTTTTCTGACAAATCTCTGGGGACTAATCCAGGATCTTCCCTCCCCCCACTCTCTTCAGCAGCTGGGAAATTTCATTCAAACTCAAATACGAATTTGGTGAGAGAAGTGTACAATGTTGCTCATCTGTGGGAGAGGTACTTTTGTAAATAATGATTATAAATGGTACAAGTTTTGGCGGCTTGAGCAACTTGGCGTTATTCCTTCCTACAACATCCCTTGTAGTGCTTGTTCACAGTACCCAAAAAGAAAACTGGTGAGTTGCATCTTCATATGGTGGGTTGCAGCAGGAATATCTCCACCTTTTCCTAAGAAAAAGAAAACAGCAGTTTTCCTCCCTGTTCCCTATCAATCCTTGCATGAGTGGGTGGGCTTCCTGAGAGGTCCACAGGAAAGCATCTTGTCCATGGCTTTCTCAGCCCTGGTCCTGGACAAGAGTCCACAAGAGACTTTGCTTCCTCAGTTCTTGGCATGATCTGTCTGTAGGAGCTGTCCAGCAGTCCTGATGCTGCCTTGAATTCTATGCCGAAAGACAACTCAAAATTTAAATAGAGATACCCATTTACACCAGTCATTTTGTATTTCAGTCCAGCTCAGGCTTGTAGCAACAACTATAAAGAGGTTCACTCCAATTTAATGTTCTTTTGGCTAGTGTATGAGGCTCCAATGTGCATGCACATAACTCTTGAGTAGTCATTCTGTTTAGTGTGCATGTGATATGTATGCCACCTGCTTATGCATATCTATGTATCTGCACAGATATGCCTGCATAAACCCATGCAGGACTGTAGTGTCAATAACATCAAAACACTACAATCTACCCTGCCTAAATGCAGCTGGAGAGTTTTTAAATTTTATTTCTTAAGCGGCAAATGCACTCACTTTAATTAGCATTTTAACATTAGATTGGTTCGGTTCCTAAACATCCTATTTGTATGCAAATTAAATCCTCCCTTTGGATAGTTAGGAGATTAAAATAGCTGTTAGGGGATGGAAGGTTGCCCTGGTATGGAAAGTGCTGCAGACATCTTGCTTATTGACTTGCACATTTTTCATGACCTGCTTTCCTTTTAAAAAACAACAGCAGAGCAGCTCTGTTTTGAACTCTGCAACCAAATAAGCCTCACTGGGCAGAAAACAGAAGAGAGCTGGTGTTGATTTAAGCAGAGTCTTGTTGGCCAGCGGAAGGATGAGGAAAATGTGTTACATACTCTAAATTGCTTTATTTACAGTTCAAAGCTGGTATATTACAGAAAGACATCTTGCCTCTGCAAGAGCAGAAAAATGCATCCTCTCTCCTCGACAGCTCGGAGAGAAACACACAGTGAAAAACAGGAAACCAGTGTACGTCACATCCAGTCTCCCTTTCCCGTGAGAAACTCCAACAGTACAGACTGTGGAATGTAAACACCTGTCTTGTGACTGCAGTTGCTGCTCAGTGAAGGAAATAGAAACCAACATCCTCCCCCTTTCTGTGAACATCACTGGGCAGCGTGTTCGTACAATATCAGTACAAACCCAACTTCTGCACATAGGTACAGTGTTGATCCCTTGATACAATCTTGGACAATACATCAGCAGGAATTTCATTACCTGGCATATAGGACACCGTTACGAGTCCCTTCTGAATACATTCCCTAGCATGCTGCAACTTTAATTGCAAGTGCTTTGTGCTTTGCTTACAACCTTCAGACTTCAGCAAAGCCAAACATGCTTTGTTGTCCTGGTAAACCTGGATTGGACATTTGACAGGAATTTTCATATCTTTGCACAATTGTACTAACCATTCACAATCCTTAAGTGAATAAGACAGTGCATTCAGTTCAGCTTCACAAGTACTTAAGCTAACTGTTGTTTGCTTCTTGCATGACCAATCAAACAGACTCTGATTGTACATATAGCAAACTCCAGACGTACTTTTCCTGTCTGTAGCGTCACTTCCAAAACTTGCATCTGCAAATATCTCAAGACCACCAGACTTCTGATTGTTAAATCTCAGTCTGTAATGCATAGTGCCTTTCAAATACCGCGCTATGCGTTTCAGAGCTTTCCATCCTTGACACTAGGATTGTTGACTTGTCTGCTTAGCAAATTACAGCTAACAGCAATGTCTGGTCTTGAACATCTGGCAATGAAGTTTAGCTTGCCTAGCACACTCCTGTACAGTGTAGTGTCAGAAAATGCTTCTTCAGTGTCATCTACCTGATAACCTGTTGTCATCGGTGTGTCTACAGGGTTAGCATCCATCAGATTTAGTTTGCTTAACACATCAGCAATTTTCCGTGACTGGTGTACTAGAATGTTACCATCTTGATCTCTCTCTATTTCCAGAGATAGGTAGTTGTTTACCTCACCAAGATCTTTCATGTCAAAGTGCTCTTTCAGTTGAGCTAGGGCGCTATTGTACATTGCAACATCTTTCCAAAAGAATAATAAATCATCAACATAAAACAAACAGTACAGTTTCTTTTGCCCCTCCTCTTTGACAAATACACATGGATCAGCTTTCCCTTGCTGAAAACCTAGAGAAAACAATACTTCAGTGAGTTTTGTGTGCCAACACCGTGCACTTTGTTTGAGACCATAAAGGGATTTCTTCAGAGCACAAACAAATCCCTGTTTTACCTGTACGCCATCAGGTGGAAGCATATAAAGTGATTCATCTAGAGATCCGTACAGAAAAGCTGTATTAATATCATGGTGACTAATGTGTAGATTTTCCTCTGCAGCTAGCTTGAGCATAAGCCTAATGCTTTCATATCTCACTGTGGGTGAATAGGTCTCGTGATAGTCTTCACCTGGTACCTGTGCAAAACCTCTGGCTACCAATCTGGCTTTGTGTCTGACTATCTTGCCATTTTGATCTGTCTTCGCTTTGAAGACCCATTTGCTTCCAAGCAGTTTCATTCCTGGAACTACTGGAACTAGCTCCCATGTTTTGTTCCTTTCTAAGGAATCAAGCTCAGCCTTCATGGCATTTAACCATGGCTCAGCTTCCTTTGAATCCAAACCCTGGATTTCTTGGAAACTTGAAGGTTCAAATACCTTCTTGGAGCTTTTAACAGCTGTTACTGCTATCGTAGCAAACTCATCAGCAAATCTCTTTGGAGGTTTGCCTTTTGTGGCTCTCTGTGACCTACGAATTATCCTTAAGTCTTCAACACTCTCCTCTTCCTTCTTAGGAGAAAAACGACCTATTGTGAACAATGGTTCCTCCAATTCTTGATCAGAGCTTTCAGAGGGTCGCATAGAGGCTTTCGCACTCTTGAAATCCTCTGAATCACCCGATTCAGTTTCAGATTCAGACTCAGAACCTTCATCAGTGGGTGTGGGCTGTTGTGGTTGCTTTGACTATCCTCAGTCTCATCACCGTCATCAGGATAACATTGGAAAATTCCCACATTCTCCCCCACTTTGCATTGTACTCAACACTTCTCGTGAGCTTAATTGTCTTAGAGTCAGTCATCATTATTCTGTAAGACCCTTTCTGATAACCTAGAAAGATACCATGCAATCCACGCTTGTCTAACTTGGAGATTTGTGGTGAGCGAACCCACATGTCAGAACCAAAAATCTTCATGTGTTTGATGTATGGCTTCTTGCCAAACATCTTCTCATAGGGGGTACATCCAATCGCTGAAGATAACCTGCGATTGTAACTGTAAACAAAACACGAGAGAGATTCGGCCCAATAACTCTCTGGAAGATTGGCATCATGCAGCAAGGTTTTTAACCCTTGAAGCAATGTCTGATTTGCCCGTTCCGCAAGTCCATTCTGCCATGGCGAGCGAGGACTAGACAAATCGTGTTGAATTCCTTTCTCAGTCAGAAAAGCTTCAAACTGCTGAGAAGTGAATTCCCCCGCGATCACTGAAAAGAGTCTTTATCTTCTTACCATGCACATTTTCCAACCAAGCACAGAATTCCTTGAACCTAGGAAAAGCCTCCGATTTCTGCTTGAGATTGTACACAAAAATATATCTAGAAAATGCATCAATGAGAACCATGAAGTATCTATTTCCACCCAAAGAGGGCGATAGTGGTCCAACCAAATCAGCATGAACAACCTGGTATGGTTCTGTAGCTTTCCTACTAGACACCTTACCTTTCGCAGCCATTTTCACCTTGTTTGCTGCGCATGCTTTGCACTTCATGTGGTACCTGCAGGGTTTAATAGTCATACCTTCAACCAAGGCAGGCATTTTAGATACTGCCTCAAAATGCAAATGACCAAATTTTCGATGAAAATCGTGAATACATTCTGCATGCAAACTTTTGTTAGAACCTGCAATGCAACAAGTGTCATCCTGCACCACATCATCATAATACAAAACAAACAAATGATCAACATATTCTGCATGCAATACATAATCATTTTTCTTTGTGATGATGCACTTCTTGTTCTTGAAGGAAACGTCAATGTTCCGCTCATTCAGCTGTCCAACGCTGAGCAGATTATGTTTGGCGTCTGGCACGTAAAGCACATTCTGTATCGATAAGTCCAAACTGTGAAGAACAACAGTTCCGTAGCCTTTACTGGGAATAGTGTGGTCATCCGCCTGGTGAATCGCACCTTCCTGCGGTGTAAAAGACACAAACAGTTTCTTATCGTTGCACATGTGGTGGGTGGCCGCTGAATCAACAACGAAGAAAGATCTAGACGTCTTCTGGACCTCTGCAACCTTTGGAGTGAAGCGTGAAACCATAGCCTTGTGCTGCGTTGTCCTAGACACCGGACCTTTGCCTTTGCCTCGGCCTTTTCCGCGCGATGAGCTTTCGCTGCGCTGCTCTGTCTTGGCCCTGGGATGTCTGCATTCCCTCTTCATATGGCCTAGACGTCCACACGAGTAGCATTTCACTGCCTTCAAAGCTTTGGCGCCATCTGGTGGTTCCACTGCACTATGGGATGACGTCTGTGAAGACTCCCCTTGCCCATGCAGCTAGCACCCCGGCGATCTGCTTCATTTAAAATCACGGCAGTAACAAAGTCCACTGTCAGCTGAGCAGTTGGTTGCACAGCAATCTGGGTTGCAACAGACTCCCAACCTGAACCCAAAGATTGTAGTATCATGAAAGAATACACAGCCTCTGGAAAGTTGAGTCCTCTCTGTTGCAGCTCATGTCTCAGATTTTGCATCTCCATTAGATGTAAACGCACATCTCCACCTTCAGCAAGAGCCATATTATGCAGCTTGTTAAAATAAAACATAGTGGATCCAGCTTCTGTCCTTAAGTGAGCCTCTCTCAGAGCGTCCCAAATTTCTCTGGCTGAGGTCTTATCACGCAATAGACAGAGCTCTTCTGGGGATACTATCAATGTAAGAGTTCCCCTTGCTTTGGAATCCTTAGCTTCCCATGCATCTGTAACTGGAACTGGGGGTTCCTGTAATCACCTCAAACAAACCCTCTTTCCGCAGAATTGCCTCTGCATACTGAACCCAGTCGCTGTAATTTTTCTTGTTGAGCTTAGGAATCCCACAAGCATCCTGAAGGGCCATCATGACTCTGGCATTAGCCTTCAGCGTCATATCTGTGCTGCTTTAAATCTTGCTGCGTCACTGCTGCAGCTGCCTCATTACAAAGGCACACTTAAAAGTTACTTCGATTTCCCCAGCATAGTGACTTGTGCCTGGGAGCCTTTTGCCTATTCCGGCAAAACCGGCTTTAAAAGTTCAAAGTCCAGCCATAAAGCCATTATCTTGAAGCTGGCAGGCTGCCCGGAGCAGTAGCACATACCTCATCAATCACTTCTACGCGCAGAGCAGATTCCTTTCCGATCCGTCCCTCTGCATTCCGATCCTCTGCCGGCACTCCGATTCGACCTCTGGGCCCATAACCACGTGTTGATTTAAGCAGAGTCTTGTTGGCCAGCGGAAGGATGAGGAAAATGTGTTACATACTCTAAATTGCTTTATTTACAGTTCAAAGCTGGTATATTACAGAAAGACATCTTGCCTCTGCAAGAGCAGAAAAATGCATCCTCTCTCCTCGACAGCTCGGAGAGAATCACACAGTGAAAAACAGGAAACCAGTGTACGTCACATCCAGTCTCCCTTTCCCGTGAGAAACTCCAACAGTACAGACTGTGGAATGTAAACACCTGTCTTGTGACTGCAGTTGCTGCTCAGTGAAGGAAATAGAAACCAACAATATTAGCTCCTTTAAAAACTTGCCCCTTGGCAACTGTAACTGCAGAGTGGTAATAGTTTATTATAGCATCTGACCTTGTGTTCAGTCTGGTATGACCACCCTCTTAAAAACACTCAGGAGACAAGCTGTGGCAGGTGGGGAAAGTGGTCACAACAATGGTCATGCTGGACTTACCCAGTGATCAGAGACCATATGCTGCCCTGTCTCCATGCCCTTAAAGCTACCACATAGTGTGTTTTAAATGCAGGCCTAAATGACCTGGGCAGCTCCAGATATTCCTAGACTACAACTCCCATGCTGGCAGAGGTTGATGGGAGTTAGAGTCCAATAACACCCGGAAAGTCACAGTATAAAGTGATTACTCTGCCGCTTGCTGGGCTGAACGAAAACTATTTCCACTTCCATTTTTCAGTGTATTCGTTACATTTTCAGCGTACTCATTTTTATCCTGCTCTGCAGCCAAAAAGGGCTCCTCGGGCAGCTTGCAGATGTGAGTAGTGCAAGATAAGCCCTGCCCCCAGGCTTACAAGCTGAAATGCATGACACAAAAGGAAAAGAGATGGGGAGGAGAGAAGGGGTACTAGTTCTCAGTTATAAAGCTCTTGCAGTCACTAGCTGGGATGAAAAAGTTTTGTTAAGAGCAGGAGCCAAAAGTTCCTGAGTTGATGGAGAGGCCCTGTTCCCCCATCTCTCTCCCTCTATGGTTACTGAAGACAGTTGAGAGCAGAGACTGATGGTGCTTGAGAGAACTACTGTCAGTGCATGAAAGTGACAAATGAGGTGGGGAAACCCTCTTCTCCTCCCACACCTGCTGTTGCAGATCCTGCTGCCACCTCCACTTGCCAGGGAAGTCAGGGGAATCGGGGAGTGTGTTCTTGGGGCTTGGGTGGGGCAAACAGTTTCTTTCTTTTTTTTAAGTGTCTATTTCAGTTTTTATAATAATGTTAAATAACAGTACAAAGTCACAACCGTTCCGTACAGAGCAGTCTTCAGATTGACTTAGAAAATGCCATTTATCCCCTCCCTCAGAAGAAATAATCTAAGTCCCAAGAGAAACCAAAGTGAGCATGGGAGAACTCGCCCCTCTCCAGTTTGAACGGAGATTGTAAGGATTATTATGGTAATGTAAACTAGTAGGTTAATTTTATCCCCATACTGTAGATGTGGTGGTGCTGGCAAGGAACGGCTTTCTTAATGCCACTAGTGAGTTCACAGCATGGGTGACATCCAAACCAGGGACATTCTGGTTCACAGCCCAGTCAGAATTGGATGTATCCCTACCCTCTACCTCCATATCGTAAGTGGCATGCAGAATATTTCCTAGGCTGCATAGTGAAAAGCTGTAAGGAGGCAGCTGCAAAAGGGGAAGCTTAAAAGCAGCCATCAGATGGGAGCCCTTCAGAAATATAGAAAGCTGCCTTATACTGAGCCAAACCATTGGTCCATCTTGCTTAGCATTGTCTCTGTTGACTTGCAGCAGCTCTCCAGGATTTTGGACAGGGGTCTCAGCCAGCCCTAAAGATGCTGGGCAGATACTCTACCACTGACCCACAGCCCTATCCATTCATTGACCTCTGGCCCTCAGTCATCACTTAAAACTGCCATGAAATCTATTTACATTCAGTCACAAGCACTTACGTACATTGACAGGTTTTTAACAAAGCTGCCAGTGCAGAATTCCCTGAATAAAAGGCTTGCTCTAATTTTTTCCTTAAGTGTGGTTCAACATTTTCCCATTATCTTCAAAATAGTAACTGCTGTGTGGATAATTTGAGTAAGTGCCATGAAATCTTTGCTATCAATCACTTATTATGCATGATAATAAGTATAATATTATTACTTAGTATTGGGCAAAAGGGAATTACATATGCACTGGGGAGAAAGCCTTGCTGAGTCTCAGCAGGAGACTATGCCCCTTGAGGAACGGAGGTCAAATTGCAAAAGATAAACATTGCTTGCTTCTGATCGTAAGTTAACTCAGCTATTTCAGTTAACTTGAGTGTTATAGCTTCATAAAGTCTATCTTTGAAGCAAGCCGATCCAAATGCGACAAATTCTCCTATCCCTCAGCTGTGGCAGACAAACATAGAGTAGACTGTATCCATGCCAATGGGGATTCACCAAATGCAAAAAGTGAACACAATAGCTGAAGGCTGCTTGGTTATTTGACTGTGATTTCATGATCTACAACAGAACCAACTGCAAGCATTTGTCTTAAGAGCACCATCCCATAACGTCTTTCTGAAGCAAGTTTCATTGACATTACACCCAGGTGTAAAGCATTGCAGTTTATTCTAATTTACCATATGGGGCAGTATCTGGCAGGGAAAGCTGAAATACCAGTCAAAAGGTCAGTATATAAATTGGTATTCCCCATCCACACAGTCCATATTACAGAGGGTGTCATATTCAAGATTGGTTCATTTTTATTTCTTTTTACATGAAATATGGCTTCAGGAGGGAAATGCAGAACAGGTATTTTTTTGTATCATCATCATGGTGCAAAGGGCAGCGTGTCTTGCCAACATATATTGAGAAGCCGATATACTGTACTTGGCTCGGCATATGAATTCTTTTTTTAAAAAGGCATTTGTTTTCAATCACCATTCATGCCTAGCAGGGCCCATATTTTTGTCTTGATTCATTTTGTGGTGGAAAAAGGAACATGTACTGTATAGTGAGACTGGCTCATATGTCACAGTACCAAATGCCACCCATTGGCTCTTCTGATCTTTCCATCCATGCCTTGCTTCATCTTGGGGCATAGGAGCCCCAACCCTTGGATGAGGACGCCAAGAGGTGGTTGACAGTGCTGCAGGCATGTTCAGTGCTGCATTGTGTATCGGTCACTTCCTTGCAAGACTTGCAAGTGGCCAGGAGCTGTGAACCAAGGAGGAAGATGGGGAATGTATCTTAGGCCACCCATAGCCTCAGGGAAAGATTGCCATCATGCAACACAGCTTCTGAGCCCTACCGACTACCTGTGTGTGCCTACCATGGTGGAGGAGAACTTTGGGAAGGAGAGGGAGCCTGTCAAAGGAGCTCGGGTGCCTCTGGCAAAGTAATACAAGAGGAGCATGTTGGTGGCTTATTGTTGAGTCTGCATTATCATCACTAGTCAGATACATTTGGAGTCAACTTGGACAGCTTTCAAAGGGGATTGGACAAAATAACAGGAGATAAGTATCAATGACTGCTAATCGCAATGGCAGCATATCACCTCCCATGCCAGAGGCGGTATGCATCTGAGAGTGCTATGGTGATTGTTTTCTGCTTATGGGTTTCCCAGATGCATCAGGTAGGCCATGGCAGGGACAGGATCCTGACCTGGATGAACCTTTGACATGATCCAGTGGTGCTCTTATGGTGCTTTTATGAGCCAAAGGTCATAGATCATAGAAGTAGAGATCACAACTGTATAGCAGTGATTTGCTTGTTATGGAAAGGGAAGGACTGACGTTTGCTAGGGGTGCTTGTGCCATGACCCTAATGCTGCTGCTGCTGCTGTTAAAATAATAATATTGTGATTTACGTCTTCAGTGCATCGGTCACTGTGGAGTGCAGGTGGACAGTTTGCATCCTTTGAGCACAGAGTTGGCATAATTATTCCCAGGCAACCGGGGCAAAGGCAGGAGTAGAAAACCATTTGATTTTATGAATGGATTTGTTGGGACAAAAGTAACTGATGTAAGCAGATATTATTAACACCATTGTTATCACTTGGAATATCTGAGTTTATGCCAAGGCTGCCTGTAGGCACTTCTTGGCATGTAAAAATACCTCCTATGCCTTCATCAGAATTTCTGCCATTTTCACCCATCCCTGCCTTGCATTTTCAACTGAGCCCCGCTCCCTCCCTGCAATTCGCCACGCGAGAGGCTGTTGGAAAACTTCCTGTGCAAGCATGGGAGCCATAAATGGCTTTTTCTGGCTTTTATAATCCAGTGCGGAGACACACACACACTCTCCTCTAGCTGACTCTAGGCAACTGAGAAAATACAGGTCACTCCAGCAGACGGGGATTCCTCTGCACGTGATTGTATTTCAGCTCCTGTAGAGGAAAGTGAATATTATGAGAGTTGGATTGATGCAGCTGGGCGATCCGTTTGCCCGGCTCCTCCTTTGCAAACATACAGCCGTCATCTCTTTTGGGTTTCCTTCCTCCATAACCATGGACTACAGCCTCCAGGGAACGGAGATCACAGATGTATGTGAGTAATTACATTTAAATAGATTGGAGGGGGTGAGGGAAAGGGAGAGAGAGAGAAATAAAAAATCAGACTTACGCTACGTAAGAATTCTTGTGTTAAACTTGATTTCCCCTCCCCCTCCAAGAAAGAGCCTGGTTTTGTCAGAACTGTCTTTTTAAAACTATAAATATAAAACTATCTTAAAACATTCTTCGGCAGCCAAGCAAAAAATCCCACGCGTCTTTAGAGGTCATTGCTTTCTGTGTGCATGGCTGTATGTTTTGCATAGAGAGTAGCTTCCTTCTCCTCAGCGCAGCTTTTAGGATGCAATCTGAGATTAATCATCATCATTACTGACAAGAAGTATGTGGGTCAGTTTGTCGAGTTATTCCTCTGATGGTGTCGTAGCTTAAGGTCGTGCTGTATCATAAAGTGTCAAATGTGCTGTTATTTATTGCTTCCCGCAGTGGTCCAAGAGACTGCATGACATATTTCTGGATATGTGAAGTCAGATATAATAATTTAAAACACACACATCTGCATACAATTGCTCAGGAAACAATTTATAAGGAAGTGAGGTTGTGCTTCTATGTGAACAGAAAGACATGCTGTAGTGCTGATCCTCTGCTGAGTGCCTTCTAAATGTCAGAGAATAGGATGTGATATCCTGACAGGTGCTATATGAACATTATGCCCAGATTATGCCGAAAGTGAATTGAGTTAATGGTTAATTCTGTACAAAGTACAATCCTTTCACCTTGCAAAAGGCATCTGTGGTATCAAGAGTGTGGAAGAAAGACACAAAATACTAATGAAATGAGGAGAAGGTTTGGTATTCCAGAACAAAATGATTTCTCTTCTGCAGGAATTGTGTTTCCTAGATTCTCAAACACACCCTGGCAGGAAGTTAATAATCTATCAAATCCCATACTGTTCTGAAAGGTCGTGCAAAAGAGTAGAAGAGGAAGAGATGTAGGAAGAGGTGCTTCCTAGCTAGGGTAAAAGACCTTAGTGGGATTCATTGTTTGACATCAAAACCTGGTATTTGGCTCCTTTCAGTCTTGTGAAGTGGGCGGCTGCAGGGAGAGAATATGAAATTGCTGTGTTGAGTCAACTCCCTTTATCCATCTAGACCAGTATTGACTATTTTGACTGGCAGAAGCCCTCAAAGGCCTTTGGCAGAGCGCTTTCCCAGCTCTGCTTTTTCATACGATTTGACAGTAGATGGTAGAGATAGAACTTGAGACGTTTTGCACACAAACCATGTATCCTACAACTGAGCCGTGCCCCTTCCTTATATGTTTGCACATCAAATTATTTACAGCAGGGCGGGATATATTGGCCTACTCTGCACAACACACTGAGCCAAACTATGGTTTACAGGCTTCGTTCAGGTGGTCTTTAGCATGTCTGGAAAAATAAAATTGAAAATCATATAGCAGCTAGCACAGTCCGTTACAAGTGCTAACAATAGGCAGGGAAATAATTAAGTGGTCCACCCAGACCCTCAGCAATTTTCAAGTGGTTCATAGGGAGAAAGATTTGAGCTTAGTGAGACAATACGAATAGAAAGAAGATCACAATTACTTTGCTGCGCCCTGGTTGTTTTTGCTGCCACATTGAATGAAGCCAAAGTTTGGTTTAGCACGTTGTCCAAACTAGGGCTCATGGTTAAGCTCTCTCTCCCTGCTAACCATGAGATGTAGCTACAGATCTGACATCAGAAAGGTCAAGAGTCAGAAACAGGGTGTGTGGGGAGGGACATTTCAGCCTCTCAGGACCTTAGTGGACATTCTGAAACAAAGCAACTTTGAAGGGGGTGGGACTCTAGTATGAAATTGCTGAATTACAACCTATTAAGAAGTTCAGTTAATTAGCTGCTATCTGTGTTATCACCAACACTGTTTTGTGAATGGTCACTGAACTTATTCAACATAATTGTCACATTGTATTTTTTTATTATTCCCCTCTGAACTCATTGTTTTACGTTTAGTTTTACGTGTGTGTGTGTGTGTGTGTGTGTGTGTATCAGCTTAAAATAGGAAAATGCTTAATGCATCTGATGAAGCTGACTGCAGCCCATGAAAGGTTAGAGCATAATCAATGTGCAGTATGTAAATAATCATGGGACTTTTTGCTGCTATATACCTGCCATCATAATTTTGAAAATCCAGTAGACACAAAGTGGGTGAGGGAAGCTGGTGGAGTATGCTGGTGGAGCAGTCCCAAAAAACTAATAAAGAATTAAGATTATTTGGAGCAACAAATTTGATGGCAACAAGTAGCTGTCTGACAGAAGTCGTCATTTCTGCCTGCATTGGTACTTTCTGGTTCGTCATGGTAAACAAAACAAACTAGAATTAAAACAACATTGGAAATTCTCAGTCATGTCCTCACCTTGCCTGAAATTATGTAAACTCTGTGCCTCAGTTTCATCAAGCTTTACAGAAAAATTAAAAGTAGATATTCTACTTGTGGATATGCTTCACAGCAGGCTGGGGGTGCAGCAAACCTTTAAGCCAAGGCTACAGATCAGCCTGTCCCAACCCATTGCCCTTTAGATGTGTGGGACTACAACTTCCATCATTCTTGACTATTGGTCATGCTGTGTGGAATGATGGGAGTTGTAGTCCAAAACATCTGGAGGATACCAGCCTAGAGAAGGCTGTTGTAGATGAACCTATTCTGGCAGGATGTAGATCCATGTCTTGTCCCACTAGGTATGTTATTTTAAGCAAACTCTAGGGAAGCTCACAGTGCAAAAAAACATAAACAATTATTCTCTTGCCATGAACTGCATTGTTAAGTACCAATAAAAAACAGCAACGGTCGCTAACCAGCAGCCTTTTCCCCTAGACATTTTATTTTATTTGGACTTTGAAAGGCAATTGAGGGCACATGTCACATTACATGCAAATGTATTTTAAAAAGTGCTGTTGGACATTTTTAAAACATCTTCAGGATGAGGCTATTTTGAGGTTAGAAATGGTGGCGTATGTGTGTATGTTTAAACCTTTCCCTGCTGGCCATTGTTCTGCTCAAAATCATTCCCTAAGCGACTTTCCCTCCTGTTGGTAGGATTTCAGATCCTTTTTTAAGAAAGATAAACAAGTATCAGGAACTCATGGGACAGCAGGAGGACACTTTTGTGCAGAAAAATGGAAAACAGGAAAGGGGTGAAACATCCCCCTTTCCTCCACTTAACAGCTTTTACCCTGATGTTAAAAATGGCGAGTGGTGCTTGAGGAATTTGATATGTGTGTGTTCCGATAACAGCTGACCTGATCCGCAGCTCCCAGACTCATGTGTGGATCAGAACGCAGCCGTAATTTGGATTTTGCAGTTCTCCAAGTTTTGCAATGCGACTGTCAGCTCAAAAATATATTAAAAATGCATTTTAAAATGTGTACTTTTGGGGAGGAAATACATTCGAAAATATGTGTGCACAAAATTTCATGCAGATTTTTTAAAATTACAAATGAACTTTTGAACAAGCAGTAGAGAAAGTGACATAGTATGGAAATATTGATCCATTCATCCCTAACTGACTTCCTTAAATGGGTTTGAAGACAACATGGTCTACAGAGCAGTCTGTTCTGACTGGCAAACTCCAGTCAATTCTTCAGTCAACATGGAATTTGTCCTGCAGATTTAGTGGTTTCTGCACCGGACTGTTAACCCTGCTTATATTAATATTTAAATTCCCTGTGTTGTTCCACCAAAATCATTCACTTCCTTACTATCATAGGTCAATCACCACTGCCTTGCTTTATCATATATCAGCTTAGCTGATCATATACCGTAATACTTTTTAGGTCCTGCACTGAGAAGGCAGCTAATGAGACACAGCTGGAAATCAACTACTCTTCCTGGGTAAAGTGGTTCATCTGCCTTAATTGGATTTGTGTAACACATTCCTCCAAAATTTCCAGTTCAATTAAGGCTAAGAATAGCATGGAAATGATAACTGCGAAGAAGAAGAAAAAAATATGGAAAGAGAATCAAGGTATAGAAATGCAACAAGAGAATTTAAAGCAGGACTGAGTGTAGGCAGACGTATTCTGTGAAATTATCTACAAGATCCTTTCTTCAAATTCTGCCTGCAATTTTGTACTCGGTATTTTTCAGTTTTCTCCTTGAGCAGGGATGAAGAACCAATGGTCATCTAAGTGTTGAACCACGATTCTCATTATCCCCTGTCCACTGGCCATGCTGGATGAGGGCATTGGGCTGATGGGAGTTGGAGTTCAGTGACATCGGGAGGGACACGGACTTCCCAACCCTGTCTAGACATATATCCCAGGTTTAACTTTAGCATTCTGGCAGAGCCTATAACTGTGCTAACACTGGTCTTGTACTGCACCCCTTGCACTGAATTGCTGCATCTGGGAATAGCCTTGGATTTTGATTTCCCACAATGCCCTGAAGTAACACTTTGTTGGAGGCATTATGGGAAATTAAAATGGAGGCTCCAAGCTGCCCTGCCTTATTGTAGCCCTCCTGTTGCCCACCACCAGACCCACTGAAGGACCCCCTTCAAATCTGGCCCTGCGTATAATTCACCTGCTTACCTAGTGCCAGTAGCAAACAGGCAGGAAACTCAAGTTGCAAGGCAAATCCAGTTTGGTGCAGCGGTCGGAGTGTTGGACTAGGATATGAGTGACCAAAGTTCAAACCCTCTAAAGCTCAATGGGTGACTTTGGGCCAGTCACAGTCTCTCATCCTAACCTACCACACAAGAGTTATTGTGAGGATAAAATGCGGGTGGGTGGGGGGAGGAGAGAAACTTGTTATTATCCATCTTCAGTTCCTTGGAGGAAATATGAGGTATAAATGCAATAAATAAAATAATACAGTGGCACCTCAGGTTACAGACGCTTCAGGTTACAGACTCCGCTAACCCAGAAATAGTACCTTGGATTAAGAACTTTGCATCAGGATGAGAACAGAAATGGCACAGCGGCCAGCAGGAGGCCCCATTAGCTAAAGTGGTACCTCAGGTTAAGAACAGTTTCAGGTTAAGAACAGACCTCCAGAACGAATTAAGTTCTTAACCTGAGGTACCACTGTGAGGTAAAGCCAGGACCTCGGCAAAAGCCATGGAAGAAAGAAGGGAGATGGACAACTGTGTTGGGACTTTCTCCTATTTATCTGAAGCCCAAGTAATTGCTAAGTATCTTAATGCAGATGGGCTGAAGCTCAGTAAAAGAGCCTCAGTGTTGCATGCAGAAGGTCCCAGGTTCAAATCCCGGCATCTCGAGGTGGAGCTAGGAGGGTCCCTGACTGAAATGCTGGAGAGCCACTGGCAGTCAGTGCAGACAGTACTGAGCTAGATGGGCCCAATTAATCTGATTCAGTATAAGGCAGCTTCCTGTGCTAATTTCTTCCTTCACTTGAACCTTTTGTTTACGTCACACAGTATTTCCCAGGCTTTGAAAAAGGGTTGCCTGACTTTTTCTTCGTGTAGTGGTTGCCATGGCAGGGGAACTGTTCATTCTGTTGCAAGGTCAGAAAATGTCAGGCACAAACTCACATTAAACCACATCGGCTGCTTGATTCACGCAACTGAGAAACACTGTCAGCGCCAGAGTCCCAGTTTCGGAAAGATGCAGAACCATTTCAGCTAAGAAATTGGCCTCACTGTGGGTTCCTTGCACATTAGTGCTGTTGCAGATGATGAGGAATTACCCCCTGGTTAAGTGCCCTGAAGACTGTGTCATTGGGGTATAATTATTATACACTATACCTGCCAACTCTTGCCACTGAACATGAACACAGGGTCAGGTGAAGCATTTTGCAGGGGAGGTCAGCGTACAAGAAGGGGAACTTAACCCGCCTCCATACCTGCAGGTTCTCCCTTCATATGCCCTGCCAGGCCATTTTCCTCTGCAGCTGTGCTTTCTCTGGTTTGACTGAAGGGAGAGGGACAGTAAAAAGTAAACAAAAACCCTAGGTAGGGAGAAGAGCATTTGCAGGTGAAAATAGGCAAGCGAGAAAGGTTGAAGTATCTCCTCAACCACCAAGTCCTTTGTTCCTAGAACCCCCCACCCCCAAATCAGTTTTGTAGGTTCCCCCAACCCTCTGGAGCAGAACTGGGGAGGGCACAAGGCACAGGGGAGAGAAGGGAGGAATCTCATTGTGCAAGTGGGAATCCTTGCACTGACAGGCCGTTTGCTTAGCGCTGCTTGCAAAGGTTTGGAAACAGGGTCTTTAAAAAAGAAAAAAAATGTAGCATGAAATTCAGCCCCTGACTTTATCATGTAGCCTGGTGCCTTCAAAGCCAAGGAAAAGTTGCTTAAAAGATGCAAAAAACTGAAGAGCAAGCAGCTACTTGGGGAAAATGTTTTGTTGTAACGCTGGCTTCAGAGACAGATCTATCACCGTAATTGAATCTAGGCCATAGCAATAGGCTTAAAAGCTCTTTATGAAATAAGACGCTCGTGAATCCCGTGAGAAAACTATGCTTTTCTCAGAAAGAAAGAATTCCAAGTATACGATGATAGTGCTTAACAGCTGGATGGTGAAGATAATGTTTGAGTATCTACCAGGAGTAACCACTTAATAAATGGAGATTTTAAGCCAGGGTTGGAGAAGCAGTAGCCCTCCAGATGATACTGGACTATAACTCCCATCGTCCTTGACCACTAGCCATGCTGGTTAGGGCTGATGGGAGTTGGAGTACCACAGGTTACTCCACAGAGGGCCACAGCTTCCCCATATCTGCTTTGGGAAAGGGGAAGTAGGGGGCATATGATAATTACCCACCCTTTTTCAACCTGCCCCATAACCTCCCTGTTTTCAGAGGCAGACAGGCAACAATTGAATGATGAAAACACCTCATAGTAAATGATCATTTATATTCACCCATTAATGTATAGGTTGTAACCCTATACTTACTGACTTGGGAACAAGTTCCACTGAAGTCACTGGGGCTAACTTCTAAGTAGGCATTTATAGGATTGCGCTAACAGTGCATATAGCCCCTTGGGCAGATTGTTAACCTTCTATTGTTAACCTTCTACAATGAAAATGGGCACATAAGTGTGTTAGCTTGGTAGGTTGTTTACCAGCTTCTCAAATAGTTCCTATATACCCTAGGAACTTACCACATGATAATCATCTGGCTTCGCTATAACTTGGAAACAGGCCTTGGAAAAAAATCTGATCTCCAACTGCTCTGCATTTGAGATTGTACATTTGTGCCCTTGCCATTATGGTATTTTCGATAGCTTGTCACTTGCTGTGAGCTGAAAATGTGCCCAGGGACCTGAGGACACAGCACAGCTAGGAGCTGTGGTTGTATTTATTTGTTTCTGGATAATGACAGATGAGGTAATGCCAGTATCTGTCTTGCTTCAAAGGAAAGAAACTCTCGTCCCTGATGGGGGTGGGGAGGGGGAATCTTGTCATTATGGTTTGGTTTGAGATGGCTATTTGGGGAAAAGATTTCCCCCCTTCATATTTTAATATTTTTTAATACGTAAATGATGCATGATATAATGTATTTGCTTTTGCAATGTGCTTTGTGTTTTCTCATGAGAGGAAAGGTGTGATATGTATTTTTCAAAAAAATGAATAAAATATAAACAAGATCCCAATAGCATTGGGAAGGCAAATATATACCAATTCACTTGCAGGAGTGCCCACTTCACACTTCCCTCACTCCTGCCTTTTCCTAGCAGGGGGAAATGGTCAATGGTCAGGAATGATTCTGGTTTCTGGGTCCTGCTTGCTTCTTTCCCAAAGGCGTCTGGTTGGCCAATGGGAGGACAGGATGCTGGACTCGATGGGCCCATTGGCCTGATGCAGCAGGCTCTGCTTATGCTCTTATGAAACAAACCAAAGTGTGTTACGTGCAAAGCAATGTTCCTGTTTGGTTTCCTCCAGGTTGGGTTGTGCAACATTCATCTCCCTTGACTTTAAAAGCCATTTTTAGTCTTGTCAATGTCATTTGCCTACTGTTGTTGATGGAACAAGTGGAACTGACAAAGCTCCCTTGAGCTCAGGGGTCTGAAGGAAGATCACTCAAAGCAAAGAAATGGCTTGGATCCTGCTTTGCAGAATCATGTGAATTAAAGCCCTCTCTCTTAAAACACCTGGAGTTTCTATTGGGAATACTTCCTATTGGAAAAGGTCATGTCAACTCAGGAAGCAGAGGCTGGGTGGAATTCAAAATCCACTGCAACCATACAATGGCGTGTCAGTGTTCCAAACTATGTGGACATCTTCTGCCCATGTGAACAAGGTTCATTGATTTGGGATAAGAGCCCAGCATCAACAATCTCTGAAACAACGTTGAGTGATCCTCATTGTGTAAACAGGACAGGCTCTTGGGAGTCCCATGAAAACAGTGCTTAGGGGCCTCAACATCTCCAAAGTGGGTGGTACCCAGTGCTTTTTTTTGGGGGGGGATGCAGGGGTACACATACACCTAAACATTTTTTTGAATCTCTGTACTTTTGTCCATTTACTGTATTTATTTCCCCCGATTTGAACTATAAAACTGTGATCTTCTTGAATCAAAGTGAGGGTACCCCTAAACATTTTCTAAAGAAAAAAAAGCACTGGTGGTACCATCCCATGAGGGGTGGGATTACCTAGTGGGGCCCTAAGAGGCAAGGGAGGTTCTGAAGACGTAAATGACTATCAGACACTGGGAACCATTGCACAGCAAGGAGCTTTTCAATTTTGCAGTGCCACTGCTTGCAGTGTTACAGGAGCAAGACCTTTATTTTGGCCTATGTGGGTGACGGTTAAATTAGACCTTAGTAAATTAGACCTATAGTACATGCAAGAAGCCAGAGGACCATATAAAAGCAGAGTTATCTAGTTCTTTAAAGAAAGCTCAATTTTAAAAAAGAAATCTTGGTTCTATAATGAAACCTTGCTTTGGGTTTCTGTGTGTGCATGTGTGCTCAGACTCAGGTGAGAAGAATGCAGCTGCCACTCTCCATATGTATACTCAGCTTTCCATCTACCTAAATTTATTCACCTCTTTTACATACTTGTCAGCTGTTCAGAGAAAGAAAGCAAAAAATAATCGCTTGGCTTGCGATAGGTGCTTGTGACTCTGTGTTCTAACTAATGGGCTGTTCTGTAGCAGGCTTACAGCTCAGCACACTGCTGCTGCATGAGGCAGAGTCAAGTTATGGAGGATGGGATTGAGGTGCGTTTCCTGCAGCTGGTCCAGGAAGACCCAGAGGGAGACAGAAGGATTTGGGAAGAGAGGCCCTTGAGAGGGAAAAAGTTCAAGGGACAAAAGCCTTGGAAGCAGGAGAGGCTCTGACGTATCTGATTGCCCCTGTTAAGAAGCAGAAACAAGGGACTGAATCCAACCTTATTACCGTTATTTCTTTCCTTTATTTATTTAGGATCAGGATCCAGCAGATGCAGAAATGGAAGATTAATAGATACTCAGTGAAAGGTATGATCACTGCTTTGTGTGCCTGTGATAGGATATTGTTGTTGATGGCTGCGGGAACAGTGATCTATTGCTTGTTAAGATGTCGGTTTCTGGGCTATTCCAGATGAATGTTTATGGAGCATTTTTCCTGAAGAGCTTACACAATAGGAAGCCTTTTTCATTGAGCATTTGTCCTGATTTGTTTGCTTGCAGGGAGGTTTGGTGACAGTGAACATTCATCCTGATTTGCTTGGACAGAGTTTATATGTCTTCCTGTTGACCTTTAATTTATCCCACACTTGGCAGAGTATTTCCGCATCACTTACCTAAATGTGGAGGGAGGAATTCAAAGTTGCACTAAGGCTATCTGTAACACAACTATTTTGGCTTGCCAGGTGGAACAATCTCACCTCTTTTCCCCTCACTTATCTGTGGGTTCTTTCAATGCTCCCATGCAGATTTTTTTGGGTGCTTTCACCCACTCTTTAGCTCTAAACCCACTGTTTAGCTTTAAATCAGAGTGCTTCAGAGCGCTTTCCCCTGGAGCTAAGCATCAGGACCAGAGGAAATGTGAGTAAGCCCAAACTATTCAGTCCTAAATTTCCAGTAGGTGCTTGAATCAAAACACTGACTACCCAGAGGCGTCCTCTAACTATTTTGAATCTCTATTTCTGATGTGCTTTGTTATGCCTGAATGACATTTGCTCTGATTTGCATCCTTTCATTTTGCAGTACAAGCGAGCTGCCTAACAGATGCCGTCTTGCTCCCATGATGGATGTGCCTAGCATCAAAGACTTCCAGTGGAAAACTCTGGCACCTCTGCCCAGCCGGAGAGTCTATTGCTCCCTGGTGGAGGCTGGTGGTCAGGTCTATGCCATTGGGGGCTGTGATGACAATGGTGTCCCAATGGACTCTTTTGAGGTGTACTCCCCTGAAGCCAACCAATGGAATTCTCTCCCCCCAATGCCTACAGCCAGGGCTGGGGTAGCTGTAGCAACACTGGGCAAGAGGATAATGGTGATTGGGGGTGTTGGAGCCAACCAGACACCCTTGAAGATTGTGGAGATGTACAACATAGACGAGGGCAAATGGAAGAAAAGGAACTCCTTGCGGGAAGCCTCGATGGGGATCTCTGTGACGGCGAAAGGCAAGGAGGATTCTTTTTCTAAAAGGCACTGGTGGCAAAAGTAGGATTGGCTTTTAGGGAAGCTCCCCAGTGCATTTCTCCTAATTAATTTGATGAGCAGGGTGGAGTAAATTTCTTCTTACATGGAAACAGATCTGCCCAGTGGGGAGCACTTAGCCAATTTCTGCTACGCTGTGAGTGTGCCCTGGCTTTGACCCTTGCACACTGGTTGTTGGAATGACCATCTTTGAATTGCTTTGGGTAAAATCTGGTGATTTTCAGCAGCCCAGTCTAGAACAGGCTGTGAAGGCTGCCTTGTAACTGGAGCACGCCATCTGTTTCTGTGACCTCCTCTTTGCTTGTAAAAAAATGTCAATACAGCCAGCACGTTCTGTGTTCCTGCCAAATGTAGGACAGCCTGGTGGGGTTTTTTTTTGCTTTGCAGAACTGCTTTTGCAGTTCTTGAAGGACAAATCATCGAGGGCACAAGCGATGTGAAAGCATCAGGTCACTGTATGAAATCTGTATGAAAGTTTCCCTCTATATAGTAGAGCTTCAAACTCCACATATTCCCCTCCACCAAACACACCCATATCTGTTTGCTTCCTGTGACAAGTTGCTTTAGCAACTCTAAGCATTGCCAGATTGTCTTGTGCTGCAATGTGATGAACTGCTGTTGGGAAGGGAAGGTTTCCATCTCAAGTGGCCGTGTGCCTTGCTTTACAGAGGGCTGCCAGAGGACCAAACTCTTATCTGAAAGAGTCTTATATTTGAAGGGTTGTCCAGTTTAAAAATAATGAGCTAGAAGATGCTGCTCATCAATAGGTAGCACCCGGAATGCATATTCAAGAAGCACACAGTTCACCTGGTCTTCCCCACTGGAAAGAGATTTATTTCTGTTTTAATTATAGCAACTGCATATATGTTTGCATCCATTCTTATCAGTTAGCACACTGGTCTTAAGCTGGTGGGTTGCAGCCTGATCCAAGGTGGCTCTCAACAGGATTATGACCACCATGCAAATACATGGTAAAAGATTAAGAAATTGGACCGAATGCATGTTTGGGCTAAAAGTTACTCCTAGGTCTGAAAAGGTTGAAGATACTCGAATTAGCATAACCTAATTTTGTGAAGGTCTTTTGCCTTGTTTGGGGGTGATGCAGTTCCTCTTTTTGGGTGATATTTCCATCCTTTGGGTAGAAATATATGGCAAAAAATGAAAGTTTGGGTAGGAATGAGATAGTTCTGCTTTCTATTTCTGCTAGTAATGTGTCCCAACTTTTTTTTAGTTGTGGAACCTATTTAGGAACTACTGTGATAAAGCAGAATCGAGATTCTTGTTTGGATTTATCCTTTTGCTTTTCCTCTCTCTTGCTGTCCTTTTCAGACTACAGAATCTATGCAGCTGGTGGAATGGGAGGAGACCTTCGCCCTCACAATTACATGCAGCATTATGACATGCTCAAGGACATCTGGGTGTCGCTGGCAACCATGCCCACACCCAGGTATGCCGCAACTTCCTTCCTACGGGGCACAAAGATCTATGTGCTGGGTAAGAATGAGCCTCCAGCCTATTCCTCCGATCATTATTCCTTTGACTGGAGAGTCGCCTAATGCTCCCTCGAAGCTGCTCTCTTCCATAACCTCTCTAAAAGTGCTAGGCCTTCTCTGGGATTAGCAATGCCAGCTCTGTAGCTGGGCCTCCAGGTCCATTTTTTTATGCCTAAAACCATGGGCTGCATTTATTGCACAGGAGAGATAAAATAATGTTGCCTGAACAGAGCTCTGCCTTTACAATATTTTTTAATTAAAGGGCAAGCAAGACATGACTGACACTCACAGAAGGAGGTATTTGTTCACCCAGAGCATAGTTAAATTGTAGAATTCATTACCACAAGATTATTTTTAGAATGTTTTAACTGCTTTTCCTCTTTTGTTTTTAAATTGTGGAGCAGTTTGCTGCTCCCTGGCTTCTTCAGAAGGATGGCCAGGAGATAAATTCAATAAATAAAATAAAATAGGATGTTGGCCTTTGCCCTGACCAGACTGTGGTGTACTTACATGCTCACAAACTGTTCACTGTTTAAAGGGGTTCAAATCTGCTGCCTGAGGGAACTACCGCACTCGGTGGTAAATCCAAAAGGTATATTCACACCCTTTGGCACACAAATGGACTGCTTATGCTCCCATTTCATTTTCTGACTCTTGTGCAAATTGCTCAAACCCTGTGTGTTTTGGTTCCCAGCTCTCTGTGTGTAAAGCAAAGCTAAACAGAAGTAGAGACAGCCTGACTTGGTCTAGTATCCATAGTATTAAGTTTTATCAAGGTTGTTTGTTTTTAATCAAATTAATTAAAAATAATCAAATGAATGGCCTTTAAAAAGTTTTAAAAGAAACAAGCAGGTAGAGAAATGGAACTTTATTGCTTTGAGCTAAAATATTTCCACTAAACTTGGCATGACACTGTCCCAAATGCACATGTACTTTGAGAAACTGTAAATATTCCTTCTAGGAGGGATCCAGAGGTAAAAAAAAAACCAAGGGCTTGGGTGCCAGACTTCCACTGGCTTTTATTTTTAGCCTTTCATAGTTTACCCCAGCTGACCATGGCAGAACAACAGAAGCAAAAGAGACTTGTAAAGGCTAACAGATTTATGGCAGCATCAGCATGGATGTTTATGCTACAATAAATCTGCTAGTTCTTAAGGTGCCACAAGATGCCTTGTTTTTGCATAACTGTTTCCAAAAGACCTTTCAGTTTACCCTCTGGCTGTATAAATAGCTTTGTATTGTCCGTTAGGTTCTATTTTCAGCCTTGTTCCAAGGGCTCAGGGTAGGGCACCATTTTACTGGCCCTGCTTTTGTGCCATTGGGTTCCTCCCAATGACTCTTTTTGGGGGCCTTCATCCTGATTTGCTTGCACAAAGCATAAGAGCAGACGAAGAGCCTGCTGGATCAGGCCGATGGCTCATCTTGTCCAGCATCTTGTTCTCACAATGGCCAATCAAATGCCTGTAGGACGTCTGCATGCCAGACATGAGCACAGCAGCACTCTGCCCACCTGAGATTCTCAGAAACTGATATTCAGATGCAAAATGCCTCTAAGAGTGAAGGTAGAACATAGTGTATGTGTTGGTTAGGCCATGCCTGGTGTTCATTGAGTATTTGTTCTGTTCTGTTGGTAGGATGATTATATGACAATGCACACTCATCTTGCATTCATCCTGATTTTTCTGGGATGTGTTTATATGTCTTCCCATTAGCCTTTAGTTCACCCAACACTTTTCAGTTCTTTTCCCCATCACTTTTACTTCCTGTAAAAGTCCATTTTTATGTTTGTTGCACTAGGATGACAGAGTGCTTTAATCCACTTTAATTGTGCATACCTAAATTTCCAAATGGGTCTTCTTTACAACCCATCACCTTCTTTCCCTTCTTTCTGACCATTGCCTCTACTGTACTTAGAAGCATGAGGAGAAGACTTTCTGTATGCTACTCTCTGAATGAACCAGTACTCTGTGGCAACCATGCATGATGTAAAGAGTGCTTTGGCGATCAAATTGCATTTTGAAACTTGTGCAGGGAACCATGTTATTTTTGTTTACTTTACCATAAGGAATCATTTCCAGCTGAACTGGAGAGGGGGGTGAAATGTACTGAACTAACAAAGATGGACAGTGTTTGTCTATCAGCAAAAACAAAAAAAACACTCTAATGCTATTCTAGGCTGTATCAACAGAAGAATAGTGTACCAATCAAGGGAAGAAATAGTCCCACTCTATTCTGCCTTGGTCAAACCATACATGGAGTATTGTGTCTAGTTTTGAGCACCACAGTTTAAGAGAAATATCGGCAAGCTTGGAACGTGTGCAGAGGAGAGAGACCAAGATGATCAAGGGTCTGGAAACCAAGCCTTATGAGGAACGGTTGAAGGAGCTGGGTATGTTTAGCCTGGAAAAGAGGAGACTACAGGAGATGATAGCCATCTTCAAATATCACATGGAGGATGGAACAAGCTCATTTTCTCCTGCTCTGGAGGCTCGGACCCAAACCAATGGATTGAAGTTGCAAGAGATTCCAACTTAACATTAGGGAGAACTGTCTGACAGAAAGAGCTGCTTGACAGTGGAACAGACGTCCATGAGAGGTGGTAGAGTCTCCTTCCTACTGTCATGTATGTTCTAGTTGAGATTCCTGCATTGCAGGGGATTGGACTAGAAGGGGTCCCTTTTAACTCTGTAATTCTATGAACCCAAAGGTCATGCTTCCTGCGTAAGCCCCTTACGCGAATGGACTTTGCTGAGCCCTCACAGCTAGGAATAGTGAGCAGCTGGTGCCCTGTGGAGGGACTGCTTGGAGGTCACAGGGCAAGGGCAAATGAGTGGTCACAGGGGTGTGGGCAAGTTGTCATTGTTTTCTCCCCACCCACCTCCTTTGCAAAGCTACCTTTACATTTTTACAAAGAGCAAATGTGGTTCACAGGGGTCCCTACTGTCACAGTTGCTTCTCTGCTGGGAGATAGGTTGTATGGCCTCCATCCTATTCTGGTTCTCTTCCTATCTTCCTTTTTTGCAAAGAAGCAGAGGGCACTTAAAACACTGCAGATTTGTTAATACTCCACATTTAAGTGTTGTTCAGAAGGGGCCCCTGCCATGACTATTACTAGTGGGGAGGGTTCATGCCATTGAAACTGTACATTATTAAGTAAGCCCCACTGAATTCCATGGGAGTTTACTCCATGATACGTACGTACAGGATTGCTGTCTTAAAGGTTTCATACAGGACTGTTAACAAGGGACCCCATAAACCTCCAAATCTGTGAGAAAATATTATTCCCCTATCTCCCTGGATATCCCTGCTACATCTTTTCCCCCCAGAATGTGGAATAAAGTGTAGAGTTATTAAGTGCACTGGGAGCTGAGAGACCAGGGTTAAATCAGCCATGAAACTCCATGTGACCTTGAGCCAGCCACTGTCTAGTGTTTTACATTTGGGTAAATTGCAGGGGGCAGAGACTCTATGGCTCGTTGCCATCGCTTCAGTATACTCTTGGATTAGGGTTGGCTGTGTGCTCCAGAGACCTGCTTGGCCAGAGAATAGTAGACCCCCATGGCTCCAGTTGTTGCTGCACATTCTTCACTATACTCCCTTCTCCATCCTAGGAGGAAGGCAATCCAAATATGCCGTGAATGCCTTTGAAGTCTTTGACATCGAGACCAGGTCATGGACCAAATTCCCCAACATCCCCAGCAAACGAGCGTTCTCCAGTTTCGTGTGTGCAGAGAACAACATCTTCAGCCTGGGGGGGTTGCGGCAGGGCAGGCTATACCGTCAGCCCAAGTTTATGAAGAACGTGGATGTGTTTGACATCGAACAGGGTGAGTTCTTCCTGGGTCACCATCTGCTTTTCAGCATGCATGCCTTAAGGGCAAGATGCAGGGTGGGGAATCAATTTCAAAAATTTCAGATTCTGCTACTCAGGGCTGGCTTCAGATTTTAGAGAGCCCTGGGCAAAGGGTCATCAGGTGGCCCCACTAGTGAGATGCCTCAGTGGGAGGCCCCTCCAGCAACCTACCTCTGCAGTGGTTCAGCAGTGGGTATATGCACAGTCTTGCATTCTTGAGAAATTGAGGTGTTTATAGTGTGCATTCAGTTGCACAAGTCTCTGTGCTCTTGTCTGCTCCCAATCAAATGACAAAAGGGGAGGGCTTGACCAAACCCAAGCATCAGCAGTGGTGGGCCTTGATGAGGCCTTAGAGCCCTGGCATTTTCCTTGGTATGTTGTACATTGGCTCTGGGACCCTCATTGCTTCAACAGTTCGTGCCCAGTATTCTTGTAGTCAGACACATATACCCCAAACCCTCTCTTAGTTCCCCAATTTTAGGATTATAGAACGCACCCTTGATTTCTCTCTGAAGGAATCCAAATGCTTCAGAACATTAATGGAAAATCATGATTATTTAGCAGGTGGTCTTGTTAATTTTCAGGGGGCTGGATGAAGATTGAGCGCTCATTCTTTCTGAAGAAACGACGGGCAGATTTCATATCCGGCTACTTGAAAGGAAGAATTGTCGTAGCTGGAGGCCTAGGTGAGGGTGACTCCTGTCCTGTTTCAGTGTGAAGTCATTATTCTATAGCTTGTGGAACTATATTACCATAAAATTATTGCTGCTACAAGGATGGCAGCTACTATATTTGAGGCCCTTCTCAAGTCCCTTTCTATGCACAAATAGACAGAAAATGATCATGCATGCTAATGTGGTATGAGCATTTTGTAGACATAATCCTACATACTCCATCAGTTTTATGAAGAATTAGACTGGTGCTAGACAGTGCAGTGTCCCCCCCCCCCCAATATTTTGGACTAGAACATTCATCACTCTGATCAGACCACACTGGGTGAGACTGATGGGAATTGATGGGTAGAAGTAGAGAAGGGGACAAATGAGGAAGAACCAAAGTGAGAGAGCCGAAGATCATTGGAACTCTAAGACCAAGCCAAACCAAACTTGAATTATCATCCTCATAAACATGTAGAGCAAATGAACACAATCAATATCATTCATATGTGTGTGTATACACAAACACATATGCACACACATGCACACATATACACATACACACTAGAGGCAGCAAAGGTTGGTAGTTTATTTTATAAACAAATCCTTAGTTTAAATTAGCTGTGTAGACATGTGCAATCAAGTATCCGTGTGTGCTCACATGTTCTCTTGATGGTCTTCATGTTTTCTCGCTTATTAGGAAACCAACCAACTGTACTGGAATCAGCTGAGGCCTTTCATCCTGGAAAAAACAAATGGGAGAGCCTTCCACCTATGCCCACCCCACGATGTGCCTGCTCTAACATTGTGGTAAAAAACTGCCTTCTGGCTGTAGGTGGAGTGAATCAGGGCCTAAGTGATGCAGTGGAAGCTCTGTGTGTCTCTGACTCCTAGTCGGCCTGTCTTCAGATGCTGCACCAAGCACCTAAGAAAACGATTAGCCTCCAGTTTTGAGCGGTGGGCCTACACCATCCCTCTCACTCACTACTATGTGGCTTTCCTGTAACTCCTTTCACTGTGTGTTTTGGAGAAGGTAGTTTCTTCAGGCAGCTACACAATTTCATGGCTCTGGTGGCTAGCAGAGGCCCTGTGGCAATGTCAGTTTTGCAAGCTCTGTCGAGCTCCACCACCTGATGAATCTATGGTCGCTTTTCCCTGTCGACTCTGAACAGCCAAGGAACATGCTAGCTTTGCTTCAAAACAGAAAAGATGCATAGAATGGTGTGGGATATTCCAGGCAAGAATTAGGAAGCATTACCTAGGAACTAGAAGCATGTTTTAGATACTGTTGTTGAACCTACCGCAAAAGTCTCCATTGGGTTTTTCACAGGTAAACAAAGGGAGTGCTGAATCCCAGAGGCAGGGAGAGAGAGAGCGCTTCCTGGTGCTCTTTGAAATGGACCAAAAAGTTCTGGCTGTGGTGTTGGGTTTCAAAGTGTTCAGGGTTTAAAGCATCCTGAATGAATTTCCAGGCTGCTTCCTCATCATGCAGCTAGAGGGATGGTGAACCAACCCAATTTGTTGCCTTGATTGACAGTTCCTGCAATTAAAAGTTCCATATTACCTCTGCCAGAGGCTGAAGGCTAGAAGGCCATAGTTAAGAAACCAATTTATGGACAGGGATGGCTCTGCACCATGGACCAAGATTGCAATACCTGCAATGCACACTCTCATGAAGTGTGTGTGTGCACAGAGACAGACACACACTTTTCAAGTTGTTCATATCCTGTCCATTATACCCAAGGGGCCAGCTGTAAAACCTGGAGCGAGCTTATTGTAGCCCATGTTTGGAGAGCAGGAATGTTACGGGGTCTGCTCATAACAGCTTTAACACAGCGCCCACGGCAACAGCAAAGCTTTGAGTACCTGCTGTTTTTATTGTATTTCATATATTGTTTTCTTTATTACTTTGGCACAGAGGTTGAACTTGCCAGTGTCATCTGAATTATGTATGATGGATCAGTTGTAGCAGTTCTGCTTAGGTATTAGTAAATAGCACAATTAAACTATTCTTATGGTAACCTCTGAGCACCTTTTATATACAGCTAGAGTCATGACAAATCCAAAAGAGGGCTGTGAACTTGCTTTGAGCTATCTTTTTAATCCATGTGAGGGCATTTCCAGACTGTCGCTATTTTCAGGTGGGTTTCAGTCACATTCAGACAAATTACAGCTGACTGGTTGCTCTTGTGCAACAAGCCCACTTCTTCCTAAAACACTGGACTTTTTGTGATAAGGAAAGAGACGAGGAAATGGACTAGAACATCTAGGGTGACATTTGCTTGATGCAATGTCAGGCTTGTCCACACAGGAGCAAAATGTGGATTTGCACCAGTTTCTCTCCCCATTAATTTAGGGGTGTCCACATGATATCCTTCTCATCCTGGTGTTGTCCTGGATTTTTTGACTCATGGAAAGTCTGAGACGGCAATGCAATGTGTGCCAGTGTTGCTGCATCCTACAATGTTGTGTAGGCACCTTGCTCTGGTTTTGTTCCTGATTCTCTTTTGGCAGCTTCTCTTTCCATGCCAGCTCTTAATTTCACTTTAGTAAGCGATTGTGTGAACTTCTGGCTTGCTGCTTTCAGAACCCTTTTCCTCCTCTCAGGCAAGAGGCTTCTGCTGCTACCTAGGGGTGAACACTTTAGGAAATGGTTCCCCCAACCTGTTTCTCTTTGCCAGTACCATGGGGAGAGGGAGGGGTTGTGGGTGTGGGGGGGGCAACTGTTTCACCCTCTTGCCCCATCCATACTTCAGCTTAATGTGGATTGTGAGCCCCTTTTCCCTTCCTAAATCCTCAGATTCCCTATGCTTTGAAAATCTGCGTAGGAAAGCCACATCTTTGGATCCAGGAAATCTTGGGAACTGGATCTGGCTGGTAGGCCAGATTCTTACCTCTCCCACCTGCTGTGAATCAATTTACAGATTAGTGGGGTCACCCACCTGTCAATCAACTGCTGCTGCTGTTTTATTAAGCCATTTGCCAGCTGACTGCAGAAGAGAGTAGCAGAATAAGAGTAGCTTCAAATAGTTACAACCCCCAGTCTCTATAATGCAGATGCTACATCCCATCCTGCAGGTGATAACACTGATCTAGTGTGCTTACTCCTGCCAAAATTACATACTTGGAAGTCCCACTAGTTTCAAATATAAAAATAAGCACATGCTTAAATCTTGCATTGAAATAAATGGGACTTACGAGTGCTTAACTGTGTTTGAATTGTGCCATGTATGATAATGGGGACCAGATGCATATGTACCCCAGGGAGTACACATAGCCGAGAAGTAAGTTAACAAAAAAATGTGTTGTGTAACCATAGCGTTGGCACAGGGGAAAAACCTTCATGCTTTCCGAAGTGGCAGCATTCAGTCTTCTTATCATGTTGTACATGTAATAATAAAATCACTTGGCCTAGAAGGAAAATAGGATTTAGCACACTGCAGTCTCAGCCCATGTTGTTCAGAACAAGTTGCGGAGGTGAAAGGGGCGGAGGAAGCTGCGCGGTGGCTTACCGAGAACCGATCTGGAGTGTAAATGGTCTAAGCCTCTTGCCGCCTTTAGAATGCTGTTGCTTTTAATCCGTGTTTCTAATATGGCAGGAGCTGTAGCGACAGCTTCTGATGTGGCATACAAAGGCCGGCTTTCCTCTGGTGCACTGATAGAACCATCTGTGCTAATCCTCTGCCCATCCTGAACTGGCAGATGATGCAAATGCTGGCAATGAATACCTCTGAAAAACCTATTCTCGTGGCACAGAACTCCCCAGCAAGCAAGCCATCCCTCTGCTTTCCTGCTGCAATTCAATAGCACCCCAAACAGAGGGAGAGATGGGAGGAAATATCAGATATCTTGGAGAAAGAAGATTAAAGGATGCTTCGTACAGAAGAAAATTTTCCTACCAAAATGTTGGAGGGGTGTGTGAATATTAGCTGTTTGTATCCAATGTTAATCCTACACAGGGTATACCCACTGAAATGAATTGAAACAACTAACAGGCCCATTAATTTAAATGGATCTACCCTGAGTATGTTGGACACAACTCAGTGTGAGAATATTGAGGTTTATTTATACCGCACATACACATGTTGGTTGCACTATGATCCTGCTATATTTCTGCAGTCTGCTGAAGGTACCAACTAAGACCTTAGCAGATTTTAGCTGTGGATAAACTGATGATGCCCCACATAGCCCCATTTGCTTCAGAGAGCAGTGAAGCGCCACCAGGGTTTTCTAGGACCAACTCCTAAACTAGTCTGTTTCCTATTACCCCCAGGTGTGATAAAGGATACTGTTCTGTCTTGAAGTAAGATTCAACAGACAATCCAGCCATGGCTGCGGGGAGGGGGATGTTGTTCTGTGCCTGAGGCAGGAACAGGTATTGAGTGAGCAGTGCAAATAAGGCATTGTTTCAGCCCTTCAGCTACTCATTAGCTGTGCTTTGTATAGCTACTCAGCTGACCCTCCACACAAAGACTACTCTGAGATTGTCTCCTGTTCCATAATGTACCTTTTGGCTACAGGTGAGTGGCACTGGAGCATTGCCTATTGGGCTGTACAGAAATGTAGTAAACAAACAAGCAGACTATGCAATACCCCCCACCCCCAAAGGTAAATTAAAATGAGGAAGCAAGATGGAGCAGTAATTCTAGGCAAAAGCAGAGGAAATTTGCAGATGGTGGGTTTGTCCCCAACAATGAGATCGAAAAGCCTATCATGGGACAACAACTTGCATAGTTGGGCTGGAAAGAGAAACCTTCCCAAGTCTGGAGGAACTGTCTCAAGGCTTGCAAGACTCTAAATATTGCTGTAAGTTTGAGGACTTAGAATTTCTATATTGCAAGCTACTAGTTTAGTAGAGGGATGGGGAACATTTGCCTATCCTCCAACATTTCTCTAATGAAATCCTATTCCATAATAATAATTTTATTATTTGTACCCCACACATCTTACTGGGTTGCCCCAGCCACTCTGGGCAGCTTCCAACATATATAAAAACACAACAAAACATTAAGCATTAAAAAACTTCCCTATACAAGGCTGCCATCAGATGTCTTCAGAAGGTTGTATAGTTACTTAACTCCTTGCCTTGGGGAGTCACATAACTCCATACCCTCCAACATTTATCTGATGAAAATAGGGACATCCTAAGGGAAAGCGGGACATTTCAGGATCAAATCAGAAACAGGGATGGTTTCTGCCATTCCAGGACTGTCACTGGAAAATAGGGACATTTGCCCTGCTCCCCAAGATGTTGCTGAGCTCCAGCTCTCATCAGCCCCAGACAACTTGGCCAACAGTCAGGGATGATGGGAGTTGTATTCCAGCAACATCTGAAGAGCCACAGGCCCTCCAGCCCTGTTTCAGTGCCTTCTCATTTCTATTGCAGCTTTATAGCCTGAACTTCACAGTTGCTAAAGAAACAAATACATAAACTAACCAGAACCCAAATGGAGATTTTTCGTCCCGTCCCCCCCCCCGCCCCGCCCCAAATTCAGACTGGTAGCTAAAAATATCCAGGGCTGTAAGAAACTAATGTGTCTCTGAGGTGACATTCTTGTGAAGCTCTGAGGACATCTTGTGGAGTTTCTCGCAAACAACAACTGAAAGCTTAGTTCAGGATATTTGCAGTTCAAGGAACGATGGATAACTAGCAGCCCCTCCTGCATCCCTTAATCAGAAATGGACAGTAGGACTCAATCCAGTTCCAGAATGAAGAATCCAGTCTTCACCTGGAGATTTGATAGCTTTGACTAAGCTAGAATTGCCTTCCCATGTAATTTTCCTGTGCTACATGGTGGAACCGTTTCATTGTTATTTCTTAGCAAAATAACCATCATTATTAGAATCATAGAACTGTAGAGTTGGAAGGGACCCTGAGGCTAAGTCAGGAATATGCAGCTACCCCATAGGGGGATCAAACCTGCAAACTTGACATTGTCAGCACTAGGCTCTAATCAACTGAGTTCTCTAGGTTGTCAGCAGCGTTTAATCTCTACAACAACCCTGTGAGGTAGGTTAGGCTGAGGAGGCAGGGAATGGCCCAAGGTAACCCTGTGAGCTTCATGGCCGAGCAGGGGTTTGAACCCTGGTCTCCCAGGTCCTAATCCAGCACTCTAACTGCTACACCATACTGGCACCAATAACAGCAACTCATGGGGTGGAGGCAGAGCCAGTGAAGTCCAACCAGCAGGGGCAGGATTGTGGTCATGGGGAAGGAGCGGGGCAGCAGTGAAGTTGGGGTGCTCTGGGGCACACACACCTGCAGATGTTGCTGCTGCCTCTGCTCCCCCTCACGAGCCATTGCAATCCCATACATGAGTACACTTGGTTGAACTCAGTGGTGCTTACTTCTGGCTGCACATGTTCGCTTTGTAAAGGACATTGAACCACAACAAAAGATCTCCAGCCAACTTTAGCCTTTTATGTAGAAATGCACACCAACTTGCAAAGAAGCCTTGCCATTTAAATGTGATATAGGAATCCCACTGAAGTACAGGAAAGAATTATCCAGCCTCTGCTTGATGATCTTCCTCAGCCTCTGACTTCCACCATGCTAAACTGTCACAAACTTGAAAGCCTTGTTAACGCTTCATTCAGTTACCAGAGCAAGAAGATTCCATCAATTTCCACAATGTTCCAGTTGATGATATCACACCAGCTCTGGGGGGGGGGGGGGAGTCCTGGAGCTGGACTTCTCTACATACTTCCTCCACTACACTGTCTATATCCCGCTTGGACTACTGTAATGCGCTCTATGTGGGGCTACTTTTGAAGGTTACCCAGAAACTACAACTAATCCAGAATGCGGCAGCTAGACTGGTGACTGGGAGCGGCCGCCGAGACCATATAACACTGGTCTTGAAAGACCTACATTGGCTCCCAGTATGTTTCTGAGCACAATTCAAAGTGTTGGTGCTGACCTTTAAAACCCTAAACAGCCTTGGCCCAGTACACCTGAAGGAGCGTCTCCACCCCCATCGTTCAGCCCAGACACTGAGGTCCAGCTCCGAGAGCCTTCTGGCAGTTACCTTACTTCGAGAAGCAAAGTTACAGGGAACCAGGCAGAGGGCCTTCTCAGCAGTGGCGCCCGCCCTGTGGAACGCCCTCCCATCAGATGTCAAGTAAATAAACAACTGCCTGACTTTTAGAAGACATCTGAAGGCAGCCCTGTTTAGAAAAGTTTTTAATGTTTGATGTTTTATTGTGTTTTTAATATTCTGTTGGAAGCCACCCAGAGTAGCTGGGAAAACCCAGCCAGATGGGCGGGAAATAAACAAACAAAATAATAATAATAATAATAATAATAATAATAATAATAATAATTCCTACCCAATCAATGCTGTGTTGTTTTTCAATATCCAATGCTTGTGGACTTGTGCTGCAAGAAGGATGGTTATCACATAATTATATACACAACAAACCAGCACTAAGTTGCTAGTCCTCTTGGAGCTCATGACTACCTAAAGAGGCACACTGTAGCAGCATTAATTTCTAACTGCTTCTGTGGAGCACATGCTCTAATTGGGAATCCAGAAGGTGAAGTGACAGGAGTAAGTAGACAGTGGGCTGAGGAAACAGGACCTGATTTCCCTTTTATAAATATATAGGTCCAGTTTTCTGACATACCAAATCC